CCCTATTATCCTGGACTACCAACGAAAAGAACACCTATTAAAGGTATGGTTCATTTCAGTGGATAATTACTAATAGAATACAATTCCGTAGCTTGTGCACAGACACTGTGGTGTCCGGTATGTATTGAAGAGATCTACAGCTATGGTTTGCTCAAAAATTTGTCTGCATTAACATATTGACTTGCAAAGTCAATTTATGTACGCAAAAGAAATAGCTATGCTTTAAATATTTCTTGCTTTCTTTTTTTCTTAAATTATAATATAATAAAAATAATATGTATCAAATGATTGTGAAAATCGTTTAATAATTTATACGCGGAACGATTTTTTTTATCTTCGCGAAGTGTTTTGTCTACATCGCAATGTTAGCAGCAAATTTTGTAGCAACGATATAAACACCATAGAGATGCACTGGATTTTAAATGGACTCGAGGAGCACACTTTCGGGCAATTTCAGATATTTCAGCTTCTATAATTGAATTATTTAAATTATTCTTCAAAAGTGTACTGTTCGTCGATTCATCGTACATAGGTCCATTTATAGTCAAGAATGAACAAAAGAAGATTTTATCTATGTGAAACAAATATCTATATAAATCAATGTTATAATGCTGGTGCGTGTATGAATATAAATAACGAAGATGTGTAAATTGTGTTTATCACTCGTGTCATTTATTTTACTTAATATATCTGTTATACTTATAAATACGTGTATAACGTATATTATAAATCAAAATATTTTTGTCAAACGTACTGTAAATGCCAATTGATCCTAAAAAATACATATAAATTTTATAGTAATTTTAATTCTTAACTTTCAATAATAATAAAAGTTAAAAGAAAGTTACAAAAGGCAATTGCAGTGTGTGTAAAAGTTTCATATTATGTTGTTTTATGTAATTATTATTTTCATTTTATCTGTAATATTATTGTGATATATTTGTATGAATAAAACATAATTTTTTTCCTATCCTTTTTTCTTCTAGAATTCATCGTGGGAGACTACGGAAGAATAATGTTATCAACTATTTATTGAGCATCTTTTAATATATATTATTTTTGTTTTCAGTGACATGAATGTGTCGTGGCAGAATATAAGGTCATTCTTTATGAACTTAAATTGTTTACCATTTTCAAAGCTTAAGTAATGCTAAGTGTTAAATTATTTGCTTATAGGTTTACAGTTCTTCAGTGCTGCAACGGCATGGTACTGTAAGCTTTGCGATTCCTGGATCGGCGATCTTCATTGTGCGAGTTTGCACTTGAAATCTAAACAACATTCTGAGAACTATTCTGTAAGTTTTTAATTACAAAGCTTTTTTAAATGAAAATTTAAAATTTATTAAGTAATAATTTTATCTAGCATTTTGTGGAACAAAATCCACATTGGGAAACCGATTGGATGGCAGATCGTGAAAAAGCATTTTCAGAAGAGAAACATAAGCAGATACAAATGGAATTACAAAAACATAAAGATGATGATCCACCGCCAAAATCGAAAAAATCGAAAAAAAGTAAAAAAAAATCGAAAAAATCTAAGAAACGAAGAAACAGAAGTAGTGGCAGCGACAGTTCCAGTGAATCAGAAAATTCGGATACAGACTCCGATCAAGATATGTCTAAGAGCATTCGTGTTGCTATGCGAAATAAAATGAAAGCATCAACACAAGCGATACTAAATGAAGAAATAGATTATCATCGAATAAAATTAAAAGGACACTGGTCAAAAATGGCGCAGCATTTGAATCAACCACCAACTCCAGAGCCACAACCAGTAGAAACTGATGACAGACAATTGTTGAATTCGATCAGAGACAAATTGAAAGCTAAACAAGAAGAAGAAATGAAATCAATTAGTAATCGAAGATTGAGTCAAGAGAAGACAATTGAAGAAGAAGAAGATGAACAGGAACAGACATCTTTCTCAAACAAATCAAAACCGGAAAATTTGGAAGCTTGGGGACCGAAAGAACCTCCAAAACCTTTTTGGATAAAGAAGGAAGAAGAAAAACCACAACCTATAGCCAATAAACCAATTGAGTTACCAAAACCGGAAGAAATGCCTAAACCACATATGGGATTCTGGACGAAGCAGCAAGTCAATATGACTGTGAAACCACCGGAAAGTAAGTCTATGGAAAAAGAAGATGAAAGAGAACGGGACAATGATAGATATAAAGATGATCGTGATAGAAAATATGACAGACGAGAAGATAAATATGATCGTTATAGTAGCAGGTATGAAAGAAGACGTGGACGAGATAGAGATCGAGATCGTGATAGGGATAGGGATAGAGATAGGGAAAGAGACAGGGACAGAGATAGAGATCGGGAAAGAGATTATTACGATGATCGAAGGAAACGAGATAATAACGATTCTCCACGACGCGAAAGAAGTTGGCGTGACAGTCCAAAAAGGGGTTATGATAAATATAGTAAAGATAGAAGAGACGATAATTCATCTAACGACGAGTCCAAGTTTGAAAAGAAAACAAACGAATCTGCATCTAAATCTAAAAAGGGTAATATACAAACTAAAAAATCGGCACCTCAGGTATCGAAAGGTAAATTACCTTTCATTGGTAGATTACCATTATTTAAAAAGAAAGCTGAAGAACCAAAGTTACCTGAAAAAGATATTACTCCTCTTCCTTACCAACAAAGTAAATTTGAAGATACACCAAAAGTTCCCAATGAAATTATTAATCCACCTGGTGTGGTACATATCACCAAACTTGCAACTCCAATAAATTTGGGTAATAATAATACTACCAACAGTAGTAATAATAGCACCATTATCGCCGCAGCGAATAATAATAATAATGCTAGTAATAATACGCTCAATGTATCCCAAAACAATAAAAATCAACCAATGAAAATATTAGTAGCTCCACCACCACCAGTGTTGAATGAAACAAAACCTACACAACAAGTAGTTGATATGGAAATTGAAGATCAATCTGAAGAAACAGTAATAGAAGAACCAATGATGGAGCAGCAAAAACAAACGCACAGTATATCCAAATTACCTTTACCTCCACATCCTCCACCTCCTCTAAATAGACCACCACCATCTTTCTCAACTACATCACAGCAACAGCAGCAGCAGCAGCAACAACAACAACAACAACAACAACAACAACAACAACAACAACAACAACAATCACAACAAACAGTGCAAAGCAGACCACAATTTCCAACAAATCGACCTCCACCACCATTTATGACTAATCCACCCCCATTCGTTCAAGGTCAACCACGATTCCCTCCTCATCAAACAGTACGTCCACCGGTACAAAGTCATCCTCCTTTCATGACGAATCCACCACCTCAAATGCCTACTGTACCTCCTTTTGTACAAAATCATCAAAATCCTCCACCACCTCCGCTTCCGACTATAGAAAATACTACACAAGATATTTCCGATATACCGGAACCTGCTGAAAAACGAACTGATCCAAGCATTCCTCTGCCTGATGATTTGCAAGAAGCACTAAATATTATTTTTCCAAAGGAGGAAACAGAAACGAAACAACAAAATCAACAAGAAAGTAGCATTATGTATGCATCAATGTATAGTATGTTAGGGTGTGTGGGATATGGGCCAGAGTACATGGATCAACCGCCACCAGAAATTACTCAAGCGGAGACAGAAGTAGATACTCAACCTGGACCAGATGATTTGAAAATGTTAGGCATTGATGAAGGAGATACAATTCTATAAAATTTTTTATAAATTCATATTTTCAGCCTCAGATATTCTTTTGATAAGGATCTAGCGTTAAAAGTCACGTTGATTATTTACCCTTTTTCTTTGAAACAATTGTTAATTGCAAAATAATGAATTGGTAGTAATTCCTTGTGGTAAAATTTATATAAGTATATTAAAATCGAATTGTATAATTATATAAACTAGTATTTTAAATGGGAAATAGTAAATGTTTCTCTTTTGCGTATTAGTGACGAATCAATACTATAGTATTGCCTCAATGAAATAATAGAATGGAATAATCTTATGAAATATTTACTATTTTTTATTGAATATGCAGCTTTCATCTAATTTTGACGAAAAGTATTTCAAGATATACTTAAGAATTTGCAAAAATTAAACTGCAATGTCATATAATTATTTTTTAATTCAGGTATATACATATATGTATATCTTGGGCATACGTCAAAACTTAAATTTCTATTTGTGCATAAAACTATTAAAAATATTAGACATGTAAGTAATCAATGTTTTTAATTATTGAAAACATATTTACATTCAATGTTATTAAGTGCAGTATAAAGACAGTGTTTAGAAAAAAATTTAAAGTGTAAAATTGATTGATTTATAAATAATATTTCATCAATAAATAACGAAATTATGTGAAATAAGACTTAATGTGATGTTATACAATTAAGTAATACAAAAAAACACTTTTATTGCCCTATGCTATTAAACTATGCTTTGTTTATTTTTTCTTTGTATTTCATTTTTTCATTTGAAAATTATTTTATATATCTTTTTAAATGCTATATTTCTCTCTCTCTCTCTCTCTCTCTCTCTCTCTCTCTCTCTCCCTCTCCCTCCCTCCCTCCCTCCTTTACACATACACAAAAAATAATTTGATTTTGAAAATATATGATCTCTATACAATAGATAACTTAATAATATAAAATTTTTTTGCCAATAATCATTAAATATGAAATATAAATGTTGCATGGCACGATATAATATACATGAATTATATGTATATTGAAAATAAGTAATACACGTATGTGTATATGTGTGTCTAATATTGATAAACAATATTTCACAATTTCTTAAATATTATTTAAGAATTATTTCAAGATATAATATTATTTTCATATCAATATATTATNAATATTTAGTTAAAAGTTACTTCAAATATATATATATATATAAATTATATTAAAAACTCTACGATATATATATATATATATAAAATTTTTTTATTACTTTCTTTTTGATGTCATTCGATATTATGCACGATTCCAATATATCTTTTATTATGCATGAAAAGATAAAATACCTACATATTTTTATGCATATTTAAATTAAGATATATAAATAGATAAAATCATTAATATCATTATTTTGATACTAATTCTAAGCTTTGTTGATTTTTAACATATTCCTTAACAGAATAAAATAACAAAATAATGTCATTTTTTAATTTCTAAACATATGTCTATCAGAAAATAATATGTTTTGGACCATAATGGAATGATATTTTATGGAATGAATTCTATAATTTAGAATTTCAAAGCTGATAATATAAAGAAATCTAATATTTTAGATTTCGTGATTACCTTAAACTAATACGAAAATTCAGTGTCATTCAACTATTTTGAAAATATAAAATATTTTAGATTTGTAATACAAGACCCGCACTTGAAATATTATCTCCACCGCCAGCAGTTTGCGCCGCTTCGGTACAAACTAATACTGGTGCAACACATACTTGAATAGGGATATCTTTGTTTCCTATTTTTAATATTTCATCCCAACAAGATACTGGTTTGTCAATATCTAGAGCTATCCGAGTACCATCGACAATTGATGTCGAAAAACTATCATCTAAAATCAACGCGGCTTTTTTAATGTCTACCTGAAATTATGTATAAATATACATATACTGATTTTAATTCCATAATTAATAAATTATAAACAATTATTTACTTACATAACTTGTTGCACATACATGTCTATGAGCTGTCAGTGAAGCTTTAGCTGCTGCAGCCATAGTATTTTTCCATATAGAACTTTTAACAGTAAATATAGCTTGATAGGCTAATGTATGTACATGAATTCTAGTTAATTCTCGAGAATTTTCAATAGTTTTGCTTCTCATACGTATCAATTTAAATAATGTTCGCATTTGATCTAAAACTGTTGCTATACGTGGTGTTGAATTTGCGACTAATGAAATATTTCCATAATACATTGCATTATGCAAATTAGCTATTTCTTGTTCATTCATTCCTAAACTATCAGCATATGGTATTATCGAATCACATAATTCAAAAAGAAATTTATCTTCTGCAAATGAAGCCATTTCAAAATGAATTTTAGTTGATACAGATCGATTCATCATTTGCTTTTTTATCTTATATAAAAGTTTTTGTCTATCACCTGTATTTTGATAAATATTTTATTAAATTTATATAAAACTTATAATCAAAAATAAAATTTTAATTACCTTCGGGAAATGGATAATTATCCATCATTTGTAGACCACTAATAACAAGTAAATTAGGCTCATACATTAACAAAAGATTATCAAATGCATCAAGAGAACTAATCCTAGGATTATTGGCATCATTGTGAATTATGTACCTATGAAATAGTTTAGGTATACTTATTTAGGGAGATCTATTATGATCATATATATTTTCATATAATTTTCTCCAAAGCTTTTTAAGTATTATACCTATTAGCTCTGGCACTAGAATATGGACCCCAAATATCTCCATGTTTATATTCTATTACTAAGTGAATGTCATCTCTTTTCACTTCACCTCCTACGATATTAATAACTTGTGGTATCATTTGATGTAAGGATCTAGTTAATTTTGCAGCAAGTGTCACATCACATCCTTCTCTTGCAAATCTTAGTGCCATAATTGCTGCATTACCACCAATAGTAGTATAAGAAGAAGGAAATGAACGAGCTTTGGTAACAAGTTCATCAAACAATGTTCTATTTGCCATGTATCTTCTAAAAAAAAATATATTTTATAAAAATAAAATTTTAATAAATTAAATTATTTTAAATTATTTAAATAAAATTTTAAACAAAAAAAAATTTTTTATTAAAATGTATAAAATTTATATAAAAAAAAATTTTACTCTGCAGCAGCTCCATGACGAAAATAATAGGCAAAACTTTTTAAAAGTTCTAATTCTGTGTTGATTTCATCGAAATGTTGCGGTTGCCCAATTTTTTCAGAATAATTCAATAAATCTTTAGCATTGACATATACATCAGTACATACACCATAACCTATTGCTACTTTTGGTCGTGAAGTCATCACATGTTTATTTTCAAGTTTTTCTAAACCATGAATCAAAGCTTGCAAACGTTTTTGGAGAACATTTTCCGAATTTCTATAATAAATTGCAACTAAAACTATTAATATGGTAAACGCTGTACCTAATTTTAATCCCTTGTTGTACCCCATTTCGAACTGGTATGAGAACAATGAATTAAGCGCTGTTATCACCGAGTTCTTACAATCTAATCAATGTAGCGTTAGTATTTTTTTTATTAGTCAACTATAAATATTTAATTTTGTTTATCATACTATATTATTTTAATATTACTTTCTTATGTTTCAAATAAAGAATTGAAAATATATTTATTTTGCACTTAATTTCTTGTGTAAGATATTTATAAATTTGAAACAAAATATCAAATAAATATAAGTTTAAAAAATAAAAATACATTTTTTTTTTAGTAGTATTTATTTAAAAAACAACATATGATCAATTAGCGCAATTTAATCTAAATTCCATTGAACATAAAACATCTTAGAATACATACATGTATAAATCTTAAAAATTTATTCTCGATTTAGAAATTTATCTTTTTTATATTTATACAATACAATTATATAATTTTGATTACAATTTTTAAATTGCAATATAATAAAAAAATAAAAAATATATGATATTAATTAGTAAAATACAAAAAAGAAATACATTAAAATATATGATTATATTCTTTTGAAATTTCAATAAAATTTTAATACTTATGTGACTTCATCCTAAAATTTATTTAAAATTATTTAAGATGTAAATTTTTTTTTTCAAAAGAATAAAGATTTTAAGTATTTGAGATTCCTTATAAGATATAAAAATATTCAAAATCTATAAGCATATACTAATATATAGCATATACTAATCACATAGAATTACAAATAAATTGTAAGTAAATAATAAATTTGAAGTTAATGAAAAGTAGTTATTACAAATAAAAAATGGAAGCTCCAAAAATCGACTCTTTACTAATAACATATATAGATTTAAATTTGGATAATTTTATTTTGTTATTTTGTTTTATATAACTGAAATGTCACATCTTTTATCAGAAAATTACTTTATACTGTTTATTCTTTATTTTTTGTATGAAGACGCATATGTTTTTTTAAATTATCAAGTCTATTACATCGTCGATCACAGAAATCGCATTGATAAGGCATTAAATTGCTATGTACTACCACATGACCATTTAAATGACTAATCTGCTTGAATCGTTTTCCACAAATAGTACAAACATATGGTCTTTCATTCATATGAGCTGATGCAATATGTGTTTGTAAATTTGTTTTTCTTACAAATGTAGCTTTGCATATATCGCATTCGAATGGCCTCACATTTGCATGAATGGCCAAATGAGATTTAAGCACGTTTTTATGTTTAAAATTCTTTTCGCATAAATGACATTGGAATGGTCGTTCATCGTTATGTACTTTTTTATGAACGGACAAATGAGCAAGTTGTTTGAACATTTTTGCACAAATCTCACACTGATATGTACGTCCATCTTCGTGTGCAGCACTTATATGTCGACGTAAAGTATCTGCCAAAGTGTATCGTTTTCCGCAAATTTTACAGCGAAATGGACGCTCATTTGTATGAGTCATTAAATGTCCGTTTAGATTTCTTTTTTCAAGGAATCGTGCACCACATACATCGCATTGATACGGTTTTTCTCCATTATGTACATACATATGTTTCTTTAAAGAATTTGAAAGACTAAATCTCTTCTTACAAATTGAACATTCGAATTTGCGTTCACCTGTATGCACTAACATATGAGACTTCACATGTCCTGCTTGTTTGAATCTTTTTCCACAGATTACGCATGGGAATTGACGTTCATGAGAATGAGTAAGTATGTGTCGTTCCAAAACACTTTTAGTGGTAAATACTTTTTTACAATTATCACATTCAAATAAACGGAAAGCCTCTTTAGTTTTCATAATGTAATTTTCTTTATGCGATTGAGTATGGATTTTTAATGAACTCAATGATTCAAATTTCACTCCGCAAACCGCACAATGAAAAGAACGATAATCTTTGTGCGTTAATGAATGTTGACTAAGATGACCTAATTGTTTAAAACTTTTATTACAAATTTCACAAATATAGGGTCTTTCGTTTGTATGAGATCGCATATGCCTTTTTAATACACTAGGAAAATTAAATTTTTGATTACAATATGAACATTTCAGACTTGGCTCTCCATTTATTTTCATAGAACGATTGTCTACAGTAATTCTTTTTCTTTCTTTAAGAAGATTTAAACTTTTTATTGCTTTTGGACAATCATTTGTTTCATTGGATTGTGTTCCATCAATATTTAAATCTGAAAAACTTTTTAACTTAGATAATTTTGTGGTCAATGTTATTTCATCTTGTGAATTTCTATTTTTTCTGTTTCTATTGAAACTATTTTGAGACAATTTATTTTGTTTATGAGATTGCCGCATATGTTTCTCATATAAACTTAGAACATGAAATGTTTTGTTACATAATTTACATTCGAACTTTTTCCCCTTTATATGTGTTCTCATATGATTTTTTAAATGACCAGGTTTCATGTATTGTTTCTGGCAAATTTTACATTTTAAATTGATTTGATTTTCTATATTGGTTCTGTTGTCTATTCCTAATTCATCCTCAAATATTGAATCTTCTGTATGCATGTTTAAAGGTTCACTTTTAACATTTACAAAATTAAAATCAGGAGTGTCCATTTGAAGCTCATCCCTGGCTTCATTGCAAGAATCTTCACTTTCACATTCTTCTGCCTGATGAATTACAGTAATAATTACTATAACTCTTGGATATAAAAAATTAGATTATTATTATACTTACAGTTTTTATATTTTTGACGTTTGTAAAGGCAGAGTCTTCTATAAGCTGTTGCTTTTTTTCTTTCTTAACATCATTTTGTTTGTCTGATAAAAGATCAACCCATTCTTCTTCTGTCCATATATTATTTTTTAAATTTATTATATTAGTTTGTTTTTGAAACTCATTATGTACATTTTTTCCAAATAATATATCATAAGGAATTTTTCCATTTTCGCATCGAAATGTTGAATTTTGAAAAATCTGTATATGTACCAGGGCTTCATGCCATGTTTTTGTCGGATTTTCCTTTATCCAACATTCAAGCAAACTTTTAAAATCTCTATTACGTTCATTGGTTTCAATAATTTCTCCATGAAGTATCATAAAATCTTTCCATAAAAGACGTAACTCTTGTACAACTTCTTCTGCAAATTTGCGTCCATTGCTGCTTTGTAAAACCTGTGGTGCTCCAATAATAGCTAATATATCTAATAACTTTACAGCTACTTCATTTGCAGTGTTTCCATGTAAACCTTTTAACACAACAAATCTAGATATTTGATCCTCATAAACAAGGAAATACTTGTAATTACAAGTTAATTGTATTGGCATATCTATTACATCAATTTGTCCTCTATGGTATAATTTTTTTTCCATAGTAATATAATGTGAACTCATATTTTGAACTTTAAAATTATTTTTTAATCTACATAAGTTTTTAATAGTTTATCACAATTTATAAATATGTGCTTTCTTCAGAGGTAAAAAGATATGTACCTTTTGACAAACTTTTATTTTATATTTTGAAGATCTAATACTGATTGTTTCCAATAATAAATTAAATGTTTTCTGTAATACCTTTTTTGTTTTCAGTGTGTCCATTATTCACTTTCTTAATTCACTGATATCTGTGAAAAAAATAAAAGATGTAAAGAAAACACGCGCGCACATATACACACATACATAAACGTATGTATGTATATTATATAAAAAAATTAAAAATAAAAAAACAAATAAATGGATTTGATCTTTATTTTTTTAAAACATACCATATAATAGTTCGATAATAATAGTTCATTAGCACTTATATATAAAGAAAATATTTTTAATTTTTATTTGTACACATGAATAAAAAAACTATTCAAATAAAATTTTCATTTTTTTTAAATTACAAAACAATGTACATTTTTAACCTATGCATTCTTTATAAGATATAATTTCAAAATTAAATTTCTTCACATTAGTATTTAAAATATTAAAAAATATTAAATTATTTTTATAATGATAATAAATATTTTTTCCACTTTTTAATTTCCTTCAATCTTCACTACTCAATTGTAAATTCTTATTTGTCATTTTCACCGTGAGTTCTCAATGCTTTATTAAAATAAAACTTGACAGTACTATAGTATAAGACAAATAATATTTATTCGTCCACGTGTCGAGATATGTAAAGGTTGGTTTTTAATAAAATGTTTTATCGTACATAAAATGTAAATAATAAATTATTAAAATATTTATATTTATATTTTTAATCATATCAAAACTAAATTGCATCATATTTATGTTAAAAGATTAAAATAAAAAACCATAAAAAATTATTGATAGAATAATAATTATTTGAATTCAAAATAAATATATTACAAAAAAAAGATATTTTGCTAAATTATTATTAACAAAATAATTAATTGATAACAAAAATTTGTTATATATAAATAAAACTTTTATTTGTTTAATACTTTAATAGTTGTATAATATAACGTACGTTTATCTATCTTCATATTATTTTTTCAAAGATTTCTTTTTGAAGTCGTGTCACTTGTGTGACTACACACAACTGACTAACTGACTACACACAGTCCAATTAATAAGTACAAGATGGCAAGCGAGGTAAATGAAATTACTGCTGAAGCGAGTGAAAATAATGAAGCGATTACGGGAAGAATATCTTCGACATCTGAGGGAATGGCCCTTGCTTATGGAAGCTTGATAATTATGGCTATTTTACCTATCTTCTTTGGTAGTTACCAAGCTGTTAAACACCATAAGGAGCAGCAGGTTAGCCACGCGTTTGACATATGTTTTACACGCGTATGTCGAAGAAATTTTGGTCTTATCTAATTTTAAAAAAATTATTAAATTAATTTTCAAATTAGTAATATTAAAATAATAATCTTTACTACAAATAATATTTTTGATTTTCAATTAATATGATATTTAATAAATTTAAAAACTAACAATGTATTTTTTGTGAATGTATACATTATAAAATGTCTATTTATTAATTAAATTTGAAAATTTATTTATAAGTTTTTAAAATTTTATTAAAAAAAATATTCTATTTCATATAATATTCATTTATATATTTAAAATATTAAATAATATTTATGTTTAAATAAAAAAATATTAAATAATTTTTTATGTGTAATAGCAACAATGTAAAAAAAGTGGAGAGCAGCCAGATACAATGTCTCGCAAAGAAGCAGCAATATTTCCTTTTATTTCCAGTATTACATTAGTTGGACTGTATGTATTATATAAGGTAAGAAGAGATGAATAAATAATATTTACATAAAAAATTTATTTAATCCAATTTAAAGGCATTTTTATCATTTTCAGATATTTGACAAGGAGTTAGTTAATCAAATCTTAGCTGCATATTTTTTTTTCTTAGGAATCTTATCTTTGTGTCATCTTACCAGGTATAACTTTAGATCTAATAGTTATATTTTTCAAATGGTCTTGAAATTACATATTATAATTATAATTGCAGTCCTTTAATTTCATCACTAGTACCTGCTGCAATTCCAAAAACTCATTATCACATATTATTCACTAGGGGTGAAGGTGACAAGGCAGAACATATTATCAATTATAAATTTAACCTTCATGATATTGTTTGTCTAATATGTTGTTCCCTTATTGGAACTTGGTATTTTCTAAAAAAGGTAATAATATTAACAAATATTAATTTTTTTTAAATAGAAGTATATTTTTAGTTGAAACAATTTTTAATTATTATTATTATTTTAATTTTACAGCATTGGATTGCCAATAATTTATTTGGAATTGCATTTGCGATTAATGGTGTAGAATTGTTACATGTGAACAATTTTGTAACAGGATGTATTTTGCTTTGTGGACTCTTGTTTTATGATGCATTTTGGGTATTTGGTACAGATGTAATGGTAACAGTCGCGAGATCGTTTGAAGTACCAATTAAGTTAGTGTTTCCTCAAGATATATTGGAGAAAGGACTTACAGCTAGCAATTTTGCCATGCTGGGTTTAGGTGACATCGTTTTGCCAGGAATTTTCATTGCTCTTTTATTGCGATTTGATAATAGTTTGAGTAGAAAAACAAATGTCTATTTTTATTCGACATTTTTTGCATATTTCATGGGACTGTTAGCTACAATGCTCATTATGCATTTATTTAATCACGCACAACCAGCTCTGTTATATTTGGTACCTGCTTGTTTAGGTACTCCTCTGCTTCTAGCATTAGTCAAAGGCGACTTGAAAGCATTATTTTCGTACGTATTAATAAATATTTCATTTATATTTTTCATATTTAAAATTATTTTGAAACATTATAGATTGTAAATCTAAATAATACATCTTTTTCAGTTATGAAGATCATCCAATTAATACGATACAAACGGAAAAATCGGCTCAAACACAAGTAGAAATGAAAAAAGATACATAATATTTAAGGTGATCAGTGTAATAAAATTTTCAGCATTTTTATTATGCTGTTATTCTAAATTTATCTTATATAGAAAAAAAAAAAAAAAAAAAAAGATAGTTTGTCTTACGCTCAAGCTGTACAATCATGAAATTTAAAAGTGTCAATATGTAATTGTCTTACATGCACACTGTGAAATAATCATTTGGTTATTATTAATATAATTAGTATCCATATATTTAAATTCAATTGAATCAATGATTTATAACTTATTTCATATTTGTATTGCTTTTCATGAATGTCAATACATATGAAAAGATTAATAATAATTTATAGAGCAGTTATCTAAGGACGGAAATAAATATCCTCTTTTTTAATTAAATTGTTTTTTATAAAATTTTGAGTAAATAAGAATTTACATTAATATTATGCATATCATAAATATCAATTAATTTTGATATTCATAAATATCAATTTTAATTGAAAAATTTTTCATTTTTCCAACCGTAAAACAAAAAATTAGATTAAAATTTTTTATTCTTATATAAAATAAAATCTATTATCATAAAAATTAGACTTATAGTCGAATTGATTTAAAATCTCTGATAAAAAATCTTTGTCTATTTTTTTAAAACTACAAAATATTTAAAATTACAATTACAAATAATTCTTTGAATTTATTATTATTTTATGAACTTGTAATTTTATCAGATACATATAATTTTTTTATAATCTATAATTGTTTTAATTTATGAAATTTATGAAAAATAAATTTTGTAGAATATGTATAGTTAGAAAAATTTGTAAACATTTTTGAAAATATAATAAAATTATATTCTTTTCATTTATATATCCATTTTTTTAAAATAATTATTTATAGATTTCTATTCAAAGAATAAGTATAAGATACTTTTAATATCTTTATTTCTTGTATTGATAATATTACAAATAATGTAAATAAAAACAAATACGTTATGCTTTATCGGCATCTTCTATTGCCAAATTTTTTGCTGTGATAGGTTCCAATTCTTTTATACCTTCCTTAGATACTTTTTGTATCTTAAAGTTTGGAAGATTAACTATCAATCTCTTATGTATTTCCCTAACACATCGTTTCATTAGTGTATATGCTTCTTCTTCTGTTGAATCTATAATACAAAGTAGCATGAATAATAGATTTTTGATAAAGAATTTACAATGATGTTACTATGTTCAAATAAATATCAATATAAATTTGATTTCTATATTTATTTTATTACCATATTTATGATATCTATCCAAAATAGAAAGAGAGAAAAAGCCTCCATAACCATGTGATGCATAAGGCACCTTAACACATGATGCTAAATAATCAATGAAGTATAATTCTGGTCCAGTATTATCATCATAACCAGCCATTAATAAATTGACAAAATATGGTGTTCTACTTCTAAGATAATCTGCCAAATTTCTTCTAGTAAATAATGCAGCTGCTTTTGGAGATAATTCATAACCATTTCTCATTTTATAAAGTTGTATATTCTTCCCTATGTATTCTGAAAATTGTGTAGTATCTCCAGATTCTCCTGATACTGCCATAATAAGCTTATCAGACATTTTATGAATCTTTTCTTCATCTGAAATAATATAATTAGTAATTTAAATGACTTGCATTTATTGCAAAAAAATTGTTATTCTATTTCTATATATAAATAAAAAATAAATAAAATATTCTAATTATTCTAAATTATATATATATATTTATATATATAAGTTTAATATGGAAACAATAATAAAAGAACAAAATGAACTAATAATGAAGTAAACAAATTACATTCAGGTTATAATCAAGCATATATAATTCCTTACCATTTTTCATAACCATAATGGATTGAGCTGTAGTCATATCAGCCGCAACTAACACAAAATCTTTAAATTGAATACCAATTAAACATTCCATTTTAATAAATAATTATTTTTTTACTATCACTTGGACTTATAATACGATCAAATAACACCGAAAATTGCTTGTCACGAACTATAAGGTTAGGATCGTAATGTCGATCATCAATGTTTTATATATCCAATGGCATGCATTCTTACAATTTGTTTGAAGTTAATTGGTTAACAAATGTAAAGAAATATATCATAAAAAATTATATAAATAATATTTTTTTATTTCAAATACGAAATTATTAAATTATTTCTGATCAAATTAATAAATAATAATATTTCTGATCAAAATTAATAAATTCAAATCAATGATTTATTAATATATTTATATTATGCAAGATAGGAAGCAGTATATAAATTATAAAATGCATTCAATATCAGTTATCCCGCTATTTCGATACTTTGTATGTCAGTTATAAATAACTGTAATAGTTACTTATAAGTAATTGTTGATTCTTTTCTTAATTATTTTTATTCAAAATGTGAAGATTATTCGTGGAAAAAGTTGCTTTTGACAAATAATAAATTATATAATAAACAACAAAAAAACAAACACATAAAAATTATATAGAATTTAAATAAAAAGAATTTAAATATATTGAATAATTTACTCGTCAAAATAATATAAAAAAATATTAAAAAATATATAATATTTATTAAAGTTTAATTAAATTTATTATAAAATAATTATAGTTGTGACGAAGTAAACAGTTATAAAGAAAATAGGTAAGAAAATGAACAGAAATGATTGGTTCTTGCTCGTTGTTATACCATTGCATTTCTGTGTCAGTAGTAAAGGTCTAATAGCGGACTGGATTTCTTATTCTTTTCAGTTTTATTATAGATGCCGGAACACTGATAATTTTTTAAGATTCATTCGGCAGGAACGAACATGATATTGCTAAAGTACAGGATATGGCATTTCAAAGAAATAAAAAGAGAGACAAAACTGACTTTACAAATATATAAAATGTCTATACCAAATCATGTATGTGTTATGAATTCCCGTTCTTTTGAATCTTAAAGTCGCTAACGAATCTTCAAATAGTTCCCGTTACTAAAAACATGAGATTTTTTTCAGAGATTTTAATTTATTGAAAAAAATCTACTTTTATTTTGATTATCATTATATATGCATTTTAAATATATCTTCATAGAATTCATTTTATTAATGAATTATTTAATAATAATTGAATAGATAAACATATAAAAAGAAAAAAAGAAAAGATAATTAAAAAATAAGACAATATAATTGTAAAACGATAAAAATGCATATATTTATAAATATATACTATTTTTGATAACAATTGTCTAGATTGATATTATAGAAATTATACATATGTAAAATATATATAAATTATAAATTAAGAATGAATAGTATCTCTGATTTTATATTTTTATAAATTATATTTATAATATAATATTTTATAAATAAATTATTATAAATAATTAAATATTTTTGGTATTATAGAAAAAAGAAGAAAGTAAACTATTAATAGTTACAATAGATTTATCAAAATTAGTTCATTTCATTGAAGGTCGTTCGTTAGTCCCGTTACATTAATATCTATGACATGCAGCAAAACATCTAACGAAATATTATTAATGATCTTGAAATAAATTAATAATTTATATTTTAGAACGTGTTTATTAATAATATCAATTATGTTAATCAGAAAGATCGAATTAAAGAATTTTTAAATGCAATTGAAAATATTTCAGTTAGATAGAGATAATAGAGATAATAGAGAAAAACATATTATATATTTACTGACTGTTTGATTTATATTTCTCGTAAAGTATAGGTCGTTTCTATATACGATGATTAGTAAGATGCTCCTAATAAGAAGATATGACTCCAGCATCCCGCTACTGAAACAGTTATGATGAATCGTGACCGCCTAGTCCAGGGTGCACGCAACGTGAAATGGGCCTTCAAGAAGAAAAGGAAAGCCTCTGGCCGTGGACGAGTGAATGGCTCAGACCAACGTCAAATCATCGATGCATTATTGTTTTGATTTAATTTATTTATAAGATAGCGATTAAGAGATTATCGATATGAAATATTTTAATATTCATAGTGATTTTTATTTTTTTTTTTGAACAAAATTTAGAAATATATTTAAAGAATCTTTGAAATAGTTAATTTAATTCATAAATATCAATATCTTAATATCTTCTTTTTTTTTTTTTTAGACATCTCTAATATAATTATAATTCTTATCATGATTAGAGAAAAAGAAAATAATATTGTTTCGATAAGAAACAAAAATAGAAAAGGAATCTTTCTCTAAACTAAAAGAAAAAATTCTTCAAATTATTATTATGAATAGATCTTTAAAGATCTTTACATATTTAAGAAATTTATTTTTTTTAAACAAATTTTATGAAAAAATTATATTAAAAAACAATCTATCATATGCTTGATTCTGAACAGTTATAAATTTCTTATAAATTCCTTATAATTAAAAGAAATAATAGAATATGTTTCTTTAATATTTAAATTAAAATCCAATATATTTAAATTATAATGAGAATTCTATTTTTAAATTCATAAATGATAATAAATTATATAATATAATAAAGAAAAATGAAAAATTTTGTAATTATTTGTTCAATTGAAGGATTGTTTTATACGAGAGAATTTGTTTGAAATAAAAGGCACATGGAATGTCGGAACCGTAAAATCTGCTCAAAGAATATTCGAAAAGTAGACCTTCGTGATCGACAACGACTAAAGTAGCAGAGGATTGGTCCGTTCCATTGAAAATAGTGCCAAAGGTATGTGGTCATTGGCCGTGCAACTCATCCCCACGTGAGTACACAAGCTATATAGAACACTTCGCACGGAATTTCATCTTCAGAACTGAGAGTCAGTGTCAAGGGAATCCACTTGGAAGTAACGAAGTGAGTACAGTACAGTACGTTTAAATAAATAAATCGATTTAATCGATCCTCGTTCGAATTCTCAAAAATTTTTCGTAATTATTATCGTCTTTGATTATATAGTAACGAATAAAATGACCGCTAATTTTTCATTTCGAACGAGCACTTTTTTTTTGCGATTCAAATTTAGATAAATGACTTTACTTTCGTACTTGTGTCATTTAAAACTAGAAAAATATATTTTCAAAAATAGAAGTCAATTGTTTGTAGAATTACAAAAATTTTAAACATAATCTTAAATATTATTTTTTTAATAGTAGTAAGTAAGATAAAGGACTCGAATGTTTTATATGAAAAGAATAAAATTAGAAATCCTTTTAAATTAATTTGAAATAGGATTGAAAAATTATCGAACGAAGAAACATGTTTTTAACAGATAAAAAGTACTTTTTTACAGGTGTTGTCTACAGTTAGAATTAGTTGGTGATCTTTCCGGCGTTGCCGGAAAAGTACCGTTTTCGAAAGGCATATTTTCTTCAACATTTTTCCTATTTACTTTTAAACTCTCAAAATAGTTTTTAATTTTATTTGTATATACTTATACAATTTTTCTCTTACTAATCTAAGGTAAATTAAATGACAATTTTTTTTAAATTCTTTTCTTATAAATAACAAACTTGTATAAATTTAAAACGTATCAATTATTCTATCAATTCCTTTATCCTTTTCTTCAATTCTTTCGAACATTTATCAAAAATTCCATTTGTTTTTATCCGTCGAAAATTTTATTATTTTTAAATAAAATAATTTTAACTTAGATTAAATTTTCACAATCTCAATGGTTTCTTCGATTCTTTTCTTTCTTTTTTTTTTTTTTTTTTTTTTCTTTCATTTCTCTTTTTCCTTTTCCTCTCATATTATTTGTTTGTCTTTCGTTTAGGAGGTCAGTGACTGCAGTCTAGGAGATTGAACACGACAGTAGGTCGCGACCGCGTTTTCAGATAACGGTATCCCTCGAGTTCAACAAACCGGTAGCTTCGATCGAGAAGTGGGCTACCTGGTGCTACCAGGATGACCTTAACCGCTCTGACACACTTTCTTACCGCTCGACGATCTTTCTTTGCTTATACACGCATGATCACTTTTTTTTTATCGCTCCTCCACTCGGATCAAGGTTACCGATACAATCTTCTCGAAGAAGATTGATCTTCTCTTTCTATCCCTCTTTCTTTCTTTTTTTTTTTTTTTGGAAAAATAATGAAAAAAAATATTGTACACTCGAGATAATCGACATGGAATATTAAATTAACATCATTTTGTAAATACTTGGGTTCTTTTTAAAATTTCAATCTTGACTTGTATTTGTAATCGATTGTAATTAAATTAAATCATAGTTGTTTGAAGAGAAAGAAAATAAATTAATAGAAAAGATGAAATATGTTAATAAATTGTATCTGGGATATGTGTTTCGAAACAGTGAATTTGGAATCTTCATTAAATTCGCTCTTACTTTCTCTTTTTTGAATCATTCAAAATAACGAAGAGCGTTGTGTCATTCCCTTTCTTTCTTTCTCCATTCATTAATTTTTTGATCCTCGAATAATTTCTTTCAATTTCTCTCTTCTTTCCTTTTTTTCCAGAATGAATCATATGCAATGCATATCGCTATGCTTGATGGCGCTTGTTCTTGGACAAGCAGCCACTCTGCCACAGCACACTCAGTATCCGCAACAGTTCCAACAGCAGGTCAGAGACGAGAGGAAATTCGCAGAAAAGCCGAATGCAATGAAGAAGGTCGCCCTCGATGACCTAGACGACATTAGTACCAATCAGATTCAAGTAAATTATCGTTACATTCAATTTCTACAATATTTCATTCAATTATTCCCTCCTTCTTCACGTTTCATTCTCCTCAAAATCATCATAAATCTTCATAAATTGTTGACGAATCCTCTTCCGTTTGATCAGGAAGGTGGCAGTACCGGGTTCTCGTGGTCGAACATGTTGAGCATGCTGATGCAGATGATCCTGGGTCAAACGGGCGGAGTGACGGGCCCGAGCAAGAACGAGATCGACGACGGGGCACCGGCAAGCCCCTGGGCAAATTTGTTGTCTGTGGGGCTGAGGGTGCTCACCGCTCTTTTAGGAGGTCCTCAACAGTCCGTGGACGGTATCGACAAGGTTGATAACCAAAGCAGTCCCATGCAGGTATGTGCGGTATCCCAAACATTGTGGCATCCTTGTTTCTCCCCTGTTAATTACGGTCATTTCCGCTTCAACACCGATTTATCTGCGAATCAAATATATATATTTTAGGTAACGATACCTCTATTGATAAATACGATCAGCTGAACCTGAATATTTACCGAAATTAAGAAACACGAATTAGAAAGCAATCTTGATGATTGCTCGAAACGGTCCCGCACAACAGGAACAAGACAAGTGTTTCCGAGACTTTCATCTTGATCCGGGTCGCATAAATGAAAGCAAGCATGAGCCGAACTGACTGTATTGCGATTTAGGTCAAACTCGCTACAAACAGTAGAATACAACTGAATTATTCCATGGTATTATACATGTGATGATCAAGCGTATATACTCATTTATACAATTTCCATTTGTAGTTTTCTTTTTACCATGGAATCGTTCCTTAACGTAGAATAATTATCCAGAGACACACACACACACATACACACATCATACACACATATACACACATATATTTGCTGTACATTTGGATAGCTAATTAGAATTGGTAACGCATATATACATGCTGTAGACTGTACATCGCTGAGCATGACGCGGAGCAGAACACAGAGAGTTTGTCTCTTCCTCCTCTCAAATACACAATAATAGAATTTCGAGAAGGAATAATCGCTAGTTTGTCTCTCTTTCTCTCTTTCGTTGGAAAGACGCGACGTATCCGTGCACGTATTGTAAAATAATATCGTCGCTTTATACATATATATATATATGTTTCTACCTTTTTTTTTCTCTCTCTTTCTCTTTTGTTATTACAAAATTATTTTTGAATAGAAATCACAGCGGGCGTACGACGCGAATCGTTAATCCTGTTAACGAGCTCCATTGTCCCCTTAATCAATTAAGGGAACACTGATCACGTTAACGATCTTTACGTTTTCTAAACCGCGTAATTCCCTTTCGATTTAATATATATATATATATATATACATATTACGAATTCGAATCAAATCGATCGTATGTTGTTGTGATTTCGTGTAATTAATTAAAAAAAAAAAGAAAAGGAAAAAAAGAAAAAAACGATACTCTCCTCGACAAGATCTGTCGCTTGGGTGTAAAAAAGTTTACACAGACTCGACTCTTCTTCTTGTAAATAATCATCATCAGAGGACGTCAACTTAGAGCACATGGCTGGTGTCGGTTGTTTAGGGCATTTTGACTGCGGTGCTGGGCGCGTTTCTAGGACAGGGCAGAGATCCCGATCAGGTTGCTGTTATGGCTAAAAACGCTTCCGAGGTTAGTACGTGATCGTACACATACATTGTACATGAACAATTTTGCTTTTTTTTTTCTCTCTGATTGACGTTTCGACTACAAGAAAAACGATTTATTATTTCAAAATTATGAGACACATTGAAACATTTGAAACGATCAGAGAATTTGACGAAACGTTGACGAGTCAAAAAAATAAGTAAAATGAAAATATATATATATGCTTTTTCACGTGTAGACGCTTCTTTACCTTATTTACTCTTTTCTCGATATTATTTCACGATATTATCTCATTATTTAAATCATTTCTTTCGAAAACAGTTCATCAGCATAGTGATCAATCTATTGGACGCGTTGAAGACATCGTTCTCTCATCGTTCTTTGACGGCCAGATCAATGGGAAGACGGGATACAGTTTCGGAAGCTGCCGTCGCCTCCATTTCCATGCTAAAGGTAACCTCAATCTTGGAAATTTCTCCTCTTTCCTTTTTTTTCGTTTCAACTTGTGAACAAATTTATTTATTATTTCTTATTTTCAGGGCTACATGAGATCAGTGAAATCGTTTAACAACGTTGGCCGTGCCGAGGACGAAGGTCAACGTGGATGCGCCGAGAGAGCCCTCTGCGAAGCGAGTGCGGAATGCGTAGCGGATGCTCAAGGAACGTCATCTATCTTCTGTCAACTTGGATCGTAAGCCCATAACCTCTCTAAAACGATACTTTCTCTTAATTATTCGATTCACCATTCGTTGAAATAATGATATAATTATTTTTTTCAAGATACGCGACGAGCTATCTTCTCCAAAGACAAAGCGGAGTAGGTTTCGAGGCGCTGTACGAGGCTGGACGACGCGGGCGCACCGGCGAGGACTGTAGAACCCTGTTCATGGATTGCAACGCCGTATGAAAACCCGTTTCGAGTCCGTTCAAGTACGATTTAGATGGAGCTGGATTGATACCTGATACTTTCAATTCTTTCGATTTTTTTTAAATCAAATTCGACGAGGGATTCCATTTGAAATTTCGAAGAAGAATATTGGAATTTTACGGAATTTGTTATTAAACCAGATATCGCATCCTAAGGTTTAAATCGTATTGGAGACCGACGAAAGAGTAGCTTTATGTTCGAGAACCGTATCGAGACCAAACCACACAATGGCCATCTTCTGCTCGAGCCTCTCGTTCGACGAATTGTCTACGTCTCATCGATCGAATTGGTATCATTTTCTTAGAAGTTCGAATTTCAAGTTGAAAAATATAATTGAAATGAAACCGCGATTTAATTAGAATCTACGAAACTGTATAGAGTAATTTCTTGATTAATGATTCGCAATACCGGTGATTTATACGAAACTTTCTAAAAGTCTTCCAGAATTTCTGAATTCCTTATTTGCGCGAAAGGAGTTCGTGACAGAGCTGAAAGAAGAGGCCGTGCACTCTAGCGGGGAACGTATACATTTTAATGTAGAAGTAGACTGAATGAGATTCCAGATCTGGACAAACCATGTATCGTTTGAATAGATCTCTACGATAATCATGATATTTATTTCTATTTATTGAAAGACATAGAATTAGCGCGTAATCGAAACCCGAAGAACTACTATGTAAAGGAAAGACAAGTTTTTTCATTTAAAATCAATTTCCATTTAAAAATGTTTACGATATATTTATATCTCAATCCAAATCAGTTTTGATTCTTTCAACTTGTCTTTTCTTCGTTTTCTATTGTCATGTTCAAGCCAATCCTTCATATTTAATTTTTCACTTATTCGCATTCAACGAGACATTTTCTTCATTTTGTGGAGGAAGATGATTTTAAAATAGTTGAAAGTTTGAAATCTGGTAAATCATTTCACGTTTCTTTAACTCCTTTCTAATATTGTTCGAGGAGGAGTTCAAGGAAATTTGAATTCTCTTTTCTTTTATATTTGTACGAGTTAACGTCTCAGGATATTGTGTTTGTTTCATCACCCGCTAAAAATTTTTCATTGTATATAAGCGTTATATATGTATACACATAAATACACATACACGGGTGGAGTTTTTCACAATAGCCAAGATCTATTTAGCTCAGTTAGCGTATCACTTAGATGTAAGTTGTATGTATGATGTATGCGGTACGATGACATTTAAATTGAAGTTAATAAACGATCTTACTGATAAATCATCTAGTATTTTTTTTTAATTTTCCAAATTCATTTACACTGAAACATTTATACAATGTTAACAAAGAAACATAATTTCAATCTTGTTACTTTACAGTGAAAAGAATCGGCTCTATAACTTCGTATCTTTTATAATATACTTTAAAATATATGTATGTTGAACGTATAAAAACATAAAGTATATTTTGCCGATAAATTAGATAACTGATCAAAAAATTTTAATCAGCGCCATCTCGCGTTTGGATCTCCGAAGTTCCAATTTATTACTAGCATAACAGAATGTGCAAAGAGGTATACTATAAAAAAGGAGAGCAACACTAATCGAGAAGGATGGAGAAAGCGTGCCACTATTTTTGGTTATGTAGCTCCTAATATTTTCTAATATAATTGACGCAACGTTGAAAATTAATTAATTATTCATTTTTCACTAAAAACTTTTGCACTTTTAGACTTTTATCTCGAAACTAAGATCTCAGACAATTTTCTCATATGGATTTTAACGATAATTTCTTTTCCATTAATTATTTATTAACGATTAAAGCGCCATATATGGATCGACGTTACCGACATTCAATGCGTTTTTTACTAATTTCTTATTATTAAAGGATCAATTTCTAAATATAAATATATGCATTTGAAACGTTATACCCTTCTTTAGTTTCACGTATAATTTTCATTTATAACTTCTTTCTCGTTTGAACAAATAAATCGATCATTTCTTACTCGGTCACGGATTAAAGATTCGCGAGAATAACATTTGCCAAAATAATCGCTAATAAATAATTAATTAGAAAGAATCTCATATTAAAATTTATATGAGAAACTTGTTTCAAGTTCTATCTTTAGGATGCGATCTTAAAAGTACGGGAATTTTTAATAATAAATGAGTAATTAATGAATTTTCAATGTTGCGTCAATTGTATGTAAAAATAATAGTTTTTCTGTCCTTCTCGCACAATATTACTCTCCTTGTCTGTGACGTCATGGTTACTTACATACCTCCTTGCACATCCTGCTATGCTAGTAACAAGTCGAAGCTTCGGTGATCCAAACACGAGATGGCGCTGATTAAAATTTTTTAATCGCTATCTAACTTATCGACAACAAAATATATTTTCGTTTGTAGGATTTAAGGAAAGAAACGCAATAGCAACACAAACGAGATATAGTTTGATTTATATTTATAATATTTAATATAATATTTATATATTATATATTTAATACATTTTTCTGTCTCGCTTACATCAGAATCCTCTTATCGTTTTAACATCATTCTCAAGGATATCAGAAATTTTAAATTCAGAAAATTGCAAATTGCATTTATAGTAAGTGAGTGAATTCGAACTGAAACTTTTCAACATAAATACATCAGAAATAGAATAAAGGTATGCAAAATTTTCATATAAATTTTATATTCTTAGTTGTATTTTCTTTGTAGTATGACATTTTTCAAACAAAGTGAAATACTTACCAAAATCCTACTTGCTTCTTGAACCGATATTTTGAACTTATGTGCTTCGTTAGTCTCGTACAATTACACATAGTCAAAAGAATGAAAGAATAATGAGTCCGGAACTTCGTTGATTGTGAAAATTTTCCTTGTCTCCGAGACAATGAGTACATTTATTCGATGTAAACATGAACAAAGTGTACACGAGGACGATGTCGTTAATGAGCGTCAAGAAATTTACGAGCCATAACAGAAAGTTTAAAGGAACAGAGCGTTACAATTCTCGACGAAACAGTCTGACTTTAACGAGTCGTTGAAAGAGTTCGAATACATATTGCGAAAGACGAAAATTTTTCATTCGACGATTTTCTAAAGGTAAGAAACTTTCTATCCTTCTGTTGTGTCATTTTATGTTTTTCTGTGTGACGATTCTTTCAAAACTTAATGTGCTAAAAATATATTCGATCGAAATTCGATTTTTTGTTATTTTTATGAATTTTTGAAATTTTCATAACCTAAATGATGAATAATATATTGTATAAATAATTTACGAAATATTACAATTTATGAAATTCGCGAGTTTAAAAGTTTCAAATATTCCATTCGTATTTAATACATCAATGTGATCCAATTCTTCTTGTAGATGACATTCAAATCCTTGATGAATCTCGGAAGCTTGAATGATCCTTATCATCCTGGTATTGATAGGTACCATAGCGGTTCTGGTGGTTATCATCACGGCGAATATGGAGGATACTATCATGGTTCACGAGGGTGAAATAAAATATTCATAATTTTCTTTTTTTTTTTTTATTATTCATTTCTTTTATATATAATAATCAGAGTAAAATTAAATCGAATTTTTATAAACTTTCAGAAGTAACAAAAATAAAAATGACAAAGGAGCTGCACTTAGCGCCTTGACTTTACTTGCTTTCCTGTTCTTATTAAACGTCATGCAGGTAATTTTACGTTGTCTTTTTATTTTCTTTTTTTAAAAGATAAGCAATCATTTTCTATTAGTATAGTACAAATAGAACTTTATATAAATAGCGAATATCAACAAAATTTACTCGAATTTATTCGAATTAATTTTATGATTTCAGCAATCGATGCAAGAAAATAATAATACAATTCCGACAACGACATCCACGATATTTTTACGCGATATAGATCAACCGATAATGATAGATTCGAAAGAGGAGGAGAAGAAGAGGGATGAAATGAAGAAGGATGGTATAATAACTGTAAAATCCAAGATTCAAAGGCTTAACAGTCAATATATTAAATGAAATCAGATTAGTACACAATGATTTGGTACAGAATAGTTAAAAGTACTTAGATGAATAAATGAAGAATATTTTTTGGATCGATATCGAAAATCGAAAATTTCTCTCGTACATGTTTAACGATTCATCCATGAATTATCAGCATGAAATTGTATTAAGATAATATTTATTGAATCATTCTGTAACAATTCCTTAAACAGATGTGCTTTGAAATATCATATATGCAGCATACGCTATTCTTTTAATACATTCCATTCTTTTTTTCTTTTTTTTTGCTGATCTTTGTTCTTCATTTTTTTTCTATACATATATATATATATATTTATTTATTTATTAACTTATTTATTTATTTATACTTTGTAATGTACTTATATATATATGTATGTATGTATGTATGTACATACATATACTTACACATACATATATATATAATAGCCGTATAATTTTTTTTAAGAATAAACATACATATATACAGCGAAAAATGTTGATCTCTTTTTTTTTTTTACCTTTGAATTTATTCGTTTTACGAACGAATATGAATACGAACATTATTTTCGGTAAGTCGACGCGTAACTCAGTCGAAAGATATATATATATATATATATATATATATATAAGAATAGACTCTATAGGAATAAATAATTTGCAATTTCTCACACACACACAGAAAATAATAGGCTTAGAGCCGTCCACGACGAAGCTTCTTGCTTTTTCTACGGATTTCTTTCTTTTTCTTTTTTTTTTTTTTTTTTTTTTTTAATTCTTTCGCACGCGACTTTTATCCTTATTTTTTTTCTCCTCAATCTTTTCTCGCGCCCAGAAGAAATAGTATGTATAATAGTTATCGCAGTGGGGGAGTATTTTTAAATTTCGTGCATTAACAATAAAATATCGATCGTGTTTCCTCTTTGTCGTTTTTCTCATTTTCTTCATCATCGCGGGATCACGTTCGATCACGTTGATATATTATAACGACAATTATCGATTTCAATTGAATTTTCAATTATTCGAAAGAGAAACTCGATCGAATGATCGAATTTTTTGATAACCCTCCGAACATATTTTGACGTATCTTTTTTTCAATAAGTTCGAAGATAATAGTAATAATAAAATTCTTTGAGATCGGCCTCGAAGCCTTCGAACACAGATTTTTTTTTATCGATATTAAAAGCGATTAAAGGAAAAATGTCGAAATGTCGCGTCACTGGAGTCAATCGATCTCACGTCGAGAACTGTTCCTCGAAGAGGTTATGTTGGAAGACTCGTGTTCCCTTTGCCGAATACTCCCTGAAATTTCCACGATTAATATCAAAAAATTCGTTTCTCGACTCGTGGACGATTCCTTGCCATAGATTCATTCCTTAATTTCTAATACGTGAGTACGAACCAGGGCAACTTTTTGACGGTGAGAGAGCAATACNAAAAAAAAAAAAAAAAAAAAAAAAAAAAATAAAAGAAAAAAAGGAGAACGTATTTGAAATGATTAAATTACTCGTTAAAACGCACTTTTTTTATTCTCTTTCTCCGTCTGCTTTCGCTTCCCTTCTCACTCATTGTTTCTCTCTCTTTTATTTCTTTTTCATTTCAAGTTTGATTTTATTCTCATTCTCTTATGCTTTTCCACGATATGCATTTTTTTCTAATTCATTATTTACAATTTTAGAAATATCAAATTATTTCGGTTATCATTTCCACTTGTCGTTGAATATATTTTAAAAAGTATAATTACGAATAATGTGATGTGTATTGCTAAAGAATATCGAAAAGGAAATATTTTTCATAAGAATTTTTTTCTTCAATAACTTTACACTCTTTCCTATCTCTTTTTCCCTTCCATTAAAACGGAAGAAACGATATAAAAGCGGTTCATCGATCTCTGATATTATCACTAATTCGATTTATCGATTAATATAATATATATAAATATAATCGATATAATAATTTAATTCGATAATCGATAGCTAATTGATTTTTGTCGATGTTGTAATTAATCATCGAGTAATGATGCAAAAAAAAAAGTTGAACTTTCTTTTTTCACCTTTTGTCTCATCTTTTCATTTTCCGACTATTGTTCTCACTCATCGAATCGTTATTCACGTTAATTGCGATATATCGCGATCGATAAGATTCTTTCTTATCAATTAACGAGGATCGAACAACAATTACAATTATCTCTATTATCTTGTACTTTTCGATTTGACTTTCACGAAACAGAATTTTTCCGACACTTGTTTTCCGATATTTGAAGCTTCCAAAAAATCCAAACTTAATTTATTACAAAAGCAATTTAGACGAAAACACATTCGAGCGAAGAAGTTTTTATCGAACGATGAAAGAAAACATTGATTGGGAAGCCTAAGCGATTGAAATTTATCGCGAGTTACAAAACAATTCAGATAACCTATCACATATTTTCAGACTCGAAATAAAGGATGATCGTTATTCCAGTGACGCGAGACGAAGCAATCGAAGCACTTGAACGAAACGCAATCGGATCGATTCTGTCGGTTATGATCGTTTGATTTTTGTCGTGATTATAAGCGTCTAACATCGATATCTTCGCTATTTATACTCGTCGGCTCAATATATTGGGAGATCGTTGCCATTTTTCTTTCGTGAACGATGACCGTGGACAATATTCACATTTTCGAAATTCGAAGCTCGATAAATTGCAATGAATCCGAGGGAAAATAAAAATTAATTTTATGAATATGGAATGATATGCACGCATACACGCAATCACAATTATCCACGCGTATAATACTGAGAGAATGATTTTTCGACGATGCGCATCACATGCGTCCAATGAAATTTTCGAATATTCGCTGATTTTCGCGTACACGCGATTAACTCTATTTTAATAGAACACGTGTCATACGCAAAAATCGATTGATTCAACGTAACAATCATTCTTATAATTTCTCTAATTTTCTATGATTCTCTACATTCGTGGCACTTACAGATCTAAATTTATCTACATGATATGAAGAATCGAAAGTAAGCTCTCTTCGTGACACGCTCCTTTTTCTTTTTTTTTTTTTTTTTTTTTTTTTACACCAGACGATCAACAAAATAACGTATTCTTCTCTTTATCAGTCTGGAAACGGAAGGAGCTCGCTGCTACGAAGTTTGCCAATGATATTCGAGAACACACATATTACGGGCTTCGAGGTCCTGTCTATAATTGGTCGCAAAAATATTTGAACGCATTATTCGCTATTATCATATACTTTCAAGACGATCTAAACGCGATCGTTAATAAACTATCCACTAATTTTCATTCTTTTTCTAGCGTAAAGCGTCGACATTCGACTTTTAATTCCGAGTTCGAAGCTTCGAAAAACCGAGGATTGTTTCTCTCTCACGAATCATCGTCCGCGATTCGATCTCCCGTTCTCGTAAGGAAGCATTTGGTCAACACGCGCGCAAAGCATCGTTTCTTTTTTCAAGGGTTGATGCGCGACGAGGGAACTATTAACGAAAGAACGAACGAGTTCTCGTGGAAGTTACGCCCTTAGATTAAAATGTTCTCGAAATCGTTACAGGTTATGTACAAATGTGTGTGCTCGCGTTCGTGACATATTCGCGTTTTAATCGGCTACGAAGCGCGATTAAAAATTAGCATTGACGTTCGATGTTCGATAACCGGTTGATAAACAAGGCTCGTAGACAACGACGAGAAAAGTCGAGGAAAGTGGAGGAAAATCGGAACGATTACACAATATAGATACAATACTCTAATACCAGAGCTCTTACTATCGACTCTAGCATCCGAACTCGAGTTTAATTTAAAACTCGAAGCTCTGTTGTGAATACATTTAAATTTGGTCTCTTCAATTTCAATTCAAAATCTCGTATTTGGAATCATGAAAGAAAACTCGAGTTACAATGAGCATGTTTCGAACACTCGGATATCCGGTTAATAAGAGCTCTATTCCAAACGCGCTTAACACGATACTTATTTCCCCGAATAACGAATTACTCTGTTACTCTTTAATTAGATATAACGAATACGACTGCACAGAAAATGTTGCAGTAAACTAGCATTAAACTTTGCTACTGAAATTGACATGATACAGACAAGAGAAACCGTTTAGACGGTTTTGATAATAGATAGAAGCGAGAAAGAGAAAATAAGAGTAGAAAGGAGAGAGAGAGCAGAGTCGATTCGTTATCCAGTTTCGACGAGATACATTAGAGATTCGGATCGGTTATAGATGCAACGAGAACTCGGATCGAGAACAGTTCCAACAAGGTGTTGAATCTTCGTTCCGATTAACAAGAGGATAATAAGGCGAGGCGTGCCGTGAATGAACTATTATTGGTGCAGGGTCTCGTCAGTCTCGTCCTGGGATACGATACTGGACCGATTCGACCTGATGTCCAGATCCATGCTGAACGGCTTCGCCGATAACGGTTGCGTAGTGTTGTTCTCCTCGATGCTCAGGCTACACTCCAACGAGCTGTCACTGAAAGTACAAAAACAAACCTCTACTCATCACTAGCGTCTTCGACGATTGTTCTATTCACACCGATTCGACTTTGATCGACAATCGTACCCGGGCGTGTTTACCTGACGATACTGGCGCGATCCAGGGACGTCGACGTAGGCACCGTACAGTTGTCACCGTTGCAAGCACGTTCCCCGTTGCTGCTGCACGAGGACGATGCCCTCGTCGCAGCCGCCTCTTTCATCGACGCTCGTCGCGACTCTTCGTGGCACTCGCACCTGTTTAATAATTTTATTTTAATCTAAAGAACGTTCAGGATAACTCGAGACAGTCGCAGGCACTGCAAAATCAACTCGCTGGAAGAGGGCGCTTTCACGGAGAAGCATGCGTACCTGCATTCCTCCGGTTGAACGTAACTGTATCCACCTGATTTCACCTCGTCTTCGGGCCGAGGGATCGTTTGAATCCTCTTCGGCGCTTTCCTCTTCTCCGGTATCTCCTCGAAATTGATCCAATTGCTCGGCCTGGCCGTGGCCCTCGGTGGCAGTGGAGGAGGACTCGGCGACTTGCCCGCGGTTTTCCGCCCCCCGTCGGGCACCTTGCCGGCGAACTCCATGAACGTGTTCGCCGCGTGCTTCCTCGGGCTCTTCAGCTTGAAACTTTCTTCCCGGGGCAGCGATATCTTCATTTTCTCCACGCGGCGCTCGTCCAGAGACGTCTGCATCACGAACTCGTCGAGCAGTGTCGGGTTTATCGGTGTCGTAGAACGCGGCCTCTCGATTGGTATCGTTCTAAACAGCGACCAATCTCGTTCGATCATCGTCGTAGAGATGGGAGGGGGGGAAATAAGGGGAGCAGTTTACCTTACTTCCTGAAGTCGTTGTTTCACAGGCAGGATCGGCACAGCCACGCTCTTCTCCAAGGGGAGGGTGGTCGGGATATAGGGGAGATCCTCCTCGAAGCTCTCCTCGTAGAACAGGCCTTTCCTCTCGTCGGGCAATTCCTCGGCAAGCTTCTCCACCTTGTTCCTGACAAACTCGATCTCCGAGTCCCTCTCCGACTCCGAGCTGTTGCGATCCAAATCCGAGATCACGCTCGGCGTTTTCACCAGCTCCTGATCCGCGACCCTGATCCCCTCGTCCAACAAGTCCGCCCTCCTGCTCTCCGCGCTTCTAACCTCCGCGTGTCCCCTCATCTGCCTCTGCCTCGACGAGACAGTGTCCTCCTCCCTTCTCTCCACCGACTGCTCGACCGGTGCTGCTTGCTGCGCCTCCCTGCTCCTCCTCTTCGGTTTCGTCGCGTCCCTCTTCCCCAACGAGTCTTTGGACGAGCTGCTGGACACCCGATGCTCCGCAGGAGGCTTCCCCTCCACGGACGAGGACGACCTGACCTCGCCTTTCCCATGACCGCTCAGCTTCGAGTCCTTCGACGAGCTTCTCGATATCTCGGACTCCTTGGAGCCGCTCCGCGGTACCTGTACCGCGTCCCTCGAGTACGACCTCTCGATCAACGCCTCGGTCTTTATCCTCGACGAGGAGGGCGGAGGGGGTGGGTAATGCTCGATCGACGCTTCGGTCACGATGCTTCCGGTCCGTGGCTCCGACTCGTACTCGTCCAACAATTTGGTGGGCGTTTCGAGGGGTATGGAGACGCTCTCGGAGGGGAGGGCCTCCTCGTAGTTCCTGTCGTCGGCGTGCAAGCTAATGAAGATGGAGTCGTCCTTGCGGCTCTCCTTCTCCGCGTTGAACCGGAACTCGACGTGGCCGATGCTCTCGAGGGAGGGGTGGCCGGCGCCCGCCGGGGCGTTGAGCTCGACGGAGGCGGAGGTGCAGGAGGCAGCGATCGCCTCGTCGTAACTTTTCTTTCGCTCGCGTTTCTTGAACAAGCTCAGCGTGGACGAGAACACCCCCTTGTTCTTGGACTCCTTTCTCAAAGCGGCGGCCCCTTTGTCGGCCGGGGGGGTCACCCGGTCCCTCGACTTGGACCTGCTGCGCAGACTCTCGGTGGTGTCCCTGATCTTCGAGGTCAAGCTACGGCGAGGCTTGGTGCTGGGCGACGGTGATTCTGGGCTCAACACACTGCTGTCTGTACGGGCCTTAAAAGTTGAACACGCGGTGGTCAAGTACATGCACTTGTGTGTCTGTTTGTTCGAGATTTCTTCTCGACTAAGCTAGCGGATCTTCTACAAAGAGACAAAGCCAGGATATCCGTGTGGAATCGATGTGCGAAGCGTTACATGCCTATCATCTACTTTTTTAATTAAGTTTCATCTATAAATTATTACAATTATTACAGGTGGTATACACAGCAGCGTATTACGTGTTCACAACGTGGTGGTTACAACGAGGGTACCTTGAACAGGGAGGTGAAGCTGCTCTTTCTCGAGACGGAGGAGGGGCTGGGTGTACGGGATCCCTCGAGGTCGCGGACCTTCTGATGCCTAGGCAACTTTGGGCTACCGGTCGCGCTGCTCGTTGTCGGGGTTGTTTGCACTATCTCCTTGAAGTTCTGCGCCTTTTTCCTCTTGTCGTTGAAATCCAGAGTGGCCGGCTTCTGCACCTCTTGCGCCTGTTCACTTCTCGCCAATTGTTGCTCCGTTGTATTCTCCGATCTCTTTACCACCGGCACCTTCAATGAGAAATGCGTGAGGAATGTGAAGAAACAAAAGGAATCAGATATTCGATTTTCGTTTACCTGTATATTCACCTTCTCGAGAAATCTCTTCGTGATTTCGACTTCTCTTTTAAAGATCTCCTTCCTCTCCTCTCGACCCCGCCTCCTCGGTTTATCCAAGGGATCCGGCTTCAAATTTCCGTCCACCATCGACACCTTTATGCTCTCCGGGATCAACGCTTTCGTGGTGTCCGCCTCCCGTTTCAACAGGATCTTCTCCAGATCGTCCGTCTCCGGCTTCGACGGTTCTATCAGGTTATCGGCCAGCGTCGGCTTGCTTCCGCAGAACGACGTTTCGAGTAGACATTTGTGCGGGCTCGGTGACCTGGAGATGAGTGACGTTTATTTAGTTAAATTTCGGGATTCAAACGTGAGTCAATATACAGGGTGCCCCAAAAAACGTGGAAACATTCTTGCTCGATAATATATATTGCTCCTCTCGACGAGATTGGTTAAGAAAGTGATAACGAGATGGAAAATGGAAAATTTTTGAAATTAGCGGAATCTTGGTTAAGTTGGAAGTTGTTAAAATTTTTGGAAAATGTTTGAAATTAGGGGAATCTTGGTTAAATTGTTAAAATTTTTGGAAAATATTTGAAATTAGGGGAATCTTGATTAAATTGTTAAAATTTTTAGAAAATGTTTGAAATTAGGAGAATCTTGGTTAAATTCTTAAAATTTTTGGAAAATGTTGTTTGAAATTAGGAGAATCTTGGTTAAGTTGGAAGTTGCTAAAATTTTTGGAAAATGTCATTTGAAATTAGAGAAATCTTGGTTAAGTTAGAAATTGTTAAAATTTTTGGAAAATGTTTAAAATTAGGGGAATCTTGGTTAAGTTGGAAGTTGTTAAAATTTTTGGAAAATGTTTGAAATTAGGGGAATCTTGGTTAAATTCTTAAAATTTTTGGAAAATGTTGTTTGAAATTAGCAGAATCTTGGTTAAGTTGGAAGTTGTTAAAATTTTTGGAAAATGTCGTTTGAAATTAGGAGAATCTTGGTTAAGTTGGAATTTGTTAAAATTTTTGAAAAATATTTGAAATTAGGGAAATCTTGGTTAAATTACTACAATTTTTTTGGAAAATGTCATTTGAAATTAGGGGAATCTTGGTTAAGTTGGAAGTTATTACAATTTTTGGAAAATGTTTGAAATTAGGGGAATCTTGATTAAATTCTTAAAATTTTTGGAAAATGTTATTTGAAATTAGGAGAATCTTGGTTAAGTTGGAAGTTGTTACAATTTTTGGAAAATGTTTGAAATTAGGGGAATCTTGGTTAAATTCTTAAAATTTTTGGAAAATATTTGAAATTAGGGGAATCTTGGTTAAATTCTTAAAATTTTTTGAAAATGTTGTTTAAAATTAGGAGAATCTTGGTTAAGTTGGAAGTTGTTAAAATTTTTGGAAAATGTTTGAAATTAGGAGAATCTTGGTTAAGTTGGAAGTTGCTAAAATTTTTGGAAAATATTTGAAATTAGGAGAATCTTGATTAAATTGTTAAAATTTTTAGAAAATGTTTGAAATTAGGAGAATCTTGGTTAAGTTGGAAGTTGCTAAAATTTTTGGAAAATATTTGAAATTAGGGGAATCTTGGTTAAGTTGGAAGTTGTTAAAATTTTTGGAAAATGTTTGAAATTAGGGGAATCTTGGTTAAATTCTTAAAATTTTTGGAAAATGTTGTTTGAAATTAGGAGAATCTTGGTTAAGTTGGAAGTTGTTAAAATTTTTGGAAAATGTCGTTTGAAATTAGGGAAATCTTGGTTAAGTTGGAACTTGTTAAAATTTTTGAAAAATGTTTGAAATTAGGGAAATCTTGGTTAAATTACTACAATTTTTTTGGAAAATGTCATTTGAAATTAGAGGAATCTTGGTTAAGTTGAAGTTGAATCTTGGAAGAGCTAGAATTTTTGGGACACCCTGTACATATTTGTTGATTCTGGAGGACATCGAATTACCTGGACGACGTGGCTGACACGACGGAAAGCTTGCCAGACGCCCCGGAACCTTGACTACCGACTGACGAGAGCCTGGACGTTCTCCCACTGATGTTCAACAGAACAATCTCCGAACAATTGCTGTCCTTACGCTCTCTGTCCAATTGTTTGCCGCTGTAGTCGGACAGAGAACCATCCTCCTTCCGCCTCTTGGCCAATTTCTTCGATTCCCTTTTCAGATCTTGCTCGTGAATCGGATCTTGCAGGTCGAGCTCCTCCGTCGACGATCTCAGATCCTGGGCGTCCTCCTTGTAGCCCAGAGTCAGCTTGCATCCGGGTGGAGGTTCTCCGCCTGCCCAATTCGTTACAATTTTGTTTTGTTATTAATTATAATGTATCTCGAGAAGGATCGAAAAGTCTAAATTCTACAGACACGAAAAAGAATTTCTATCCCATTTTCTTTCTAACGCAAGGCTACGGTTAACCTCTTCGGGTAAGTTGTTAAGAATATATAATATGATGATGAAAGTGAAGTAAAATATTATTTGTGCTTGTTTTTATTATTAAAAGATGCGAAAAGCGAAGACAAATTTTTTTCTTTTGTTCTTAGAACGATTTCAATTTAAAAAATTAAAGGTATACACATGTGTCGGTGTTCCCGAAGAGGTTATAAAGGCGAAATTCTAGTTACGGATACGCTACCTACTTTTTATTTTCAAACGAAAACTCAACGAATATAAAACCTTCGTTTCTACATTCATCCTGGTACTGTTTAATTGGCAAACTTCGAAAGTAATAAAAACGCCGAATCGTTGGATTGGCATAAGGTTCCTCTCGTTTTTTTTCCACGTGAATTGAAATTTACGATAATGTATATTTTTAAAAAAAAAAATACGAGGCAGCTTCGTTCTCGTAATAAATTTTCTGTTCACAAATAAAAAAAAAGATTCAATTTCTGAAAATGTTGTTTTTCTAGGTGGATTTCGATGCATCTTTGATATCATGTTCAAATATCGAACAAATTTATACCATGATGCATATCGCTCTTTGATTTCTTCAAATCATTTTCTCCAATTTTCATATCAACTCTTTCTTTCATCAAATATTTGCCTAATTATCGCACATAATTAACAAATCATCTCTAAATTTCAGCAGCTATTATTTTTTGCACAAACATCGCAGTTAATATAACCTAAAAATTATTGACATGCGTAATAAATGCAAATCAAATTAAACTTCCATTGAACGATAACTTTGAAACAGATCTCGCATTTCGAAATCAATATCAACGTGTAAAAACACATAAAACGTTAACTCGAATTTAAGAAGAAAAAGAAAACGATCGTCCGTTAAAATTGTAAAAAGATCGAATCCGATGAACTCGTTATCGCGTTACAGATCAGCAAGAAAAATGCTACGAGTGACGGAAAAAGGGAGGAGAAGATTCACGAGGCAATCGAGAATCATGTCGCTTTTTGAATCGAGTATGTTCGCGACAAAGGTCCTCTCGAATATAGGACAAATTTGCAGTGGAGACCTCTCCGTAATGTATATGCGTATTAATTCGTGGCGCGCAAGCAGAAACAGGGCTCGCATTATCTCTCGAGGGAGCATTTAGAAACAACACGGTGAACACATCGTATTCTGTTCTCTTCTCGGATCGATCGTGACCCAGCCTCGTGGTAACCTTCTTCTTCTATGCCAGTCCAGGAGAATCGTCCACGAATCGATACGAGTCATATGTATGATCTTTTCACGATTCGATGATATTTCTAATGGATTCGAGCTACTGTAAACTAATCACTACATCGAAACAGGAGAATCGTTGAAACGCTTCGAGTGACATCTATGATCTTTTCACGATTCGATGATATTTCTAACGGATTCGAGCTACGGTAAGTTAATCGCTATATCGAAATAGAGTCTAGGAGAATCGTTTTTCGAATCGATACGAGTCACATCCACGATTCGATCATATTTCTAATGTAAGTTAAGTTAATCGTTATATCGAAAGAGAATCGAGGAAAATCGATCTTCTCACAATTCGATGATATTTCTAATGGTGGATTAGTTAATTAACTAAGTTAATCACTATAGATGAAAGAGAGAATCGTTTTGTTTCTCGAATCGATACGAGTCACATCTATGATTTTTCTACAATTCAATGATATTTCTATTTCTAATTTAAGCTACTGTAAACTAATCGAAAGAAAAGAAAGGTTTAGGTTTTGCTACTCAACGCGTTACGAAACACTCGTAATACGCATGATCGATATTTTAATCCATCTATGCTACATTTTAGAATTTGTTTGAATGTGATCAAAGTTGTACGCTTACGATAGATTCCATCAAATGCACATGTGTGTAGAGGTTTGCTACAGCTGCGTACTCTCTGTTCTTTTAACTCGAAAGGTAAATTATACGCGGAAAAGTAAACTAAAGAACGTCTCCACTCAACTATGAAATCGAAGAGAGTACACGTTTTGATGGATTATTTCCCTTTTAACTCCACGAGAAAAGAAAAAGAGAAGAAAATATTGGCAAAAAGTATTCCTTTAAGATAGAATAACTTTCTTAAAATTCAATTGATCAAACGACTCGAATTTTCTTTTTGAAAACTTGGAAGGATTACTTTACCAGATAGACGGAAAAAGATGAAGAAAATAAACAAACCTTTTTTATAAACTTTTCTTTTATCCTGAAAAATTAAACGATACGTTTTGTCACGATTTATGTCACTTGTACGCACGCTAAAAATTTCATCGAAATCGATATAGAAATAAACGATAGGCATCGAAGTATGTAAAAATCTATTGATTTATATATACGATCGAATACTTTCTGCCAGATGATTGTGTTATAAGCACATAATTTGTCACATCGACGAGGTGTTCGTCGTTCGAAAATTTGCACGCGATAGAGATAGAAACTAACGAAACACTATCCAGCGATATAATTGGATCTCGTCATACGTTTCTCGCGACCGTGGAAAATTCAATTTCCCTTCGCAGAAACGATTTAACTTCCAATTTCCCTCCCACGTGGAAACTTCTTCTTTCTTCCCCGCGGTGTCTCTCGTAACAGGACTCGTAACTAGGACTCTGAGCCGGTGGATGAGTCAGATCCAATTGTTAATTCGAAACTCAAATAACCCTAACTCGTTGGCAATGAGTCACTCGCGATATTATCGTTCCCGTGCTTCGTTAGAGGGTGGGAACTCGAGGATGTCGGTTATTCACGTGACCCCGTCCATCTTTACAATGCGCGCGGATATTGGTCGTTTCAGAAACTTGACACGATGGCGCTGAGATACATGTGAAAAGGATAAATCGAATACCGATACGCTTCGAAGTTTCGCGCCAATTTTCTTGGACGACGTTACCGACAAACAACGAAACTATATAAAATAGCGAATAATAAAATAATAATAAAATATTCGTTCATAAAAAAGGAAGATAGAAAAATATACAAAGTTTTTCTGATAAATTAATATATGGTAGACTAAATAGAGATGATGAAGTCAAGAATAAAGTTTCATGAATTTTTAATTGATTTCTCAAAGAATAATTATAGTGGGCGTACGAAGAATGACGATCAACTATACGAATAAATGTTATTCGAGCGTTTTAAATATCGTTTAAATATCATAGTTTATCAAAACGGGCTGAAAAATTAATTAATTAAAACATTGAATAAAATTAAGTCTCTCTTTGTATATTCGACGCTTCGAATGATAAAATTTATTCAAGTAACCATCTTCGCAATATTAACTCACTGTCCCCACCCACGATTTCAATGCCATAATCGACGAATACTACGTTCAATCGAATTCCCTTTTTAATACCACGCGAACGCGTCCCTCTCACATTTCGTTAACCGTTTCTTCTATCGAAACGGCATACACGACGCAGGAAGAAAAAGGAGAAACGACGTGACAAGTTTTTGACGCGGTTCAGAAGAATACCTGCGAGGAGTTCCCTCTCGGGCGTGGAATCCCTGGAGTTACTGTCCTCATGGTGGGAGGAACTGCTCGCCCTGCTGATGTCAATTCTCGGCGTGCTGGGTGTCTTAAGCGAACTACCAGGCGTTGCCGGCGTGGTGACCTCGACGATGCCTGGCATTCGCGCAGCCGGTTCCCCCTGCATTCAAATTCGTAAGGCTGGTTTTGTCGTGTCGAGTCACAGTCACTGGGGTGTGATGGTTGATTGGTTGGTTGGTTGGTTGGTTGGTTGGTTGGTTGATTGGTTGGTGACGGACAACGCACACACAGGTGTCGCCCCGTGTCTCACGGGGACACGCGGAGATTTTTCGACTTTGGAAGGGGGAACGCGCGTGATCTTGGCGAGATCTTGGACGATCTTACGCGCACACTTCCGTCCCGCTCGGATACAGCCGACTTAGAAGTGAGGAGACTCGGGGAGGACACAGGGAAGGACTCACGTTTTCCACCTCGTCGGACAGGTCTTCGAAGGATGCTATCGGCGCTGGTCCAAGCTTCCTCTGATGAACGCTCGGTATTCCTGACGCCATATTTTTCGATAGCTCAGCCCTCGATGATGCTGCAAAAACAACGATCCTTTATTTCCAATCCCCAATCTTCTCCTTCTCCTTCCCGCTAAAAAAACTCTTGGAAAACAAGTAATGCAAAAATAAGTAGCTCGGAACAAACGAGTTTACACTCTTCTCGATATTATTCGCGATCGAGTATTATTTAAGAAAAGTATCGAGAGTATATTTAAGATAGGAGCGCTGTCGATTCAACTTCGCGTTTTAAAACGGACGGATCTATTGCCGGGGAAGTTGCGATTGCGAATCACGGCCGGTGTCGAAGACGCTAATCAGCGTTTAAGCGAAGGACGTATCGATTAACCGGCGCTCACGTGGTGCAGGATGTGCCGACATTGAGGGCCACTTGTCATACACGATCGGGCGTGCTCGACCGCGTCGCGCCACCAATTTTCCATCAAATTCTTCTCTCCATGTTTTTCGCCACGGCCTTATTACCCCGTATCCTCGTTTCACTTCTCGCCTCGTAAAACCATTCGTCCTTCGAATATTCGCGCGATATTATAATTTTATTACACGGGTATATTTTACGATGGATAATTACGACGCGTGCACCGTAAATTTTTCCAAATATGAAAAATGAAAAAGATTTTATCTTGATTTCGATATGCACATTTATCCCGTTACATACATTCTTAAACATTTTGTATTTATGAATTTTGAAATGTGAGAAATGGAGAAGAGTTTTTCAGAAATTTTCTCGTGGATTTCGTTAGATTCTTGTCTCGAAAAGTGTTAAGAAAAGAGGAGGTAATCGAATCTGTGAACAACCACATCCGAGTGTCAACAAGTTGCAAACCGCGAAAATTGACACGAATCACACACTCATAACTCGGTCGTTCAATTTTCAACGGCGCGTTTGGTTTATTCGATCCTTTGTTCCGTTCGATTCGAGGACACGACGATATCCTTGATATTCGCGAAGGCGAAGACTGTCGTTTCTCTTTGAAATGAAATGCGGGGGTGGGATTGAGCGAGGTTGTCCGTCAAAGGAAAAAACATTGAAAAAAAAAAAAAAGAAAATATTCGAAACCTTGAGAATTAATTTATCGAGTTGTTCTATCGTCATCCAATTGACACGAATTAAATTTTGAAAGAAAGATCGGCGCACGATTGGCTCTCCGTATTATCACGATATATCGTTAAATAAATTCCATTAATGGAAAAATATAATAGACTCGGGAAGAAAATATTTGCAAAAAATCTATAACCACGATTTTCGAAATTTTTCTTCGAGTTTTAAAAATTTTTGAAGTCATTCGAAGTGAGAAAAAATGAAAAAGACACCAGCAAACTTAAAAATTCGAAATTTATTATTTTCGTTAAATAATAAAATTGTGCGCACAGTTGAATGTCAATTCAAAAAAAAAATCTTTCCGCGCGCGATTCAATCTTCGAATTATTATCGAAGGAATAAAAATACGTTGCGCGTAACATAAGTTTGTAATAAAACGATGTTTTCCTCTGAAGTTGACTCTAGTTGAAAACATTGAACAGGGCAGAGTACCTATCGGTCGTTTCGATGGGGCATACTGGGAAACGAGTTAATCCGTTAAAAAACTTAGTTCAAGCTCGCCGTTGCTTCGTAAGGAAGAGAGAAGAAAAGAAAGAGTAAGTAAGAAAGGTCGTTGATACGCTGAGCCAATTAGCAACCGAGTCTCGAGGGTCTCATGCTTGAAACGTGTTAAATACACGCTACGCGCACACACACATACGCGCCTCGAACAATCTAATTGTAAGTTCTCCATGGATGACGAATATTATCGATTGAGAGGCAATCGAAGGAACGGTGAATTGGCGCGAAGAACTGTGAAAATCTTCGTTCCTCGATTTTCAGTCCACGAAATTGAGTGAAGTAATTATACACTCGTCGAAATGTATTCTTTTCAAGATTTGTTCGATGATAAATTTCCTTTTTTCGTTTCTCGATCTTCTGAATGAATTCGAGAAAAAGGGAAAAAGGGAGAAAAGCAAGAGCTAAGAATTTTTTCACGAATATCCTAACTTTATCCAATTGTTTATAAAATTGTTTCTCTAAATGAAAATTTTCGCAATGATCGATTTACAATATATTATAAGTTTGTCATCTCGATTAACAAAATCGTAATCTCCCTCGTCACGAATTTTCTCGTCTTCGATCGAAAGTGATCGGATCGATCATCGATGGAGACGAAAAATTGGGGACAAAGGGATTGGAAGAAATAAGGAAGATAGTCGTTGCAATCTTTTGTAATAATATCTATAAAGTTGGAGAATTTGGCCTGAAGCCGAGCGAAGCTACGATAGAATTCGCCTGTCTATTTCCCCAAACTTTTCTCTCTGCTCGCCAATGAATTATACAGATCCTCCGATTTATCACGCTATTTTCGAATGGGGGAGTTTCGACGGTTACGACGAACGCGGTCAAAACGATTCGTAAATCGATCGATAAAGAGAGATCTGAAACGAGATTTAAATTTCGAATAGAATTCCTTTCTATTCGAATCGCTAACGACTTTTTCGTTGTTACAATTTTCTTTCTTTCCAACTTACCACTTTGCACCAATCTAACCTCTCTCTCGAACGCGATTTCGACACGCTCCGTTTGACACGTGGACGACGACGGTCACCGACACGCCACACACAACGAAACGATGCTCGGCCATGTTTGCGGATCGCCTGTTCTTTCCATCGACGAAGTTCAAAGGGATTGCCTCAACGCTCTGCACCCTCCTCTTTCGGTTACATTTGTCTAGACCCGGTTAAACTCGTCCTTTGTGTCTTGCCTATTTTGTTTTTCGTTTTACTACGACACGAAACAATTAATCAATCAATACATTACATTACATTTGTCTAGATCTGTATTCTTTGTGTCTCGTTTATTTTGTTTTTCATCTTCCTTTTCCTTTTTTTCGTACAACACGAAACAATTAATCCAACGATCAATCGATATACATACGGCACATACAAGCTTATCTTATGTTCCTTACTAGGTTCTTAACCCGTGAATAAGTGGAGAAAGGGTATGGACCCTTAAATCTATTGGATCGAGAATGACCCAGACAACTGTGAGCGTTACAGAAAGGTATGGAACCGTGCCAATAAACTATCTATCTTATGAGGAAGAGGAAGAAAGGGGAGCCAAGAGGGTCCAATGGTTATTCATCTTCCAGTTTTGGAAAGTGGAAGGCATCGACACCGATATCGCACCGATTATTCCTTGGTATAATTCTATAGGAAGGAAGTGAGAAATTGGGTGGAGGGGGAGAGAAGGCTAGACGACTCTATTCTCGGATCGACGGACATCGTTGTGCAGTTCCAGCAGAGACCGTGGAGGCCCTGGCTGCGGAGAAAATCGGAAAACAGGCGAGCTGCTCTCGAAGCGAAAGCATAACGCCGTTATAAATAGAAGAGCCTTGTTAGCGGTTACACGACGTTAGAGAACGTGTATATATATGTGTACACAGGGTGATTCATAAGTGGTCACTGTTCACTAGTGGAAAGAAGTCTCGTAGAAGAAATTGATTGGTTAATTTGGAAGGAAACGCCTATTTTCACAAGCAATTTTGTTTGTAGCATGGTGTTTGTTATACATAATCGAAAACGATCGATCTATACCTAAATTTCGATATATTAAACTTATTTCTCATCAATAAGTGTAGACTAATTACAATTTATAACGATAGTTTAATTTATAAATATAATTTTCTATTTGAATAGTTAAGATAATAATTGTATCTATACAAATATATATTGATATGTGTCGAAATAATTAAATTTCGATTATTTTTAACCCGTAACGTAACTTTATAAATAGAAATAATTTGTACGATTTTTAATATTCAAATTATAGCTTTTCTATTACTATGCAGCGTGTGGTATTACTATTGTCAACAAAACGTTTGAAATGGAGATAGGCGGTCCTAGCGAAGAACTCCTCTTGCCCCTGTGCCGTCTTGCGAGACTTTTTTCTAGCAGTGAACAGTATACTGATGGAAAGAAGTCTTGCAGAAGGAATCTGATTGGTTAATTTGAAAGGAAACGTCTATTTTGCACATACATTTTTCTACCATGGTATTTGTCACATATACTAATCCAAAACGACCGATTTGTATCCAAACCTCGATGTATTAGCGTAGACAAAGAATCCAAAGAATTTTAATTTCTTATTTCTCATCAATATAGACTGATTATGATTTTTAACGATAATTTAATTTATAAATTTATTAATTTTGTATTCGAATAGTTAAAATAATAATTGTACGTATACGAATATATACGATGTATATGTGTTCGAAATAATTAATAATTTCGAAAATATTTCAGTTTTGATGATTATCCTAACTATTTTTACGATTTTAAATATTCAAATTATAACTCTTCTACTACCAAATAGTGTATGATGTCAGGATTATCAACAAAGTTGAAATGGAGATACATAGTCCTAGCTTCTTGCTCGTGTACCGTTCTGCGAGCTTCTTTCCAGCAGTGAACATATATATGTATAAGGTGTGTACACGTGAAATATGGGAATACGATAAATGAAAATGATTTGTATATGTGTGTGTGTGTGTCTCTCTGTAATTGAGAGATTCGTCATACGTGTTTGCCATCGTTTTTTTCCTTCGATAGGCAAATTTTTTGACGAGAAGATATAACGGGTGAAGGGATAATTTGGAATAACGCGAAAAATAAATGGAAAACTTTGTTCGAATTCTTCGACAAATTTTAATTTTTTTCAAATAATTTAAAGAAAATGTACACACATACGTGTCAACGAAGAGAATTAATTTATTACAAATTCACTTATAATTAATCCAATATAGATAAGCCTGAAAAAAAAATATCACAAATTTTCTAGGTTACACGATGTACGTTCACCCCTCGAAGAATATACATTTATGAATCGCTGTGTACACACTCGATGTGACGGATAGACACACATATACATCATATACGCACGGTTTCCTTCCTTCTTTTATAAACTGGAAAGAAGCAGCAAACCGATACTCGATAATCGTAGACCCACGGCCGATGAATAATGAAATAGACATCCCGTGGTTGTTTCGTTAGCTTCCTCACCTTTAACCCCGTGCAAGAAACGTCTCCGTATCCATTCTGTCCTACTACTCCATCGATTTTTCTCCTCTTTCTCTCTCTCTCTCTCTCTCTCTCTCTCTCTCTCTCTCTCTCTCTCTCTCTCTTTCTCTACTAGATACGCACCGTAGATTGGATCGTTCGATTTCTGGTATCGATTGTTAATGGCGCATTTAAACATTCAGGAGGAGAGTCTATCGACGAATAAGGAGGGAAAAATGGCACGCGGGGGATCACTGGTGGAGAGTCGTTCGGATCTTGAACGATATTCCGCGGGACGATGATGTGTTACGGTTGTTTAATTATTGGAAGAGTAAAGCGCAACTATTTTATCGACCGCGGAGAAAATATTGGCAAAACGAAAGTGATAAAAGTGCGATTATTAGCGCGGTAATTTATTAACTAGGGGAGCAAGTGATTTTGTAAAAAAAAGAGGATTGGAATAATTCGATGAAATTAATAATATTGATCAAAGGTGATATAGATTAATAAATTTATTTGATAATTATTTTAAAGGATTTCATTTCTCGAAATATAGAATTCCATCCTTTTCGTAAAACTTGTTAAACAAACTAATAATATTTGTATTTCAAATACGTAAAACATGGAATTCTCTATTTTCGTATTAGCTTGAAAAGCTTTCATCGTAGCAAACATACTTACATAATAGTGCAAAAGGTTAAAAGAACTCGATGCTCTGACTCATGTCCATTTATCCGCTCTTGTCAATTATAAAATCAATTATGAATCATTAATTAATTCTACGAAATTAACAAAGAACGATGTACAGGATATTTCAAAACTTTATAAATATCTAAAAAAAAAAAAGAAATCAGCACATTAACTTCTTCATTGACTAAAAGAATCGATGAATACTTAAAATATCGTTATCTCGATGATATTTTAATTATTACTAAAACCAACCAAAATAAAAAAAAAACCTTCTTCCTTATTAATTCTCTTATTTACGTTCTCCGCAATATCAAACTATTCTTAAATGATAAAAAAATCTTCGCTCTTCAGTCGATTTACAAATCTTGGATCCACTTTTTCCAACACCCTGTACATTGGTGCGCACCCTCCTTATACGCCCCTGGTGCAACACGCGTGCATATTCGGCCGTGTGTTGATAGATTTTATAGAAATGCAACATTACAACGAGAAGTGGAACAGTTTGCGCAGCAAACCGGCGCGTTCGGTTTATTTATAAACGTCCTCCCGGCTTTCAAAATTCCGATCCCATCCATTTTTTTTTTCGCATCCACTTCCAGGTGGGGATCGATTTTATCGCGACACAACTGTATTTCCACCTTTTATCTTCGTATCTTTCGGATCTATTTTTTTTTCTCCCATTGACATTTCCTTTTCGTCGAAATCTATTGGATCTTTTGTTTTTTTTTTCCAAATAACGAATATATAGAACGAGAATATAGAAAAAAAAAATGGAGGAAATCTTATTCGATTCAATTTTCAATCGAAGGAGCATGGGGGGGAGCATGAAAAAAAATTAATTATCAGTCGATGAGAAGCGAATTTCCCCCCCCCTCCTTCCTCCAGAGATAGTTCCAATTAAAATTCTTACTTGTCGTCACGATGTAACTCTCGATCAACTTTGTCCGTGGAAAGAGGATGAAAAGTTTGTCGATCGGTCAGGTGTTCGTTTCACGAAGAAACGAAGAGTTGTTCTTGTCGTCGAACACTGAGAATACGCACTAACGACACTGGTTTCGCGGGAAGCAGAATCTTGTTGAAATCGGAAAACTCGAATAACGAACTTTTATTTCTAGATGCTCGTCTTTCCAATGAATCGTGCAGCGATAAATATAATTAGACAAATATAATACAACTGTGGATACACTTTTGGATGCGTTGCTCATTTGCCGCAATAACGGCTGTAACAAACTTATTTAAAAAAAAAAAATATTAAACTTTCACTGTTTCTTCAATCCTCTTCTAAAAATGCATAAGAAAATCGGAAATATGAATTTAATCGAAGGATTTCCTTTATTTCGATGGAAAACACAAAATTCTTGATTTTTATGTCGATGATTGAGAAAATTTGCAAGTTTTCGAATTACGTCATTGTTGAGATGAATGAGCGAAGCATACTGCTGGACGGTCACTTTCCACCACTCATGATTTCTCGTTTCTTGTTTATTTTCGTCGAATCGCGGGAATCGTTTGAATCGAGGGTACGTCGAGGTTTCAAAGGATATATCACAGGTCGATGGGATTTTAATCCAGGTCAGGAACGAGTGGAGATCCCTTTCGATGGGGTGTAATGTCGAGGAAAGTCGTTTGACGAATCGATTTATCGATTTATCGAATCCTTTAAAACGAAAGAGATCGGCGTGTATATATTTCTTGTTAAAGCGTTTTACCAGGAATTCGAATTTTTTCGATGAAGAAAAATGAGGTTTCTGGATGATCCGGTTGAACGAAATTAATCGTGGATGTTGGATCGTTGTCGAGGAGAATTCGAACATTCTTCCAAGCATTTGCCCTTCTCGAGATATTTCAATTGAGATCGTGATCCCATCGAGATTTTATTTATTCGTCTTGGTTAGAAGAATTTTCGTACGAAAAGGAAAAGTTGGCCAGAAACGATGGAAAAGGAATTCTTTCACGAATTAATCGAACGCATTTCCAGATCTCGTCATACGATGATACTATTTTTAATATTGGATCGATAGGAGATTAATATCCAACTCGTGAATTTATTATAAGTTAGTAATCCATTTATTCAAGAAAATTCTTCGAGAAAATTCCTCTCCATCTATTCAATAAATAAACAATTTTCTCAATTTTCAAATTTTTCTTTTCCATAATTTTCCATGAGAAATAATCCTTTAAGTTCTCTTTCTCTATTCATTTCATTACGAAAATTCATATGTATATGATTCCACCAGCACTTTAAATCGATCCGATATTTATCGAATGGAGAAAGCATGGCCTTATTTTGAAAACTGGAACTTCTCTTCTATCCCTTCATTTCCTCTTTCTGAAACATTATACGATCAATCAGCGTTGATTAATCGAATTGAACCAGGGCGGTTGCAACCTCTTTTCGAATCAACGCCTATTAATATATAGTAGCCGCACCCAATTCTCGGGGAAACACCTTCCATTCCTTTTCGTTTCTCCAACAGGACTGAGAACGAACGCCGACAATCGTGTGTCACTTATTCCGTGACCTTTCTTAGTCTTAAATAACGACTCGTTGCACCTTTGACTCTTTACTAAGAGTACTTCGTCTCTTCATGCAAATTTTCCGCCTTTGCGTGCACGAGACGTGTTTCACGGTGAAATAGACGCATTTCGATTCTACCGAATTATTTTCCCTTCGTATTCCTTGCCCAGTTGGATTCGAATATAAGAATAAGTGAAAAAATGCTTAGAGATTATTTTCTTGAAAGTAAGAAGAGTAAGGGACGCTTTAAGTTTAACCCATTGACGGTACTCGATACGCTCATGAAACCCCTCGACTATTCACGCGGAGACCGAGCACGCTTTCAGGACACGCGAAGAACAGTTTTGCGTCCCCTTGTGAATGACGAACGATTTTCGAGGAGTGGGGGAAAAAGGAGAGTGGGGATTGTGAGCCGAGGATATTCACGAGAAAGCTTTCGAGCAAAAGGGAACGAGTACGATTAAGGGCGAAGACATTTTTGAAATTACGAGGTTTCTATTTAAAAAAAACAAGAAAATAAGAGAAAAGGAGACAGAGAGAGAGACAGAGAGTAGATACTTCTTTGCGGGCGAATAAAGAAGTATACGGATGATCGGTAAAGAAGTTTTACACAGATGAATTAAGAACAATCGGTACAACGGCGATAACAACGAGAACCGATGAAAGCTTCTCGAAAAGAGAGAACGAAGGCGCGAAGGCGAGACCAGCGCACGCGTTCATGCTTTCCACAGAGCGGCGGTGATCTCGAAAACTGTAGGGGTCGGTTAGAGCTCTCAGGTAAATAGCTGCTAACAACTTTTTTTGCGTTACGAGGGAAAACCGCGCGTGACTTTATTAACGCAACCGTGTTGGCTTCCCACCGTTTACCACGGCGCCCCGTACCTATCATTCCTCTTCCTATTCGACGAGGCATGGATGTCCTATTCCTCGTTCGTATCAAAATTGATACGATCAAAGAAAGAATTCGTTCAAAATCAAATCAATTGTAAACAATATTAAAAGAAAAACGGAACGATCACAATTCAACAATAGTATTCTGCATTTGAACGACCTCGAGGATGTCGAAAGAAGTGGGATGATATGAATAACGAATCGCTGGTTCAATGTCGAAATCAGCCACGGAAAGATAGATCGCTGGGATCGCTGGGATCTGTGGTTGGTCGCATCGATCGTCGAATCCTGCCCTGGGCACACTAATACATAAACGCGGACAGTAGCCATAGAACGAAACAATTGGAATTGCTCGTGGAAACAAGTACCTTTTTAAAAGCATCGAGCTTAATTCTATCTTACTACTAGTACTTACCCCAGTGTCGTGTCCTCCATGCCAACAATCGGGAAGCAATCGATCCCTGGTTCCCGCTCTACTCCATCCTCCCGGATCGGCCCGTTTGATCGTCGTGTCTCTCCTGTTCTTCTTCTTCTTCCTCTTCCTCGTGGAAGAACGTTCTCTCGGCCTGGGCCAGCGGCGTACCGTCACACACGCGTTCTCTGCCCGACAGCTTACATCTTGACGGTCCGTGCCAGCTGTGTTCCGCAGGAGACACGCTCTCTCGGCCCTCTGCAGCGACATACGACGACCCACGTCCTAATCATACTCGCACTCTATTCACCGCGCACACGCTCTCCTCGCTCTGCCCTTACCTACTGCCTACTCCGACCCAGGGACGCATCTCTCGTGCACGAAACCATGGGTTTGAGAATACATCTCGACCGCCAATTTTGAAATTTACCTTAAAATCATTCTCGTGAATAATTGAAATGAAATTTCCTCTTTTTCGTTAATTTTAATTATTTTACCTTTCTTTTGATTTTTTTATGAATTATTGACATCATCTGTCAAAGAATTATGAATTTTTAGTGGCTCGTAATATAAAATTACGCGACATTTGAATAGTTCGAGAATAAATGAAACACGTGAAAATAAAAATGTAAACAACTGAAAGCAATTAAGTAAAAAATAAGAAAAAACGTGATTCGAACGAAGAATAAAAAGAGAAGAAAAGGGATAGGGCATCGGGATCGATGTGGTCCTCCCTGTGGACTTAGTGCACAGTAGGGGCGCACGCTCCTCCAGGGTAGGATTAGTCACGATCCCACTCGGTCGTAAAGTTTCAAAGGTAAAAAGAAAAAGACGAAACGTAACGAGCTGTCATCTCGTATCGCTCTATTATTCCGGATCAGATCACATATCACGTATAGTAACCGAATAGAACTTCATTGCGACGTTAATTGTTTGTTCCGTCAACAGATTGCAGACACACTACATTTTCCTCCCAATCGATTCTGGCGAGAGACTCGATCTGAATTCGATAGATAAAAACGACAAAAGAATTTTCTTTAGGGAAATAAAATCGAGACATCGATTGTAATTTTTTCTTTTTCATCTTTTGATAAATGTGAAGAAATAGATTTCAGGCGATTGTCATGAAAAAAAGGAAATGAAAAAATACTGAAATATTAATAAAAATTTAATACATATAAAACTTTACCTAACGCACATAATTTTTTATTCTTCGTGTTACGGTATAAAATGGTTATAAATTCATTTTACTACTCATTGTTCACTTTTTCTATATGTATCATGTATCTTCTTAAAAAGGTATATGTTAAAGATATTTGTTAAAAATATATAATTATGTTTAATAAATATAAAATTGATTAATAGATCGAGTATTTTTATTTGAAATTAACGAGCTTGCAGGGTGCTTGAGTTTATGTATCCAGCTCTGTATCTTTTATCGAATAAAATTACGCGCTCCTTTAAGCAGGGCTGGCACTATTTGCCAAATTACCTCTGAAAAATATTTATCAATTGACAATTAATGCTTTAACATTAGAATAATTTTTTTTATTAATATCTCTTTTTTCCTTTCTTTTCTTATTGGATTATAACAATTAATCGTTATTAGAACTTTTTCAAACAAAATTGATTTCTTTGCTTCGTAGACAATGTTTTTTACGTCTCGTCCCATCAACATGGCGTCACCCTTAAGCTGTAGTGGCGCCAAGCGTTGCTTGCGATCGATGCGCTCATCAACCAATGAAAATATATGTATCCTACACAACAAATAACATTATTAAACAAATAGCAACGATTTCGATTAACAAAATTAAAATTATATTTTCTCCTATTGAACCACTTTACCTTAATTGCAAATAATTTATTTCAATCTTGAAATTATTCTTCGACCAATTAAATTTTTGAACAATAAACTTCATGCTCAATTTTTTACGTTTATGTGACAAACTTAAGGAATGAATTCATTAGTCAATCTGCATAATCATTTTTATCCTTCGATGACAATAATATTTTATAAGACGCAAAACCAAATAATAGTTCAATCTGTAATGTTAATTATTCTTAATTTATTATCGATGATCGATAACAGGGAAATAGGGAGATCGTCTCATATAAAGATTTTATTTCGTTAGTACGTACACATTTGCGCCAGCACAAAAAAGGATCGTATCATATAAAATGAGAACAATGCAGTTTCCTTTTCCGAGACTAGACACAATATAGGGGGCGTGAGGACTCAGGGTTATTGCGTTTATACCCTTCGTTTTTTTCATGATTACTTGCCGTATACATCCATCAAACGACTTGACACGATACGTATAATTCATCAATGACCCTGAGATCCAATGAAAAACGGACACGATACCGCATTTGATCTTTCGGAGAAGTGTCGACCGACTCTTCATTAATCGCGCAGTGCTGATCTTTCTTTTTCTTTTTCTTTTTTCTTTTTTTTTTTTTTTAAATAACTTTTACGTCATACGTATTGAAATATTTTCTTCCTTATATCTCGTTTAATGTTCTTAGAACTATAAAGTATTCCAATACTACGACTCGATCACAGTGAAACACTGGCTGGTCAAGACACTACCATGAAGAGTCGACGAAGTTGCTTCGTATGTATAAATTTATGATATTTACAAGGGCAGTGTTGTTAGAAATATTCGAGTTAATGCTAATAAATGGCAGGCACTAAGCGACTCTTCAAGGTTTCTCCCTTGCAAGCGGAATAAGCCATAACACGCAATATCGTTGTTTTCTTCCTAGTGTCTTGTAACACGCTCGCTAATGATTCTCATTCTTTCACTTTCTTTTGTACAATTTATGAATTCCATACAATAGAAAGTACACTGAAGGAAAATCATAAATTATCTGTTAAAAGTATAGAAACATATTAATTGCGCTTAAATTCATAGTTATCGCGCATCGATAACTGACAAGCTTAAGTACACATCAAAAAATGCATGAAATTATATCGTGAATTATATCGTTATATCTTTATCCCTTTTTTTTTCCTTTTTCTAAAAAAGCATCAATGTTTGCATCTTTATACTAAACAATGAACATAAAGTTGTAAAAATAATTATCGACTATTACATTTCATTAATTTTTTTATGGCCTGTGTAAAAACATATATCGCGCTTTGAAGTTGTTGTTCAAACAGGAAAATAAGAATTTTTTACATCGGCCAGAACGAAACTTTAGTCGTTGGGACCGAGAAGAGAAAATTGTATATATATATATATATACAATATGTATATATATGCTTCTTTTTATCATTGCCCGTGATTCCTCTTTTTTTGTGTCTTTCTCGTACCCAATTACGATTTATAAAAATAATTCTCTTCGGCATACACATTTTTATCATACTTGTCACATTGTTCCGAAGTATATGAATTATCTTACGTTTCAAATGTCATTCACGAAGCTAATTCAATCTTGATCTTCAATGAATCTCCTACCATTACAAAATCTTAATAAATTGAATTTAACAATTTACTAGATAACAGTTTTCTAACACGAAATACATTTGGCTGCGGAATTAAAAATATCACTACTGGTCAATGTATTCTTCCATTTTTAATCGATACGCTTGCGATATTTAGCTCTACATTTTTTTCTTTTTTTTTTCCTTTTTCTTTTTTTTTTTTTTTTTTTACTTTGATTTTTTCCTATTTCATATCCAAATTTCAAGGTTTTCTTTTTTTTGTATAATATGGCCAGCGTATGAACTTTCTCATTTCTTAGCAATATTTTTCTTCTAACTATTCGAAAAACAATCGATAAATTGGATACTATTTAACTAAGTGGATAATTTATATTTCTATCTTGATAGATTTGACTGCAATCTACGCTAACGATTAACATGAAGCTTCAAAGAGAGTCGTAATATTTTTTTTTACAAACGCATTCACTAAAATCGTTTCATTAAAAACGTTTGCATATACGAATATACCTGCCTGTACATGAAAATTTAATTTCCCTTTCTAAAAACACGTTCTAATTCATCCAAGTATTGTAAAAATTTTAACTTTAAACTTTCTCTCGCAGCCATTTTTCACGCACAAACTCGCCTTTTAATCGTATCATTATCAACTCTTTTTCAACCCTGAAGAATCGATAAGTATATTTTCTAGAACAATTATTCGGCGTGTGTGTAACATATATAAAAAAATTCCGAGTCTCTCCACGTATAATTGATCGAAATCTCGATATCTCATTCACTTTTCACTGGAGGTCAGCAGGATCCCAACAACTGTCAGGTATGTTTCGTATCGTCCGATGATTCGCTTGAGAACCTTCTTCATGAACGAATGGAAGACGTGGTCGACGACGTCGATACAAAACGATTCAACTTGCTGTCGATAATGATTTCGTCGCCGTTTCGTATATTGTACCGATACAACTGCTTGTTAGGGTACAGCATCTCCTCCGGTCCGTATTGCGCCTTCATAACCTATAAAACAGATTTTTCAAGAATCAAGACAAATCCCACGAGGGGGAGGAGGGATTCACATCGCAAATTTTAATTTACCTCTAAATCGTTACTATTTATATAGGAATTTAATGATGCAGGAATGATGCAAGGGAAGGGGGTAGAAGATTCTTATATCGCGATTTCGTGCTTTTTATGAGGTCTCTCAAGAAACCAAACGTTCTGCAAGGCATAAAAAAAAGGAACGTGATAAGAAGATAAGTTGGCAAAATGGACTAACCTGATCCACGTAAAAAAGTCTCATTCTATTCGCTGGAATTTTCACCATCGTCTCCAGTTTGGTTTTCAACTCGAAAACCGTTCTGTACACGTCTATGGATCGAACCTACAAGCACCATTCATATTTACACCAATTCCAATGATCGATATAAAAAAAAAAAAGAAAGAAAAAAAACCACATCTCTCTTTCAACTCGAGCTCGCTTCGAACTTCTTCGAAACGTGAATTGAAAAACCTGTCCCCTCCCCTTCCCTCCCCTCCCCTCTTTCTCATATATATATATATATATATATATGTATAATCACGGACAGCCAATAATCTTTGAATTTAATTAAACGGACGTTAATTAAATTCGAATGGTAAATTTACCTCGACTAAGTCTCCGTAAGTGAATGTGACCTTGACCCTCTTCTCGGGTGTCAGATCGACGTGTACCAGAGGATCCAGCTTTCCGTGAATAGCCACCAGCTCGGAGTACCTGAAAACAATGATGGACAACAGGGTCAAGAAAAAAGACGTTTGTTCCACTGGCTGTGGATGACTATGACCGTGAAACTAGAATAACTTTATGGGTAGCCAGTTCGTGTACTAGAATAGAAACGATCGAAGCAGGGACCGAAATGGAAACGGGAAGAACTGAACTCGCAAGGCGGATCATTAACGACATTCGAACGACGACAAAGCTAGGGGAAATATGATACGTATATGGTGGGAGGGGAGAGTAGAAAATGGAGAAGCGGGTAACGAGAATGTAAACAAAGCGCAAACAAAGATCGTGACCAAAACAACTTCGACCTTTCCGGCCTGTCCGCTTCAGGTTTGTCCATATAATATCGAATGAAGGCCCTTTCGGCATCCTCGCGCTCCTGGGAGGATATCACACCGCCGCCGTTCAATGTCTCGACATTCGGAAGTCTGGCGATTAACAGTTGCCGCCTCTCGTGCTCGGTGTACTCTCGAGGACTCTGAAATTGGCCAATTAAATTTTAATCCCTTCTTTTCTTCGCCATCCCGTCCATCGAAATTACCACGTAATAATTATATTATATATTATAGTATATATTAGATATACTATATTTATTTATATATTAGATATATATATTAGATATACTATATACTATTTACGATTCTTTTTTTTTTTTCTTTTAATTTGAATTACCTTCGATCGATTTATTAATGTATCTCTTACCTGTTAATTTTCATTTCAAAGAATTATTTTAACGGGACGTTAAAATTTATTTTCTGAGAGATGGAACAACAAGTAAACTGATCCGCTTGATTTCCTGCCAATGTGTTAATTCTAGTAATAGTACACAGTGGCGCGTACTAGATAGAAAGCTGTCCTACGATTTTTATCATCTTAGCTCACTTCTTAGCGTCTTCCATTTCTATTTTCTCCTCCGCTCGGTTATTTTAACCGATCGATTTCGATGCTAGGAGATGCTATATTATTTCAAATTTTCAACGAGCGAACATTTACCTCGAAAAGGGGGCAGCCCTGAATCCTCAATGATTTAAGCGCTGGAAACCTGGCAAGCCGCTCTACGTCATCCCACGTGGACAACAGGGTGCCGTTCACGTTCAGAAACCTTAGCTTTCTGAAAGGATCGTGAGACGACCTGATAGTCGTGCCGCTCGATTCCGATTCCGACTCTGATCTGTCGTAATTCAATTTTCCCTCGCTGAATATCCTGTTCCCCTTCTCGTCCACCATCGATGTGCCCTCCTCCTCCTCCTCCTCCTCCTCCCCCCCCAGATTGTTCATATTCTCGTTGTCCTCGCTCAGATTCTCCGCCCCCTTCTTCGAGCACGGCTCCTCGTTCGAGTTTCTATTGTCAACGAGAGCCAACGACCTTATCGGGCACTCGGCTAACACAAGGCTCTCGAGATTGGGGAATACGTAGCCAAGTTTCGAAATTTCGTTCCACACCTCGACGGGGTTCCCGGTGAAATGGAGCTTTTTCACGGACACGTTCTTATTCTCGGGTAATTGATAGTCCAGGTCGACCGTCTTGTACTCGTTCAACGAAAGATGAAGCTCCTCCAGATTACGAAGAAGACGGATCAATCCCTGGACCGTGGACCAGGTCACCCTGGTTCCGTTCAACACGAGATTCTTCAACATGTCGTAGCTCCCGTGCTTGATCTCGAGAACCTCGGCCAGACAGTTGAAGCTAAGATTCACGAATTTGATCTTGGGCATGTGTTGAAGAATACCGAACACCTCGGTCCATTGGGACAGTTTGTTTTGAGCGAGGTCGAGCTCCTCCACGTTCCTGCATTTCTTGCTGAGTTTCTCCGCGTCGTTCCCGGCCGACTCGATGTCGCAGTCCTGCAGCACGAGCAACGCCGGCACGGTGTGCCGGGGCGATTTCTTCGGGATGAAGATGCTGACCGAGAGGGCGGCCTTCGGCGAGCTCGACTCGGTCTCCTCGTCCGTGAGGGAACAGTCGGTCGTTGAACTGCCGTACTTCAGCTCCAGCGCTTCTAACAATGACGGCATGTTTACTGCATTCTGAAACCGATCACTAGTTTAAATAATTGTCCTTCCTTATAATTGTTATTATTATAAAAAAAAAAAGACATACGTGTTAATACTAATTCTTTTATATTTTCTTTAATTCGTCGTTCTTTAAAAATTCTACATCATCGTTTCTAATATTTTAATTTTAATTCTAATTTTATTTTAATATTCTAATTTTAATTAATATTCGTTGATCGGTAAAAATATATACCGAATGCTCTCCGAGAGAGAAGAGAAACAAAGAAAAGTTTCGCGAGATGCACGAGACGGCTTTTGTTATCCGGAAAAGGAAGAACGAGAAAAAGGAAGAGAGGGAGGACAAGAGCAGTTGAGACAAGGAAAAAACCCGTGGATCGAACGGATCCTCGAGGTCGAAACGTCGGGATATCTGGTCTGACCATATCCGTTAAGGTCGTGTATATTGTCTTTTTGCGCATAGGAAAACCGGTACTGGTTCCCTTGTTGTTGCTGGAAAACGACGAACGACCAGCTTCACCCACGCGATTCTCCTTTTATTCCCACCTTTTTCGACAAAAGATCGTTCCAAAGATAATTCTCCTTCCGTCGAATCTCTCGAGTGCAAAAATGCGAATCGACGTATGCAGAAACATCGATAGTTCGAAAGGTACAAGGAAAATAAAGCTAAAAGATTATTTCATAGTGTACGCTTTACACGCATGCGCCGAACGTTTGAAGAAACTATCGTTTCACAACGGAACGAATAGTCGGATTGAACGCGTTCGACTTTCACCGAACGCGTTAAAATTATATCGCTCTTATAAATTATTCGAATTGACGTTTCTCTTTGAACCATCACCTATATATATATATATATATATATAATTCAATATTCTTCTGGCGTTGATGTCACGTCACGGGATGAAAGGATAGAAGATAACGAGGACAAAGAGGAACTAGGAGCGGAATGCGGCAGTTTCTACTCGAAAAAAAATTCGAGTAGAGAAAGAAAAACTAAAAGTACGAGTACGGGTGCAACGAACTGCGACGAGGACGATTACGGAATATCGCGACGGCGGGGAGGGGAGGGGGAGGGGAGGGGAGGGGAGAGGAAAGAGGGGGGAGGGGAAACGTTACGTCAATTTGGCGGAGATCCGACGTGCCAGCCGTCGGCCGAAAGAAAAAACGCGTCCACGAGGCTCGAGGTTGGAGGCAGGCCAACTCGTGTCGTTTCCATTTACACGAAACTTTTTAACCATTGATTCGTCTCTGTGTACATATATGTCGCCCAGATCGCCTTTCTAACGGCGAATTTATCTTGTTACGTTGCACGCGGCAAGACTCGACGAGAAAAACTAACGATCTTCTCCCGTCTACATATACGTATAGGTTGCAGCAAGAGGGACGCAACAGTTTCATCCCCGTGGAAAATCGGTGGACAGAGCGATGGAGAGACAAAGGTCCGCGCGATCCGCTCGACGCACAGCAGTGGACCGGCATAATAGTCGTTGTTGCATTATAGTCCCCGGCTTCCCCTACGTAATCGCGATATCGGTTCAACGGCCATGCGAAATTAACTTTCTCCGGACGGGTCTGGCCGACGAGAAGCCCACTAGAAGCAGCTCGATGCACCGTTGTAGCGCGCTATAGACGGATTTACTAGCAAAGTGCTCGAACCGTTTTCAAACCGATTCGATCACTTTTAAACACCTCTCGAACGCCAAAGTGTGTTAACCGATTCCTCTTGCAGATTGGCTTGATTTGATAGCTCGACGTGAATGGGACAGTGCGTGCTGGATATAATGGCAATTAATCCAGCGGTATTACGTAGAGAGTGATATAAATAACAAGAGGCAAAGCAGTTGAGGATACTCGAGGCTGATTTTATATCTTCGGTTCACGTCGATAGGATATTTTAGTTGCGTTACGTTGCGAGGGTTAATTGACGCAGAGAGCAGCGAGCAGAGGTTCTTTCAAGTACTTATTTCTGCAATATATCGCATCTATAATTGGACGTCGATCTTTTTTTTTTTTTTTTAAATCGATCAAAAATGTTACATGAAAATTTAGATTATTTAGAATTAAAATTAAAATTAAAAAGTTTACCGTTAAATTTATAAGTTTCCAGTATCTTGATATCGAGTCAATGGTTTTAAAGCGTTCGAGCGAATATTAAAAGCGAATTATGGGAATTAGGATTTGAGTTGCCATTTCTGGTACTGGAATTGGAACAACAGGTCGATGGATAGTCACTGGATAGTTTTGGGAACACGGAAGTTACTTCACGGTGATTCCTTTTGGAGTAGAAAGTTTGGGGGCATAGATAAAGACCGATTCATTTGTCCAAATGAAATCTGAAAATATTACATATCGAACTGTTAAGAAAATTTTTAAAAAAGTGTATTTTATTTATTATTATTTCTATTAAAATCTTACTAATAATATTCATATATTGCCTTCGAATTAGAATAGATAACGTATGAACCAAGTTATACAATGCATTGTATTGCATCATATATGGTTGCAATTATGGTTTGTTAACTAGTTTAACATCGGAGCAGGGTAACAATGCTAAATGCGACTTTCTCTTTTACCGATGATTTTACTTACCAACTATTCGCACTCATAAAATTAATATTACCAACCGCAACGATTGTTCATTGCGGAAACTAATTTAACTGAAAAATCGTAAAACCAGACAAGAATAATAGCTTCGCGATATTTGAAATTTTTTATTCTAAAATTTTATAATTAACATGTTCTTTTGATGTGGCAAATACGAAAACTACAAATCTATTTTGAATTAAAAAAATATAATTTGAATTGTATATTGTAAGATATTTGAAGAGTTAACAGGTTAAAATCAAGTTAGCGTGCAAGTGGCTTGAACAGCTGATGATTCTTCAATGTTCTGGTGGTAGTTCAACGATATTAGACGAATTTATATCTTGCTCCGCACGTGGTAATGCACAGCTAAATATAAGCTACCAATGACGGTTACGAAATGTCAAGCAGAAGCTGCCGAGTACTGGGTCAGTCGGAAAGCTGTTTCGTGCGTGTCTTACAGCGAGCGATTAGTTTCGAGATATATCGATATTTCAAGGATGATCGAATCATTACGTAAAATGGTTGTTTTTAATTATATTCTCATATTGTTACGGAATTATTGACATATACGTTTCAATAATTATCGTTTCTCTCGTGTGATTTAAAAATTTACAATTAGAAAGTTATTACGAGACACGAAGCAGAAAAATCTAAAAAAGGTTTTCTCGAATCCAAAGAAACATTTCTACCATAATTTTCTTATAATTATCTTCGTTTAAAGTAGTAGGGAATAATAAAAACTGATAAACGTCACTTTCTAATGGCGAAGGCGAAGTAAAAATTTTTAAATAGAATATACCTACAACTTTTTATCGTAATGAAGAGAAAAGATTGTGTTCTGTTCGATTCAAGCAACTATCGAAAAAATCGCTAATCGAGATGTATTCTTTTTTCGAAGATTAACGGGAAACTGATAAAAGGAAATATCGACGAAAGTTCGCTGGTGGCTTGTATATACTGCGCAAATGCTCTCCCGCCTCTTGGAATATTACTCGGTTGCCCAAGGTTGCCGTTCGTTCTGCTCACGCTCGAGCATTATGCACGTGTATAGATATATCAACCACGCATTTACAACGATACCTCTACATAGGCATATTTACGATACACGCGTAGTAAATCTATCTCTCTAACGTCCACACACGATATAAGAGAATACATATTTCCTAACCTTTTTCTCTATTCCGTTACATTTATTTCGTGTGCGTTTTTTTTTATTAATCAAATAATTAACTATAATATTAATAACTCAAATTATTTAATTAATTAATTAGAAAAATAATAACGAAAATCTTTTTCATTCTTTTTAAAATAGTAAATGAAATAGAAAAAAAATATCGTGTAGATTCATAAATGTTTTTCAGATGACTCTAACAGGTTGGAAACGTGACACGATAATGGGTGACGAGATTGGGAAACTCTGCGCGCGCAATGTACCTATTCTTTGTTCATTTCTCGGCTTTTAAGAGCACGTCTCGCATCGATGCACGGCAATTATTGACATGTGTGTGAAAACCGACAAGAGATACATTGAACATCGTTTATTATATGTATATAGGAATATGTGCGCGTATTCATTGGTACTAGGGCCTCTCCCTTCGGAACTGTCGGCGACGGTTCAGTAATGCTGGTCGCTAGTACGATACGGATCAACGATTTAATATGAACACACCAGCAGCCTCTCTTTATTTCTATAGTCGAATCATTTCACATCGATCGATCGTTTCTGTGATACGCGGAATCTTACTTTCCCTGAAACTCTATTTCTTTTATAATTGCTTTTTTTATTTTTATTTTTCTGTGAAATCTATTTTAAAAATCAATTTTACGCACAAAATATATTTTACCAGATAAATCCTAATGGAAAAAAGGAAAAAATGATTATTCATCTATTTGGAGAAATCACTTTCTTCGTAATGAAAAAAATATAGCAAATATTATTTTAGAACATTCATCAATGATAAGAAACGATGATGAAACAAAATCATTTCTAACGTTTATATTAACGTGAATGAGCACACTAATTACTTCCTATTTTGAAGTATGTTAAATATAAAAGGAATATTCTTCTTCATATATGTACAGTATATATAACTCTGCTATGAGCACTTCTCATAGCAGTTAAGAATAGATTAAAAAATTGATTGTTTAAAAGCTTAATAAATAAAATATAACTAAGCACGTTGCTTTCTAATCATTTATTTATGAGACTATTTTCAGCATTGAAATGCATATATTACAATCGTAAACGTTATAGAAGTGAGTGATATTTGTGGAGTCGATTTGGTCTTCGTTTACATAATCTACGTCTTCTATAAACATACAATGTACATAAAATAGCCAGTAGAATTACTCTATACCGAGATTCTTGAATTATATTTTTATTGAATTAATAAATGGAAATGATAAGAATGATAAGATATGCTATCATCAATTTATCATGATTCATTTAATCGATCTCATAAAATAACAATAGAAAGTTTTTAACCATTTTAAATATTTTTGTTTTTTAGAGATGATTAAGAATCATCAAATTGAATTAGAGGTCAAAAAATTAATTGCAAAAAATGAAATTATTGTTGTTATTTAATATGCATATATTTCGCGTTTCTTTATATCTGAACAAACGTGTTAAAGTACTGTTCCTTTCAATTGCATTGTCCTTGAGGTTAGAAGACAAGGAACGACGCAATTCTCACAATTAGTGCCTCTCTATTTAAGTTTCTTTCACGCTCTATTATCATCCAATTTTAATGTTGAAAATATATACTTCAAAAAATTAATAAAATCTCATTTATCAAATTTTTAATTTATTTCTTTCAACTTAAATCTGTTTATTCATATTTGCGAATTATATATTTCTAAACGACATCTATAATTTACGACCAATGAACCTTTGCTACTGTCGATAAATCAGTCAACTTCCTAAAGTATCATGAAAACCTTAACAAATTTCAAAAGTTAAATTTAGAACAATAGTAGTAAGAAAAGTAACTAAAAAAATAGTTCAAAAAAATGACGACTATAATGAAAATATAATAGTAATAGCTGTCAAAAGCGTTTAGAAACATAGATTGACGCGCGCATACAGCTGATAATGATTATGTAAGATATACAACGCGCAGTAAAATGTCATCCATTAAGTGATTACATCGTAATCTAATCATCTTCAGAATCTTCGAAGAAAACGAATTATCTTAAAACAAATAATCATTACATATTTTTTAGTTTTCATGTCCGAATCATATCTTCACATGTCAAATAATTGTGTCTCACAACATATTCAAGATATTTCAAATCTTATAATTAGAGTTTTATGTTCGAATTTCAATCATAAAATTTGCTAGAATCTCTAGTGATATAAAAGAAAGAAAAAAGTTTGTTTCACATTGGATGCTAGGTGGATCGATCGAGCACAAGTTTGGAAAGAATGAATGAGAACGGAATGAAGACGTTGTACAAGAATATCACGAAAGAATCGGGTCAAGGATCATCTTGCCACTGAATGACAGACACACTATTATTTTTTATTTTATAAGAGATAATACAAGTAGTACTCACTGTTTCCTCGTCTCACTGCGTGCTTTGGACCTCCGATATCGCTCCGGTATCTGGTGGTTAACAATCGACGAGGCTCGAGAAATATCCTGGTTAGAAGCACTCGCGATTTTTGCCTGCGATCATGAAGCGAGATCGGTTTGTTGGTTGGTCTAAAAGGGTTAGAAAAAGAAGTGGTGTCGCTAACGGACACACGAACGTGCCCCGCTCGCCGTCCACCGTTGAACTGATTTCTGGCTCCTTTGTTTAGTAAACAGAAACAGCTGAGCCACACTACTAGTTACGAGAGGTAGAGGTGGCGGGAGCTTGATCCACTCTTCCCGCACAACGCTCACGATACTACGCAAGCGCGTTTCTCCGCAAGCATCACGTGGTTTTACATGTTTAACCAATTGGAACATAGCATTGCAGACAGTATCGTATTGCGATATATTACATTGTAAAATTAAAATAAAATATTAAATTAAAAATATTTAATAGATATAATTAATTTAAATAAAATTTTTAATATAAAATTATGTTTATTATTAATAATTGTAATATTAATCATAATTATATGTAGTGCAATTTAATTGTTCTTATTATCATTCCGTATAAAAATGTATTTTCAATTGAATAATAAAGATTAAGAATTTTAATAAAAGGAAAAAATGCATTAATTAAAGCAATGGAAAAAGAATTTTACATGAATTAATTGTAAAACGCGAATTTATAATATATCGATAATGTAGAAATATAATATATATAATTATGATATAAAACTTACCATCAAATCATGAAAACACTATAAAAATTCTTTATTTCATTATACGAAATATACGATATATCTAAATTTGGAATAAAATTCAATGAAGGAATAATAGCAATAAAAATCTGATACAAAAATTTATACTTTACCGAGCTAAAAGAAAAAAGTATGAAATAATACTATTATTAATATAATTTTGTTTCGATAATATTAAAATCTTGTGATGTTTTTCAAATAATTGATTTATCATTAATCCAATTTCATCCTTTAAACAATGTTATATTATTTATTGATACATAGAATTTATCAATAATACCATTAGCTAACAGTATTACACTTGCCTCTATTTCTTCGAAAATTGTCATTTTCTCGTTCCTTGTTTGCGAAATTATAATACATGTATCAAAGAGTAGTTTACTTTCTTTGATCGTCTTTTTTTGTCTGTTGAAGTTGTTTGTCATACATTATAATTAATTACTATTCAATCACAATTACAGATCATACATACACGTATAATTACACATTACGACATTACATACATGTGTTTCTGTATTATATATTTATATATGTATATTTATATATTTATAAATTACAGATCGAAGATTAGAGGTACTCTATTTCGATATTTTTGGGAATGTTTTGACACTCTCAATCTTTTTTTTTCTGTACTCAATGCCATTAGAAATTATTTGTAATAATTAAAACGAAATATATTTTTTTTTCTACTCGTCTTACGTGCTTTTCGAGATCAAATTTCGTGCACATATTACTAAGCATTAAGAAAATCTAAAATATTAATTAAATTTAATAAATTGCATATTTATAAATATCAATAAAGAACTAAAACAATTGTGTCATTGTTTTTCTGACATATTTAAAATGCATTACTTTTTTAAATCATCACCATCGTTTTCATTATTGATTTTCGTTGACATTTATTAGGTTATTGCACTTAATAAAGAGGTTAAAATAGTTAAATTTTGTTGTCAAATAACAACTTTTAGCACTTTAACTAAAATATATCAAAAAATTTTTAGTTCTTAACACGTCTTGTAAAAAATTTACTTTTTAACGTTTGATAAAAATTTTCATAGACAAAATTCGATCAACCTGTTATGATAGCTGAAAATGCGAAGAGGAAAAAATGCATTTTAAGGGGTTTTTGTTCCTTCATTGCTCGTTTCTTACCACAACGGACGTTTTTCCTAAATGATATTTAATATTGATCTGAATACGATTAAATTAATTGTATCTTTACAGACTCTTTACCTGTACAGAACATTTTGTTTTATGTTTGTTTGTTTAATATTAATTGTAAGAACAACAACGACACTACTAATTTTTTTTCTTTACAATTAATCATTACAGATTCAAGTTAACATGATTATATCTAATACCTACATAGTTTAATAATTATATGTACGTAAAGGAATAAATTTGACGTGATATTTTTCGTAGCAGCAACAAATGGTATATATTCAATAGAGGTCTACTTTATCGACGCATTAATATATCTGGATCAACAACAGGATTCGCATTTTCAAAATTCTTTAATAATTATTGTTTTGACTTGAACTCAAATATTCTTCGAATATATATTAATTATAATTACGATTGATGAATTATTTTTTATCGATTTAATATAATAGAATATAAAATTGAATATTTTTTTTAACAAATAAATTAATAAATATAAAGAAAATAAAATGATTTAGTTATTATCTCCAAAATTTAAGTTGAGACCTCTTTGCAGGGATGAAAAATTCAATGCTTTCTCTTGCTTTCATCCATTCGTTCATTTTCAGTCATACTTGTCAAACATCGATAGGCTTGCCACACGCATAACCTCTAATTTAAATATCTTTTCTAAGATTTCTATACATGCATCGTGTTTAAATAAATCTTTCCCTTTAGATACACAAACGCCATCTTGGATATTGCACAAATGTGCAATATTACACACAGTTGAGATCACGAGCTGGAAACGTCATGTCCCGAGTCGAATTTTTCGCGAAAAAAATCCTCTCAGGATCCATTTAATGTACCAACGCAAACAGACCGTCACGCCGCAAGTGGAAAAGCTTTGCACTGTTTCAAAGAACGCAATGCAGTCTTGTGAATTAATATATTACACATAATATTTTCATCTTATGGGATGTATTGGCTGGCACAGTTAAGCAGTATTGTCTGATGTGCTTCATTGGATACAGGAAAATAATTTAACGAAGATATTCGCATTGACACGGATCAGAGTGACAATCTATAACTGACGATATTAATTAATAGCTCTAACTGTTTATATCTTACTTGGCATGTCGGTTGACATTTTTCTATACGTCATTAAATCGATTAGCATTATCGGTTAATTGCTAACCTAAATAGACTTAGCATAACGTATGACTAGTGAATCAACACCTGATATGTCATACGAGCTTCTTACAAGCTAAGGACTAGAATAGACTCTTCTGATCTCCTTTGCAGGATGAAAAATTTCTAACGAAAAATTGAAAAAATCTCAACGGAAACTTACGTGACTAGATTTTTGTTTTCCTTAAGTAAGTAAAGTTATTATTAATAAGATCTCGCACCATTTATCTTATCTATAGATAAATAGATTTTTTCACCTAGCCTTACGCGGGATACATATTTCAATTAGCTACCGTTAATACCAACGGTCATTTTTTTTTTTTTTAAATAAAAGAAAATGAAACGAAAACTTATATCTATGACACGTTATAATATATCGAATCGCAAAGCGTTTGAACATATTCTTGCACCTTTAATCACGCACAAGAACAAAATATTATTAAAAACTAGATTAATTGCAGTCTCCCATGCTCGCATTAATATTATACAAATTATATGTTCGCTCTTTGCTTAGCAAAATTCTCGATACCTATTTCATTATTATTATTTACTTACATTTCTAATAACCGACGATTATTCAGGATAAACTACATTTTTTGGAAACGACTAGATAACATTTGATATAGATCATCTGCAAGCTTAAACGATAAGATATGCGCTGCACGTTTCTCCGAATTATAACGACTTTCTTAATTAACAACTATTGTCCTCTGATCATCGTGTTGATACGACAGTCATCAAACGAATTAAACATTTTAAATACATTGATGATGGAATTCAAAAGAAGATAAGATAATATAATTAATATAAAATGAACAAATATTTATACATAAGTAATTCTTATTTGACGAAACTATAGAATTAAACAATGTAATATAATGTAATGCGTAACAAGTGAGTGTTTACTGAATTTTAAAATAGCTAAAAATCGTTGATTCGTCTTTGAAACGCGCAACTTGAGCAAGGCAAAGCTCTTCACCGCGAGTGCGTATTACTACTTAGCAAGCTAAACTGAACGTAAAATCGGTATTGTCCTCCCTTACAAATTACTTCATTTCATACGTACATTTCATTTAACTGCTATGCGTTACATGAACACGCAGTGACGCCAGGCGTTTCGCGGGTCGTAGCCATCCAAAAAATTTGAAGTAAACACCAACACGAACGATTTATTCTGACTGTTTAATACTGATGTGCGTTCGGAACTATCAATACTTATATATCTTCGTTTCCTATAAGGTTACACGCGATTAACCTTATAACGCGTTGTGCTTGATCGCATAGAAATTATCCATTCGACTTACGCTGCGACTCGTAAAACGCCACGCGTCCAGTCACAGGCATCGTTCTGCTTCTGTATACATCTTATTATCATTAACAAGTAATTCTTCTTAAATTTCGTACGTGTTACAGGTTACCTTACATGGTTACCACCGATTTGAAATTAATCGGAAGAATCTGAGTCAGATTCCGCGCCAGCATCCGACGCTTCGCCTTGAGTTTCAGGCGTCGTTTCAGGAATTTTTCTTGTGTAAGTCGCTGATACGTATGCTCCTGGTCCTTCGCCTTGCGTGTGTTCGATTCCAACTCTAATCGACAAATAATGAAAAAATTGTAAAAATCCCTTGTCTCAGATAATGCATGCTTAAGGTATCGTTACAAGATCTGTACCTGTACTCGTGTCGAGACAAATTCTTAACATACTTCTCCGGTGGATTATCACTGTCGTGATTCTGGAAGCTAACGCTCCTTGCCGTCGTATGAGATACTTGGGTAGCAGGCATAGTAAATTCTACGTAACAGTATTCGGCCAAGTTCTCAGGGATCTGATCGTAAGAGGTTAGGGCCATTCTACATATCAGTTGGTGAGTCGTGTACGCTCCTGAGAATATATATTATCGATGATGTTCGAGAATAACTTTAAAAATATTTTAAGAATTTAAAATAATGCTTGTACCTTGGCCTTCTTTCGGTAACCTGGGCATTCTCCACACAATGGCACGATGTTGATGTTCGTACTTTGCCTGTCCCGATGTTACCTCCATCAGCTGAGGTTCTAGGTTATCGACCGCGCCAAGAAATCTTTCGATACCCTTGATCTTTCCCGTTCTTCTATGGGCTGATTTTACAGATCCGTATCTGAAGTGTTTTTCCACCCTGAACAAATATATCCAACACTCTGGAATCGGGAAACGGACCATCACATCTTCACAAGGTACTTGGCCCAGTTTTCTCGACGCGAAACCTGGCACGAGAATATCGGCTCTCAATTCTACCTATTAATTAAAATAAAGAACAGGGTCAGAGCGTGTGAGTATTGAAGCGAGGCCGTGACACTATCAAAGCAAAAGCGGATATTGATTCATAGAATACAAGTGCAATGATGTTGGGTTCTTATACAGTTGGAATATGTATGTTTTTTTTTTTCTTTTTTTTTTTGTGAATGAAAAGTGACATTACCTTATTACCGGTAATGCACATTACAGCTTTAAGTTGAAGAGGAAGCTCTCTGTTTTTAGGAGGCCTTACTCGAAATCTCATAAGTTCGATATAACATGCATCTGGTGGCTTGAACCTTCAAAAGTGTTAGTCACGTGTTAGAGACGCAATGCAGTCTTTCGTTAGTATCGTTGTAGTTATCATTTGTGAAAATATGTATTATCTTGTAAAAGATTAATTAAGACAATATAATATACCTTAAGATACGTACTTTATGATTCTAGATTTTTCATACTCGTCCTGTTGAACGCAAGAGTGGAATTCGACGTTTTCAAGGCGGATCCATTCCTCGGTTACCACTGGAATTATATCGTGTCTACCTACTACTTCTTTCCCCTGACGCCACATGTCATTTATTCCCAACTCTACATCGGGCATTCCTGATATAATCAAAATTATAAATTAGTAAATTGTTTCGATGATAATCCATAGGTACGATAAAATGATTCCAAGAATTTGACAAAGTTTTACCAGAAAGGAAGCCCAAGAAGAACAATCGAACACGAGCTATCTGTTTTTCAACTTGACCTTGCGCGTTCTGTTCCACGTATAGTTCATCTACAACTGTTATTTGCACATCCTCCATCTTATAATTAAGCGCTCGATCTCGATGAGCAGGTAATCTGAACAGAGCTTCCTCGATCGCGCAAGAGAACTGTTTCATGTCCTCGTAGCATTGGGAGCCAAGTTTGAACAGCTCGGAAATCTATACGGAAAAAAAAAAATTCATTAATTTTGGACACACAATTTTATGCTCTATATTTTACATGCAGAAACGTCACCTGTGGCGCATGTTCCACAGGAAGACCAAGTTTCTTCAAGTCGCTTCCAAATTCCTTAACCCCCTGATAATCACCTTGAATGGCGTACGCGGCAAATTGACTGAGCTTATTCGTTAATCTTTCCGCTTTGGTTACCTGACCAGGCCGTACTCCGGGTCGTTCCTTGTAGAAAATGTATTGCAGCTTCACCGTAAATATTTTTCCATACTGATCAAACTGTTGCGCTCCGATATCAGAAACTGAATAAGAAGGAACTAGGGGCAATTCTTGGAAGGGATCCTTATCCTCTCTGCTGTTGAACAACTGGAGGACAGGATTGTCGCCTTGATAAACCAACTTGACGAAAATTTTCTTCCAGAATCGTTGACCAGTTATCTTTTTTTTGTTAGGCTGGCGTAGATGCATATCCCAACCATCACCAGTGTACGTTACCCTCGGGAAGTCTTCCAGAGGTTGGCTAACATCCTCGTCGAACAGAGGTGTCGGAGGAGTTTCCTGAAATCCGGACAGAGGTAAAAATATAACGTTCATCTCAAAATAAATCATGTACGAATAGTACCTGAGAATCTGTCCTAGTGATTTCAGGTTGAACAGTTTCAGTGGTAGGAATGGCGTCTTGCGCAGATCCAGATTTGTCGAAGGGGTTGAAACGTGGCGAGGTATCGACGTAGGCGGTATTTTGAGGACTCTTCGGTGGTGGTGCCAGCACAGGAACAGCTCCACCTTCGATTCCAGATTGATCACCTTCTTTCGGTCTTTTGAAGAGGGAACAAGGACCGATCAATATACAATTTACAAGAACAAAATTTAAAATAATAATTCTTACTTGATGAACACGCTGAAATCTGGTCCCGCATCCGAATCTACAGACTCGGTTCTCTTTACAGTCGGTTCTGGTGGAGGTGCGGTCATGCTCAAGAACGAATCGAACCCGTCGCTTTCCCCGAATCCTGTCACTGCTGTCTCTGACCCCGTTGCAGAGGAATCGCCCCAAACTAAATATACATATATATAAAACAATATAATTTTTACTCTTTGAAGAAAAATTGATAAATAACAAAAAAATTGGTTTACCATCGCTGGACGTATCCATGGCGGTCGGCCCACCGCCGAAAGCATCCAGGAAAGGATCTCCCGCGTTGGTTTCCTGTTCCGCAGCCTTGTCAAACTTCGAGGCAAAAATATCGAAAGCATCCCCACCGCTCTCTGCTGTTTTCTGCGTGGTAGCTGCGAGATTGTCCAACTGTTCTTCTGGCTTGTACGCCTCGCTGGTAGGGAATTCGGCGCCAGGGATCGGGCTGGTCGACCTCGCGCCACCGGTATCGGTAGGCTCACCGAAGTCGCCGAGCAAGTCGGAAGCGAAAGGTCCGCTAGATGGCACGCTGATCTCCGAGGTCGTGAACAGGGATTGCGCGGCGGACATTTGCATGGGCGTAGAAAATGGCGCGATCACGGTGTCCGTGGTTCCAAACGGGGCAGAAGGAGTCGTGTCCGCGACGGAGAAGAACGTGGACTCGGTCACGGACGTGGACAATTGTTCGGTGGTCGAGAATAATTCGTTACCCGTGCTCGATGATCGCAACGTTTCCCCGGTGAGATCCATGTCGACACCGGCCCTCTCGGTATCGCTTCCCACGGCACCCGTCGTGGACGAGACCGAGGGTCTCTTCTCGCTGGCCACGGACACCGTTTCCTGAAACTCATCCGCCTGTTGAACAGGAGACGCTTGCTGCTCCGTGATACTGACGAATGGATTGTCCTGGGTCGTGGCGCCGATCAGAGTCACCCCTGTTCCCGAACTGTCCTCGGTGATCGTAGAAGAGGAGAATATGGTCGTAGTTGTCGTGTCCGTGTTGGGGGCGTCGAACAAATCCAATATGTCCCGATTCTTCGGTGGCTCGACCGCTTTGCTGTTGTCGTCGGACATCAAGTCGGGAACGTTCGAGTCGACGTCCAAGAAATCTGCGAAACTGTGTTCCGGTGTCGGAGACGGAGAGTGCATCAAAGTTGGGCTGGGCGTTCTGGTTGCCTATAATAAGTGAAGAGGATTGACAAGATTGACTGAGGAATGAGAAAAGGAGAGATTCATTTACTTATGTATATATATCATATATATTAGGTATATATGTGTTGTACATGTATATATGTATATATATGTATACAAACTTGTAGTCGATCCAGAAGATGATTCGAAGTAGCATCCATCGCACCGGTCACGGACAGGATCAAGTCTTTGGTGTTCTTGGGAGGTGCAGGAGGTTGTGGCCTGGGGGGAGGGGGCCTAGAGGGCGCCGCTCTCGCGTTCTTCGGCTGCTGGGCCGGTTGCTGCACGGTAGCCGGTGACGGTGGTGGCGCCGTCTGGCCGAAGAACTCCTCCGACGAATGGGAGGAGAGCGGGGCGTCGAACAGATTCGACTCGTCGCCGCTCGTCACGAATATGTTTTTCGCCTCGGTTGAGAATATATTGGCCGTGGTGGCGTCGGTGGTCGTCGCCTCGAAGCCGGTGCTAGGCGCGCTGGTGTCAGCGGCGAACGAGGCGAAGGGATTCGTCGAGTCGACGGTGATTGGTGCCGACGATTGGTGATACGATTGGTCTCCGCCGAAATTCAGAAACGGATTCTCCCCGCCGCCAGATGTCGCTGAAGCGTCGCCGAAATCTTGAAGGAACGGATTGGACGCCTGGCCCGCCATATTGTCGTTCGACTTGATCCCATCGTAATCGTCCATCAAAAAAGGATTCCCTCCTTTCGAATCCATGTTGAATCGAGCGTTATAACCGTGAGTGAAGATGAAACGGAAGTGTCGTTTAAAGGAAGAGAAAGAAGAGAAAGAAGAAGGTAAAGATTATTAATATATGTGTAGAGCGTCTTATTTTTCCATTAATTCGGACTCGAGTAGTTTGAGCTCGGTCTTGCCCGGCCCCAGACTTGCGAAACTCGTGTCGAACGGATCCACGTCCTCCCCCAAAGGAAAGCTCTCGTTCTGCAAAGGGGTCAACACCTTCGCACCGGGATCTTGGTCGTCGATGCACAAGAAATCCTTCCTCTCCTCCGCTCTGGGATCGAAGTCGGGATCGACTTCTGGAATAACCGTTGTGTTGATCACGGCCGTGAGAGCGATCGGAACGGGGCGAGCGACGGGTATCTCGGCAGGGATCTGTTCCAACTCGGTCTCGAGAATCTTCAGCTCCGCCTTGCCGGGAAGTATATTCGTTGCGATCGAGGTGTCGAATGGATCCTGGTAGGAGATCTCCTCGTCCTCCTCGATGGTCCTCGTCTCGATCCTGGGCGTGAGAGGCTTCGCGTCCACCTCGATCCTCTCGTCCAACAGACTCTCCTGCCTCTTTTCCACCAATTCCCCTCTCTTATTCACCTCGTCAAACTTCCTCAACACCGAATTTTGCAATTCATTTATCCTGAGATCGTTCGGCCTTATCGTGAAATCGCTCTGCCTTCTGACAGGTTCTCCCTCGGCACGCGGATCGAACTCGTGGTCGCTCAAGCTGTGAGGCAGCCTCGTAGACGGCGAATGATCTTGTTGCCTCAACAATTCCGATTCGATCAACTTGAGCTCGGTCTTACCTGGCGCTACCTTGGCTACGAAGCTCGTGTCGAACGGATCTACATCGGCCGCCTCCTCCTCCTGTTCCTCCTCGCCAGGCAGGTAATCCTCGATCGATTTTTGCGTGTAATAGGGAGTGAGCGGCTTAGAAGGCAACGCTTTCTCCTCCTCGGTGGTCGCGAGCAGATCGGGCCGTTTGGACGGTGTCGGCAATTCGAACGCGACCGCTTTCGATATACCCAATTCGAGCACCTCGGGCCGCGACGATCTTCGATCGACGATCCCGATCTCGCTCTCCTTCCCCTCCTCCTCTTCCTCCTCCTCCTGCTTTCCCTCTCCTTGAAAATCGACGGTTTCAAAGGGACGCTGTTGCTCTCCCTTCCTCGGATCGAAGTCCTCGTCGTCCAGGCAACTCTCCTCCTGCTTCTCGCCGAGCAACTCCTTCTCGAGGAACTTCAACTCTGTTTTACCGGGCGGTATCTCTTTCACGGACGATGTGTCGAACGGATCCACGTAACTCGAAATGTCCTCGAGCGGCGCAATGGGCTCGTCCGCGAGCTGGCTCAAGTCGGTCGTCGACCCGCCTAAGAGATCCCTCTTGTCGCTCGTGACTGCCCTCTCGACCTCCTTCAACAAACCTGTCTCGTAGTCCCGGTTCAACCCCGCCGGGTCGGTCAACGATATGGTAACCTCGGACACGGGCAGCTCCTCCAATTCTCTCTCGATGAACTTCAATTCCGTTTTACCGGGTAGGATGTTGTCGGCGAACGTGGTGTCGAACGGGTCCTCCTCGTCGACGAAGGTGGCCGCCTCGAAGCTCGCCTCTATTATCTCGGATTGATAGTTCACGATCTCCGGCTCCTTGGCGCCGAACGGGTCCTCCGCCTCCTCGAGGCGCACCGGCTCCTCATCGGGGGCCGCGCAACTGTGCAATTCGAACTCGGCGTCGTCCAAGTCGGGTATCTCCTCCAATATCGTCTTCTCCTTCAAAACCTCGAACTCGGAGATGTCGAGGGGGCCGTCCGACTTGCCCTCCCCGACGGCTGGACTCGCCTGTGTCGGGAGTACGGTTGGGGGAAGTTTGGCGAGATCTATGGGGATATTTATGGGGAGATCGTTGTCGTCGTCGAGCAAAGTCCTCTCCGCTTGGACCGGTTCAGCGACGAGGGGGGGCGCCGGTTCACCGCTGTCCACCGCCGTGGGCTGCTTCCCGGCCTCCTCGTCGAAGTCGTCCAACAACAAGTCTTGCTGGAGCCTGGGTCGTCTGCCCCTCGAGATCTTGCACGAGCTCACGTAATCGATCCTTCCCGAGAGTACCTCGACCGCGTTCCCTAGGCTGACCAATTTGTTCCCCTTCTTGTCGACCGTTTTAAGAACCTTGTCCGCGTTTGTGGTGTCGAACGGGTCGTCTCCGGTCTCCTCCTCGACGGGGCTGTCCGGGATGTAAGCTAGTTGGACGTCGATGTTCTGGAGGACGTCGACGTAAGTCGTGTCGAAGATGTCCTCGTCGGCCGAGTCCTCGTGGCCATCCTCGTCGTCCGGGACGTCTACGAAACCGTCCTCGTTCACCAGCGGTCCCTCCTCCCTCCTCTTCTTCTTCCCGTCGGGGGGTTCCCCCTCGATAGGATTCCCCTCCTCGTCGAAGCCCACCCACTTCTTCGAGGAGGAAGACTTCTTCTTGCCGGGGTGATCCTCTTCCTTCTCCGCCTCCTCCCCCTCCTCCCCCTCCTTCCTCCTCTCCTCGTCTAGGGGGGGCTTCCGTTGGAAGAACGAGGTCGACTTGATGCGGTCGAGATCGCCCTGTGTCTTCTTGAGGATCGAGTCGACGCCGGCGGTCAACGCCTCGAACTTCTTCCACTCGTCGGAGGAAGCGTTGCTGGCCTGCTCGCCGGAATCCTCGGCTTTCTGCTGGGCCTCCGCCCGCTCGCGCCTATAACGCTCGAGCTCCTCCGGGTCGAACTCGTCCTCCTCCGCTCCCTTCTTACCCTTCTTCTGCTTTTTCTTCTTCTTCAGGCCCTTGGCTAGCTTGTGCATCCTCTAAGACCTACCGTGGAACAAGCGAGGCTTCTGAAATCAATCGTTTCTCGCGTCAGTTCAACCTCGTCTTCCGCGTCTTCGTCGAGGAACACGTGTCGAGTTTAACGCTTATGTTGACAACCGGGAATCACATTTTCTTTTTTATTATTTCTTTCCTTCTTGTCTTTACGAAAATAAAGGCGCTCAGAGTCGTCGAAATGGCGGGAGTTACGTTGTTGCCGAATATAAGCGTTAAAAAAAGATACGTTTATTTGTACGAGGAAAGGATACGAAGAGAAAGCATCACTCTATCTGAATCTATTTCGTATTCCACTAATTTCAATTATTGCACGTTGATCGAACAATTCGGGAACAAGTCAAGTCAACTAACGGTAATTGGTTAATGCAGGTTTCTACGTGCAGTAGTTCACAGGCATGAAGGGTATTACACACACTTTGTACAATCTTTAACATCGATCGATCTAAGAGAACGTGGAACGAAAGCTGAACGTGCGATATCGGTAATATGGGTGCACCCGCGAACGAAACAACACCATCCACGACACTGTCATGCTCGAATTCTCGAATACTTGTTGCACACTACCGATCTGTTCTTAGTCGGTCGCTCTTTATAACCGCCGTGCTAAATTCGTCCGATCCTTTTTTTAACGAGTGCACGCCGCGAAACACGCGCCATTGAACACGCGCCCCGCCATATTTCTGAGAGTCGATATATCTCGAAGCGAGAGAATCGTTCCTCGAACCAATCACAGGGAAGGATAATCGCGAATCGAACGTCGCGGATCGTTTCGTTTCACGCAATGGCAATGGGATAGTGATCTGGAACTTTTTTTCACGAGCCGATACTGTAATATTCGCTTTAGATGGTTGTGTGTATGCGTTATGGGATCGTTGCCAGAATAACTCGATCGATCGCAGTAACGTACCCGTGACCATTTTGCCCTTCCTATTGGCCTTCCACGATACTGCTCCGAATCAATGAGAAAATAGCAGCACTCTCTTTTCTTTCTTATCTAATATTTCATCAATTTGGCTCGACGGTTTGTAGGTCAGGATTCGATCTACCAGGATGGACCATCTACGAAACGTCTCGCTTTTTTTTTTTTTTTTTAATAATATCGAAAAGTATAAAGAGAAAGGTATATGAGTTGATGTTATCGCTTTTTTTTTGCAGATGGATGTGTAAAGGATATATATATACGAAGATGAATTTTATGCGCGGTTTATTTGGTTGAAAAATGAAATTTGTTAAAAAATTTGTGCAACGTACAAACGTTTCTTTTCGATTTATATGTCGTGAGCCGTATCGTTGATAAGAAGCTTAAAGTTTTATAACGAGCATAATTTAACGCGTTAATCGGCTATGAATGGAGAATTTAATTAATACCAACCTGATCGAAACCTGTATAAACCTCTCTGGAATAACAATATCGTCTATCGATATAGTTGGATTATGCTTTCGAAGAGATAGAAACAACTGTTCGAATAATTAATCGAAATAAATAATCGAAATTTTTTCAGATTAAATTTTTCTCGGGAATCTTTAAATTAAAATGAATCAACGAAATAAGAAAGGGAATCGACAGAATAAGAAGTACGAAATAGAAATTTTCGTCGATAAAATTGAAGGAAAAGGAGAGAGCACGTGCTTCAGATTTATCGCAGGATAGTCGTATCGTGATTGGCGTGCTAACAAACTCGACGACTATCGCAATTCTCTCCATCTAAAATCGATATCGTCACCGGTACACTCGTAACCACGCTAGGAAACTGTAATCGATAATGGGCGAGAAATCGATCGAGTCCTCGACGATCTAACCTATATACGTCCACTGTTCTACTTCTACCATTTCACAAAGAGAAACACTCTTTTCTCGATTCGATGAAATGGAAGATAAAATGAATAAGGTGAGAGTTTTATTTCTTTTAACAAATATATTTTTAATATTTTAATCTTCAAAAAAGAGGAATATGGATAGAACGCAGCAACATATGGATGGCGACACCTGACACGATAAGTTATATTCCTATCTTTCCTACTTTCCAGATAATTAAATTTAGCTTGAAACACGTCACCAGGTAAATAGAGATTATCGACCCGTATGATTCGTAGCTCTGCACTTAGGAATTGACACTTGTTACCGATCAATTACCAACCTGCCAAACAGGTATCATCTATTTATTTACTAGTAAAAAAAAAGAACGCTTCTTAATTCTAAGAAAGTAGATTTTTAAACGTAACTCTTTTTTTTTTTATATTTTTTCTTTTCAGAAACTTTAACTATAGAACGAAGAACGATCTGCCAAATTGAAAAATTTAAGGCAATAGCGAAGCGAGGTCGCGTAACTGGATAGAGAAGAAAAATGACGTGCATGTCGATTTATATTTAGAACATCCAAACCCCATATGAAATCCAGTAGCGCGCTGCTCCAATGCTTGAGCTTTGTACATGCTCTAAACAACGATATATTCTACGCTGTACAAAAATATTCCAAGCGAATTACGACATAAAAAGATAGTCACTTAAAATGAAAGAAAAAAAGGATACACAGAAGAATAGAAATTCTGAACGAGATCAAATTGAGAAAGCAGCGGTCTATCGAGAATTCTATTTAGCATAGCACAGAAAAAAACGGAATCGACGATGCGGCCAAAGAATATTGGACGATGTTGGAAAACAATCGAATCGCGTCATCTGCGCGTATACACAACGGAGCGAGTGGCTCTAGCTTTGCTCGAATTTCGTGACGTAATTGAGAAAGTTACGGCGAAGAGCGTTGCTCCAATATCCCGAACACTTGTCCATAGTGTCTCTCTGAAAGCGCACGCGTAATACCGGTACAAATAATGCTGTACAGGATGTTTCAGATAATTGGTGTTGAAAAATATGGTGGTGATATCGTCAAAATAAATCTTGACAAATCTAAATCCGTAAAAATCGAAGGATAGAATGGAAACTATTTTGTATTTAAAAGATTTCTAAATTAAAAAACGATATTCGCATTGTTTATCATTATCGTGTTTATTTCGACGAGCACCATGCATGCTTCAACTCAAGTTTCAACTTTCTGAAACATCCTGTAACTCTCGACCAGCTTTTCACCTGTCACTTCTTACAACAACGTAGCTTTGAATCGTTCGATGCCGAATCGTATTTCCATTTTCAGAGCACGCGGTCACCGTTGAAACTCCAGCCTGAAACGGAGAATTCGTTTAAGAGGGAACGAAAAGGAATCGTGGAACAAATGTCAGGATAACGAAACAGGCCGCTTATATATGTACATATATATATATATATTTAAAGACGTTCCAAGGCTAGAAAGCTAGGTGTGTATCGACCAAGCCAAGTTCTCAATGAGCAGTTTCATTATCGTCTTAGCAACGATCATTGCTGCGTCAGCTATACCTACGAACGAAGCCGCGATCCATCCAACACTATAAAATATATTAGTTTACGACAACAAAATGCTTCGAGTTTCGTAAGACGATTTTCTTTCTCTATACATTGCTACTTCTAACACTATGACATATATAGTTATTGACATAGTTCAATCGATTCTAGATAATAATGCAGACAGATTACAGGTGGGACGAAGCGTTCAAGATTATCATATTATATATCGGAAGATTTGCTTATCGTCCAATTGGAAAAACTTTAAGGAAAAAGTGTGGATAAATCTTGAACGAAGAAAAAAAACGAGCCAAGAGACGTAGTCTCGATTCGCTGCTCGTAGATACGGAGGATCGAATGGTTGAAAAGGATCGGTTATTACGAGAGCGAGTGAAGTGTAGTTTCCGAGGCGGATCAATCAAGAGGCAACGATAAAAGCGTATAGGTGACGTATCATTGCGGCCACGTTTTGCACTTGTGTTCGCGAACCACTATCTATGTAATCTCGAAAAAAAAAAAAAAGCCGTGTTTTAGCTCCAGTACTTTATTTGTACTTACGATTTCAGCCTCTTCAGCCACATCGGTACGACGCACATTTTTTTCGAGTCATCCCGCGATCGAGATTCTCTCTCTCTCTCTCTCTCTTTCTCTTTTTATTCACTTGCGATGGATGGATGAATCGTCGAAAGCACACACTCGAAGAAACGAGGGAAAAAAAAAAAAAAAAATAGAAGAAAGAAAGAAAGAAAAAAATTGGGATTAAAATTGAGATGACTGTGCGTCAAGAAGAATATAGAAAATGAGAGAGTTGGATGGAAACTGTCCGGGGGAAGAGGAAGAACGAGATCGACGAGGAAACCGGCGGATCGATCGGTGACCGTCGAAGGGAAGCTCGCGAATACGAGAAGAGATTGTGGAGACTGTATGTGGAGTTACGTTTCCCCCTACGATTCGTGAAACAGGAAACGGCGAGCGGTGAAGAGCTGCAAAGGCCCTGCCGAAAGCGAAGCCGACTCACCTCGTACTCTCCTGCGGGTCGAGCTATTTCCAGCATCGATCCGTTTCGCGGAGAAGAAACATGCGCGTACACGACACCCACCCCCGCCTCCCCCGCCCTTAACGTCGCCCTCTCTATTTCTCCGCCGCCCCCTTCTTCCTCTTCTGGCCACCCTTCGCTAGCAATGGCCTCAAAACACGGACGCGAAACACTCGTCTCGTCGTCGACTTCAACCGGGACTATCGATTCGTTCCTCCATCAATTTCCACCTTCCTTCGAGGAAGAGATTGGAGACGCGCAATTAGTCCTTTCCTTTCGAATTTTCATTCGAATATTCGCATGAATTTCCTTTGGAAAGTATATATGTAATTGTGAGCATAGAGTTTCTTACATATTGATTATTATTCATGAAAACTGGTCGAACAGTTTTTCTATCGACGATAAAATCTAGAATCTTCCTTGCAACTTCTTTCGTAATCTTATTCCTCGTAATTTTTGTTTTATTTTTCTCTTTTCCAGTTGTGACTTTTCCTTTGTGTACATTTCGTTCGATCCAGCGGAAATTCATCGTGGCTAAGAAACTTGCGCAGAAAATGATCTCGATTATTGATTCTCCAACCTCCATTTGTTGAATTGAAAGGATTCGAAGCATGCTGATGCCAGCACTAATCATCTTTACTAATGATCGCATGATTACTTTTCTTTTATGAGAAATTTTTTTTTTTTGGATATTAATTCAATTAAAAATAAAACGTTTTTTATAAAGAAGGTTAAAAAAAAGACGTCGTTGAATCGATTTACAATATAGTATAGCTGAGATTGAAAAAAGTTTTTGTATCGTAGAGCAATAGGATAGGAACAGCTAGGAGCAACGAGAAGCTTCGATAAATCGTAAACTTCTCAAGAAGAGATAAAAATAGAAACAAAACGTTCGTAGTATAACATGAGAATTTCCTGTACAGTCTGTTTTATTATTGGGATCAAGTCAAATTTCCGTAATTTATAATGATACGATATTTTTGAAAAAAAAATTGAAAACGTTCATCGCTCTCATTATCTTGATTATCTTGCGCCTTGAAAAAAAAATTTATTATACTATTAACTCCTCGATTATTTTGTCCTTTTTTCTTCTCTTTCTCTTTTATTCATATCTTAAAATTAAAACTCATCCCGATCTTTTAATTGAATTCTCTATTCGTATCTTTATCTGTCTACAATTTCTGGAAAAAAAAAAAAATCAAACGATTCGAGTTCTATGTATGAAGTTGAAGCGGCTTTACAAATATTATAATTATTTTTATTCAATGGAATATATTGTAACAGAATATGGAAAAAATTGGGGAGTAGAGAAGGGAGGAAGGGGGCGAAACAGCAGAAACACTGCCTGTTGATTTCTGTAATATCCGCTCTGACTTGAGATATATATATATGTATATATATATATACATATCTGTTTGTTTTTGTGAATGTGTATATATATGTATATAATATTTATACGACGATAATTTTGTTTCATCGCCTATTTACATAATACGTTTGAACAAACAATTTAACCGCAAATGAATCCAAGGTCTATTCTGAATAAAACGCACCTCCCGAATTTTTTTTCTTTCCCTTTTTTCTTCTCTTGATAGAGAGTTGGTTCATCTTTTATCCATGATCTATTTAAAAATGATACAAGATATAGATATAATTAATTTCAATCTATTTTTAGTTTTTTTTCTTTCCTTCTCATTTCCTTTAGAATGTTTTAACGCGATTGTATATGTAACACCGTGTACATTATTTTCGCGCCTTGTTATTGCTAATTATATCGCGCACTATTTTGATTAATTCAAATTTTAAAATGCAAATAATCGTCTCTCTTTTTTTCTCGATCTCTATCATCGTCAGTACTTGTATTTTTTGGTCGATTCCACGTGTTCCGCCCTTGTATTAAACGATCTACACAACTACTCGATTATTCTAACACATCACAGACTTCTAAACGATATTACAGGTTTCTACGATATCGATCTTCTCTAAACACGAGATGTCGCAAAATACAAGAAGACTTTAAAAAACGAAGAAGAAAAAGAAAAAAAAAGAACAAGAAAAAATACTTCGTATAATTCGTTTTGAACTTTCTTTCACTTTCATACATTTTCACACAGGTTTGAAGGGAAGAACGATTGGATGTAACGGAAGGCATAAAAATAGCTAACTCGTGATAACAACAATGGTCGGTTTTTGATATTCGTTTCTCCTTCGATTCTTCGCGATACATGTGTGCGTACTGTATACGTATATACAAAGTGTATGCACCTATACATACAAATTTCTTCTTTGAAGTTGTACGTTTTATTTTGTACACATAAAATCAAATAGGATTGTCGAAAAAAATATTCGCAACAATATAGCGTACACACACTTCGAACAGGCATCATTCCTGTAAGGATTAAATTTTCTGTACATTGCGCGTGCTGTTAACGCATTACCTAGGGAAATCCTAATAGGTTTTTAGTTATTAACGACACATTAACGACGCCGTACTCGAGCATGCTTCACGGGTCCAACTAAAAAAGAAAAAAAAAATGGCTGTCGTCGATAATTTTAGAATTAGCCGCTTAAAAAAAGTACAATCGTTTTACTGACCTTCGTTCGCGTTATTTAACTTGTTTGCGTTTCAATCGGTCGAGAATAAGAGTACGGTTGATGACGAATAACGAGGATAATCGAAGCGATAATGATAATAATAATTAATACAATTAATAATATTAATAATAATAATAATAATAATAATAATAACGATAATAACGATAATAACTTCTTATTCATTCATCTTTTTTGTTCTATACAAGTGCACAAATATTTACAGAATTAATATAACGACAGATACACGAAAGTGCCGTTGAGCGTGTTTCCCAAGTGTTTCTTCTTTTCCTTTTTCCCTTTGCCCTCTCACTTTCTGTCTCTTTTTTTTCTCTTTCTTTTTCTTCAAATATTTTGGCACATTTCACGTCCTCTTCGACACGCGGTCTAATTGGCACAATACTCCGACCATCGTGCGTGATTTCTTAACTTAACTTCTTAAATAGTGGACTAAAAAGGTAGCAATTAGTATCATTTTTTTTTTTTTCACGTTTCTCTCACTGGAAACATTCTTTCGCTTCTAGCTGGGTTTACGACATCAACGAATGAAACTACTCTCGGGAAAATTTCTTTCCTCAACTAAAAACGATTGATCATCGATTTTTTTTTCTTTTTTAATTTTTCTCTTTTTGTTTAGGAGTCACGATACCATATTTTTTGTTTTAGCGAGGATTTTCGACTCGAAGAACATCCTGCGTTATTGCTAATCGAGTAAAGAAGGTGGTATATGGATACATGGCTGATATGAAAGTTTGATACTGGACAGAAAAAAAAGGAAAAACGATTCTTCGAAGACAAAAATAAGAGGAGGGGGGAAAAAAAAAAAAGAAAAAAAAATTTGTTTTTTCCAAAGTGTCTTAAAAATTCGTTTACGTTGGTTTACACACGAGCCTAAGTCTATATCATATTAACGAGGTCTACTTGGATTAAAAGTTATGGTTCTTTCCTCTAAATAAACACGAGAGAAAGAGAGTGCCTAGAGCGAACGATGAAACGTTTATGAGTTCCGCCTTCTTCGAAATTACTAGTTTCACACAAAAATTACGAATACGAGGAAACGTGGTTTACGTTAACAACTTGCAAAGTCTTGCGAAATATTTCTTTTCTTTCTTTCTTTTTTTTTTTTTTTCTTTTGACTTAAAAAACTCAGCGATAAGGACGCGCTCTCCTTAGAAGGAGGATTTATCGTGAAAATTGTGACAACGCGAAAAGTCTTTCATGTCTTTGCGAGTGAAAAGGCTGCTCTCGTAAGATTTAAGATTTTCGCGTTTCCATTTTATTTTTTTTTTTTTTTTTTTTTTTTTATTTTTGCTTTTCTTTTTCCTTTCAGGGCTCGGTGTATCCTGTAGAAATCTGGTGATTTTTAAAGAGAAGAGAAAAATGATCTCTTTCAAGTTCACATATCTTTGGGAAAATGTTATATATAATATATCTTATGCGCAAAAATAGTAGCAACTTTTTTCCCGGGACATCTCGTCGGTATAAATTATGCTGAGTAAAATCCTCGGGAAAAACCAGTGTTACGGCTGATACGAGTGAAAAACGAGCATCACGATCCAGCGATTCCTCGAGATTCGACTTTAAACATCAAAGAATCCCCCGAACACGTAAATCGAGAAATCACGCGAATTTTCGACGCTCTTTGTACAATGATCTTGCTGACGACGATCTTCGAATATTCAGATGGCACCATATATACGACACGGAAGACTACACCAGCGGTACTTGGAGTACGATAGCCTGGCAAGGAATCGTTTAATTTAACGCGCGTGTACGAAACGTTAAAATGTATAACAGGCACCAGTAAAAGAACCAGTCCTTGGAAAGTGACTTTTTTCCAAATCAGACTTTAAACCCGCCTCTCTCGATTACTGGCCTTTTCCGCTGTCTCAGCGAAAAATTTGGCTTGGTGTTTCGGAAAAAAAACATTGCTCCGTTCCATATTATTTTTTTTTCTTTTTTTTTACTGAACCCAAGAAGCAGGCACCCACTGAGGCTCCCTTTCCAACGAATTGATCTCCGTCAGCAGCTGATTGTACGCTCTATCCGTATCTGTGTTTATGATGATCATGTCGAACAGATGCCCGTATTTATCCTCCATTTCCCGTGCTTTCTCTATAATATCCTTCAACTCCTCCTCCTTGAAACTCTCGTTATTCTTGATCCTTTTTTGGCGAAGTTTCTCCAAACTTGGCGGCGCGACGAATACCACGTACGGTTTCAAGTCCGAATTTCGCAATATCTTCAGACTCTGCGGATGCAGATTAAGAACACAAATTTTACCAGAGTTTACTACGGATCGTATAGCTTCGACGGAGGTGCCGTAATAAGCTTTCTCGTACTCGCCGTGTTCGACGAACTTTCGACAAAGTATATCGGATTCGAATTGAGAACGAGAAATGAAATGATAGTCCTGTCCGTCCACTTCCGAGTCCTTTCTTGGACGACTCGTGTCTGGAACAATGGGAATAGATTTTAGATATTTTAGGCGTCGATTCGACGGGTAGAAGAGTAAATTATAAATGATACGGATATAAGAGGAGCTTACGAGGAATAGCAGCCGCGAAACGCTCGCTGTCATGCATCAGCCTCTGTCTCAGCTCATGTCGCCCGATATTTGGTGGCCCTATTAAGACTATCGGTCTTTTGTGATTCGCTCTAGGATAGTACAACGCGACTTCCTCGTAAGTAAGTACCTCCTCGCTGTCGTAATCTATAGAAATGTAAATGTTTGATCAGCAAACATTCGTATCTGTGTGTATAATTCCTTCTATACCTACCGTCAATGGCAGTCGTTGCGTAATGTGGATATCCGTCGTCGTTGTAGTTCGCCCCAAATTTATTCCGTTTCTTCTTCTTTGGATTCTTTCTAGCGCACAACAACGTACTAGATTTCTTAGAACCGCGTACGGTCGATTTATCACCAGCGATAGTTTGCTTCATTGATTCTCGCCTGCGTGAGATTAAAAATAAAAAAAAGAAAGAAAGAAAACAAAACATCAAACAAGGTGTTGGAAGAACGAGGAGAGAAAAAAAAGAAGGTTCACGTACTGATGCTGGAAGGCTTTGCTGGGTATCAAACCAGCCAGAGTTTGATCCTCTTCACCCTCTCGATACGCTTGCCACCAATTAGGATCCTCTTGAGAGATCACGTGCAACACATCACCCTTCTGAAAACTGACACCCAATTCCCTGCACGGTATATAAGGATCTTCCTCGGGGTCGTAATCGAAGTGGGCCCGTATGTGTTGTATCTGGAAAACACGATACCATTTTAGAAAAGTCAAAAGTTGATTTCTAATAGTTTCTTTCATTACCTGGTTCGTATCTTCCCTTCTATTCGACAAATTGTTCCTGTGACTCGTGGGTGCCGGGAGCACGAGGAAGGTTAGACTGCCCTGCATACCAGCCAGAATATCGCACACTTCGTTTACGCTTTTGCCACGCATTTCCACGCCATTCACCTCGAGAACCTCGTCCCCTTCGTGCAAAAGTCCAGACTTGTCGGCCGCACCTCCTCGCACGACACGCCCTTCGTGAAAACGTTCAAGTTAAAAAATAGGCGAATGCAAAAACGATAAATCTCGAGGAACGAATCATGTTACCTATTATAACCGCATCACCCTCGTTTCTGACCGTAGCGCCAAGAGGTTCGTTGGTTTTCTCGATTCTGATAATTTTAATATTGTCCACGACCCGTGAGCCTCTCCAGCTTGAAGTCGGGCTGGGTGGACCGCTCGGCGACGAGGACGAGGGGCTCTGTTTTCTCTGCAGTCCATCCACGTACGAGATGATGGAGTCGTGGGTGAGGAGGAGGGCTTCCATGTCGTAGCTCGTCAGAATTCCTGTCAGTTCCTCGACGGCGGCGATCGTTTCCGCTCCACCGACACCTGTTGCTGTCGACGAGGACTGCCATTTCTCGAGAATGTCCACACACTAGAGAACGTAGGAAAAAAAAAAAAAGAATAAAAGTTGTGTACTCAAAAAACGAGGATTCGAAAATTTGTTAAAAAAAAGTGATGTGTACTATGCAAGTATTGTTCACCACTGAAAAGAAGTCTCGCAGATCTGATTGATTGATGTAAAAAGAAACTATTTTCATAAATATTTTTGTTTATAACGTCGTCACGAATATTAATATATCGATATGCGTCGAAATAATTAATAGTTTCGAAAATATTTCAGTCTTGGATGATTATCCTAATGTAACTTCATAAATAAAAATAATTTTTACGATTTTGAATATTCAACTTATACTGTTCTACTATTACGTGGTGTCAGGTTTGTCAACAAAGCATCTGAAATGGAGATAGGCGGTCCTACGACCTCTCTTGCCCTTGTGCCGCAGCGACACTTTTTTTCAGTAGTGAACAATATTCATTGGTGGAAAGAAGTCTCGCAGAAAGAATCTGATTGGTTAATTTGGAAGGAACCGCCTATTTTCACACGCATTTTTATTTCTACTATGGTATTTGTCACATATACTAGTTCAAAACGACCGATCTGTATCTAAACCTCGATGCATTAGTATAAGCATCCAATCCAAAGAATTCTAACCTCTTATTTTACATCAATATGCTTAATTAAAAAAGTTAATTAATAATTTGCAACGATAGTTTAATTTATAAATGTAATTTTGTATTCGAGTAGTTAATAATAATTGTATATATATGAATATATGATATGTGAAATAATTAATAGTTTCGAAAATATTTCAATTTTAGGCGATTATTAACGTAACTTCATAAATGAAAATAACTTTTACGAATTTGAATATTCAAATTATAACTCTTCTGTGTAGCGTGTGGTATTGTCAACAAAACGTGTAAAGTGAAGATAAACGATCCCAGAACGAAAAATTCTTTTCTGTGATACTTCTTTTCAACAGTGAATTTATACGTACGTCTCGTGCTAAAGTGGAGGCGTCCTCGGTGTGATGTTTCAAAACTTTGTTCGATCTTAAACGATTTCTGAGGATGTGATGGGTGGCGAGGGCAGATGCGAATCGACTTTGCACCAGAAGAGTTCGCACCGCTTCGAGTTCGGCTTCGACACCCGGCCCCGAAATGCCTAGAGCACCGGAAATATTGCGCAACTGAAGCTGTAGCCTCTCCAACGTCGCGACGACCTCTCCGTATGCTGAAATATGCAAGCAACGATAATTAGAGAGGTTCTTCAAACGTTTCACCCCGAGGCGAGGCGTCTTCCTCCCTTTCTTTTTTCGTACTTCTTACGAGAAACAATACTATTTTTCTCCTATTTTAAAAATTCATCGTACAACGAACGCGATTCTTTTGATAAAACCTGCATAACACTTGTATTAATACCTCACGTATAAGAGGGAAAGATGGTAAACAGAGACAGTGTGACGCGAACAAGTGGTCCTCTTCAAATCATCTAGTCCAACTCATTCATCTTTCTTCCCCGTCCAACATACACACGAATTTTTCTACAATTTAACTTCGAGATTATTGGACTCTTTTTTTTTTTTTTTTCCCCGTACAAATAATTCTCATCAGTTCTCATACTTGAAGCGTACGATTGAGAAAGAAATGGAAAGAGGTCTGGATTAGAAGAAAAAAGAAGGAATTATATGAAGAGCAGAGAAGTGTGTGTCGTTAATAATGCTCCATCGAGTGAACTTACTGAGGGGCCTGGGAGGCTCCTCTACTTCTTGCGTGGTGACGTGCGTTGGACGGCCGACGGTGGTCACCTCGTCCTGGGTGTATGCGAGATTTTCTTGGCCCGAGAGGCTGGTCGCGTGGCTCTCCAGAGCTTGCAGCTTTTTCGATCCGCGTAACGATTGATTGAGTATCTCTTGCCTCTCCTCCTCATCCTTTCGTTTACGTAGCTGCTCCTACACAATCGAATCATCCGTTTACCTCTCATCTTTCATCCAATGTGATCCAAAAAAAAAAAAAAACATCCTTTTTATCCCCTGAAAAATATATCGCGACGTTCGATTATTAAATCGTATAAATCGGATTGTTTGCCTTCGCGATGACATTGTTACCGACATGGAATCGTTATGGATATATCGTTGTCTATATTCGAGCTGTTGTAGATCGAATCTTAAGAGACAAATTTCATTCCCTTACCTCGTTCGTCGTATCGTGATGTCTTGCGTAATTTTGGAAAACACTATCTTCCGTAAACACACGATCGTTCCACGCGTCATTCGACATGAAGGAGGACCACATTTATAACACTTATCACGAGATTCCGTTGAATATATAACGTTGGAATCATTTATCAATTATTTCTTGGCATACCTTCTTGCTGGGTGATTTTAACTTGGAAATATGATTTAAAAAGTCATGCAGATTCTCTCACATTCGTTCACACGTATCAGGACACTTATCAAGAGCGTTATAAATAGCGGGTGAGCAATCGAATAATAATAACGATAGATGGAAATAACGAGCTTTCGATATAGATTTATCGCCGATATCAATATTTGTATCGCGCGATTATTTTTCCTTAAATCGAACGCTTTTACGCCGAGTGTTCTAATATTCGTGAACGGTGGTGTGTCGTTATTGGCGGCCATTTTTCCTAACGCGTTTAACGAGGGACAAATATAACGATATACGTGCACGTGAGTAAGCAACGTTCAAAATAGTGTAACGTAAAAAACCCAAGAGAGACAAGTAAACGTTCCATCTAACGTGAAGCTAGCATTTGTAATTTGGCTATTCTTCGACTAGAATTGCGATTATCGTTTATCGATATTTTATTCGATAGTTTTTGATATATCGTTGAGGTATCGAAACAAGTGAGTGGAATTATTATTTTATTAAAAAAAAACTATATTTTATTTAATTATTTTGAAATAATAAGAAACAAAAATAAGAATTTTTCGATTTATCGACGGTATTATGTTGTAATCTAATATAAATCATCTCGATATTTTGAATATATTAACAAATCAATAAAATATCGTTGGATCATATTACAATATTAATAATATTAATAATTGTAATAATAATATTAATAATTATTTCAAATAAGAAAAAAAAATAAGAACTCTAGTTATTTTCACCTGTTGTTCAAACGATATTATCGATATATTCGAATTATAATCGATTATTATACATCGATATGTTCGATATATTGGCGATATTATGTTACATCTACTTAAATCATCTTGATATTTTAATAAATTAATAAAATATCGTTGGATCATAAATAACTATTAAAAATATTAATAATTAGAAAAAAAAATAAGAATACTGATCGATATATTACTGACAATATATCGACATTATCGACATTTATCGACGATATACAATTCTATTCTCAAGCGACGAACGACGAAAATGCAATTTCGATCGAAAAATATCGAACCTCTTTACCTAAAGTAGCGACAAGATCGTTCGCAAACGAAGCTACGAGAGAGAACCGTGTCTGACAAATTTTGCTCTTCCCCTATATCTTGTTTCCGTAAGCGAAAATCTCGGGCGGAGAATGTTGGAACTGCATCGGGTTACAATCGACGCGGTTACAGCGATGGTGTTGAACGCCCACCGCGCGATAAAGTGCGTCAACCGCGCGAGAATCGTTCCACAACCAATTTTTACGTAACCGTTTCGAGGTCTATGGCGTATTATTGAGAAATAGTTGGACGAAGCCAACCACTCGCGTTACACACGTGTGGCTTCCCGTATGTCACTTCTTCGCCTGCTAGATGGATTTCCTGCGATTCTGGCAACGATATGCGATTTTGGCCAGAAAATCTACTAAATATTTTCTTCTCCGTGGCTGAGTAAACCACACGAAAATTAAATAGAGATCTTAACGACATGCGACATCAAAGAGAGAGTGGCATAAAAATAGAATAAACTTCTTTCTTATGGAAAATTTTGAATATTCATCACGATGAATACACGACTACGATTCTAATAAATTCGAGTCAAAATTTGAAAGAAAATGAGAATTTTCTACAGTTTTCGCGGACACGGGTTCTGAGAGAAAAAAGTAAGAAATTTTTTTCTCTTTTTTTTTCGAGAATAATATCCTCGAAATTATCCTCGAGAAAGATGACTCGTTATCGCGAAGCGGGACGGATGTTCCTGGTTGGTTGGCGTTCCGTAGGTATCTGGTTTTTAACGAGCAGAAGAAAAGCAGAGAAAGAAAAAAAGAGAAAAAAATTCCGGACTGGCCGTAAAGCGGGAGAGCGAGGTCAGGGTAGGAAAAAATGGCTCGGTTCGCCTGTACTATACCTATCGAAATTTACCACTCGTAACGTTACACTCGAGTCTCGTGTAATCTTAGACTATCGTTACAAGGGGTTCTTTACATTCCAAGCCACACTTGACTCAACGTGCATGAGGTGAAGGAATTTTGTAAAGGCAAACACGTCGTCGGCCGCCTCGATTTTCATCTCTCCAAAGTTTTCTGTAGATCTCGACGGGATCCACGTCGATTCGTCGAGGAAACGAAGATGAGAATGGAAATTTGAAAAAAAACGTGGAATCCAGTGGAAACTAGATCGTTCGATAACTATCGCGTCCGGATCTCGTAATTTCCTGCCGGAACGTGGACAATCGTGATCGGTACAACGATTTCGAACAACGTATTCCCCGCCTTTGCCCCGTTACGCAACGCTAAATTATTCATGCGGAATACCACGTGCGATTCTTTTCGCACGCCCACCAAAATATCTCTCTCCGCCAACGTTCTCATTTACTCGTATACTCGTTTACAATAAATCCTCGCTCGATAAAAATTATGTTTTGTTTGGTAAACATTCTTTTTCCGTCGATTAAGCGCCAATTTGCCAACACTTTTATCGTTACTCGTTTAATAAATCGCGAAATTTTTGCTTTTGATAAACGTTGCTTTTCCATCGATTATTTGCGCAATTATCTCGATTCTTTTCGCATGTCTATCGAAATGACTCTCTTTACGAATCTTTTCATCGTTTCCATACTCGTTTAATATAAATCGCAAGATTTTTGTCGGATACGATTTCAATTCGATCGAATCTTTGTTCCCTTCGGTAAACATAGTCCGCTCTCCGATCAACGAGAGAAAACGTCGAATTGAAAGAACCAACTATTCTGCAACATTCTTATCGCTAATTTCACCGTTGAATTATTCACCGATTTCTATCGCGCGAAACGTTGAGGTATTCATGAAGCAGATACGAAGATGTAATCGCGATATATATTTGTGTCGAAAGAAGACGAAGAGAGAAAAACAGACATGGTGTATGAAAGAAAAAATGAAAAGAAGAAGGAAAGAAAAAAAGAAAAGGCTCGTACCTGGTATTTTCTGATGGAATGCAGTTGTTGTTGCGTAGGCTCGGCATTCGCGTTATCGGTGCTCTCCACGTTATTGTTCTGCGTGGACAAACGTAGGTTATCTTTCGGCGGTCTGGCAGGTGCCCTCTTTTGATCTCTCGGGGGGATGGCAGGTTTCACCCCGTTCAGACCGGTCTAAAAATCCGTTTCAAAGGGAGGAAAAAAAAAACAGAGGCTCGCATTAAAGCAACCCCAAGGTACATACACAGGGCGCCGCGATCGCGACTATCCCCTCCCCCCTCCCTTCTCCCAAAAAGAAAGAAAGAAAGAAAGAAAATTTTTTCTCCTCCTGTTTTTGATCGTTCTTTTCTCGATTCTTCTTTTTTCAAAGAAGTACCGTACCTTCCTTTCTCGGCCACGTCGGAAGAGCAACGATCGAGGGAAAACGCGAGATTTATTGTAACAGAGGAGGAAGAAAAACACATGCAATAATGAGCACGTGCACGTGTATATTACCTTTCCTCCTATAAGAGTAAGAGACGGTCGCTGGATCTATTTCTAGGATTCTTTCTATCTACAAGCTGGGCATGCTCGTCAAAAATTCTAAGCTCTCTACGCATGCATTAATTAACTCTTGCTGAATTTTTCCCCGATTCAATTATCGAGAGCAAGATTTGCAAGAGTTTGTAATCATGGTCCTTGCGAAAGAAGAAAGCGAAAGGGCAGAAGCGAAAGAATTTACCTGATTTACCTCGGCAACCTGATGATGATGATCGTAGCGATGGCGCGAGGCGTACGTACGTATTATCCTCCTTCTCCCCCGATCCGGCGTTCTCGACTCCTCTTCTCTCCTTCTCTCAGAATTTTCCCACGAGTTTGACCGCGAAATCAAACTCGACTCGGTGAATTCGAACCCGCGGCTCGATCTGCCAAGATCGAGCAAGGATATCGTTTCGAGATCGAGCTTGGAACGCCCGTGATACTCGAGCGACAGCCTCGAGTTAGTCCTGTTTTGCGCATGCGCGAGAGACAACTCGCGCAACAATTCGTTGCGACAATTCTCGTCCGTTTCTCGACTTCTACTTCCTCTTTCTCCTCCTTCTCCTCTTCCTCGAGTCGATCGCTTATTCGCGGAGAGAAGGAAGGAGAGCCTCCCCCCCTCCCCATCCTCGCCGTTCGAAAAACGGACAACGGTGCAAGAGTTTGTGTCGTCGAGGCAGGGAGAGGAGTGGACCGACCACGAATCGTACTCCTCCTCGTCCCCCTCCTCGTCCATCATTTTCAAACGGTTAGAGCAAGAGCGATTAGTGGCGCGAGGCGTGGTTGCGTGCGGAAGCGTGCAGCGCGATGCGGGGTGATGCGTGGCGACGAGAGTGCAGAGGAAGCGTTGGAAAAGCATACTCTTCACTTTGGACCTTCTTACCTTGTTCGACGAGGGCTCGAGTACGGGCGATCCCGGTACGAGATCCGTAACAGGCTTGCCACCGAGTTGAAACCTACTACTACGATCGTACTTCGCGCACACGATACTCGCCCCCCCTTCGTCCCCGTTCACTACCATCTTATTATTATTATTATTATTATTATTGTTATTATTATTATTATTATTATTATTACCACCACCACCACCACCACCACCACCGTCGCGTTTCGGGTGTCGTAACAGTGACGCGTTCTTGTTCCCGTTCTTGTTCGGCGGGGGATAGACGGGGTGGCGTTTGGCGACGGGGACGAAGTCGGGGGGGCAGTCGACGGCCACCTCGCGGTAGGCTTTGCCGCCGACCACCAGGAAGCTACCACGGTCCACGTGCTCGAGATCGACGGTGGACGCGTCGCTCCTCAGCGTCGAATAGCCGCTCGAGATTTGTTGATGCCTCTTCTTTTTCGGCCGCTGCTGTTGTTGCTGTTGCTGCTGGTGCTGCCGCCTCGAGGACGAGGAGAGGCTGCTGCCCGACTCGATGCCGGCGAGGTCGTCGCTCGAGCCCGCGCGTATCAGCGATTCCTCCGCTTCCACCCCACCTCTCCCCCCCTTCTGCTTCGACCGGTGATGATGATGGTGATGGTGGTGGTGGTGGTGATGGTGCTGGTGATGATGGTGGTGACCACCGCTCGACGACGATTGTTGTTGCTGCTTCTTGCCAACCGTCGATTTGCTCGTCGAAACGATCGACGGACAACTCGTTTCCGACTTTAACTTATCCTGCTTGCCGCGAGAGGGAGTCGACAGACAAGCAACAACGTCTTGCTCGGTAGTAGCACGCGGGATTCTCGGGATGGTGGGGCATTGCTCGGCGTCGATCAATCGAGTCAGGTCGGACACCTCGTCCGATCTCATCAAAAATCCTTGGAGATCTTGAAGATCGGCCAAACCGTAGGCGGGGTTATCGAACGAAGTGGTGGTGTTGGTGTTGGTGTTGGTGTTGGTATTGGTGTTGTTATTGGTGGTGGTGGTGGTGGTGGTGCTCGTGGGCCTCTGATAGAGTGGCGCCACCTTGATCTCCGGGACGACGGGTCCCCGGCAAGGGGAGCCGAGATCTATCCGCCTGGCGTCGTAGGTGGGCGAGCCTTTGCCACGCGTCTTCGCGTGTCTCAGCACCAGGCTGGTGTCGAGGGGGGCGGTGCTGTCCGATCTGCCGGAGGAGCTTCTCGGGCTGGCCGAGTCGTCGCTACAAGTCTTCAACATGGTTGGATAATCCTCCTTCGCGAACGGATAATCCTCCTCTACGTCGAGATCGACGCTCGACTCCTTCTGCCCTTCCGTTGTCCGCGTATCGTCCTCCTCTTCCTCTTCCTCTTCCTCCTCGTTCACTCCCTCGTCCTCCTCCTGATCCTCCTCCTCGTCCTCGAAATCTTTGAAAGGAGGGTTAAAATCGGTAGTTGTATCGTACCTGCCCACCTCCTTGACGATTCTCTCCTCCTCGTCCTCGAGGCGGTTCTCGATCTTCAGCTCGATCTTGAGCATCGGCGGCTGACCGTTCCGGATGGCCGGTTCGCTGTTCGGATCGATTCTAGCGCGGTTGTCTAGGTTGTTGATGCGTGGAGGCGGCGGCGGCGGCGGCGGAGGCGGAGGCGGCGGCGGCGGCGATTTTTTAAGGGTGTCGTTTTTAAGGTTTAGGGAGAGGTCGAGGTCGCTAGCGCTACGGGGAGGAGAACGAAGAAGCTCGTTCCTGAAATCGGACGAGCGGCTGTTTACCTTGTTGGGGTAGGCCTTTTGAAGAAGGGTGTCGGGCACGTCGACTGGTAGCTCCCGGTGAGGCCCTAGCCCGCCAGGGGCCCACATCTCATCGGGGCCCAACCCTTCCTGCCCCTTCTTCGAGCTGGTGTTGTTGTTCTCCTGCACTTGCTGTTGCTGTTGTTGCTGCTGTTGCTGCTGCTGCTGCTGCGAGTGTGTGTCCGTCAAGCCACTGCCGCTACGCCTTCGGGACCTGGAGACAATTGAAGAAAAAACTGTCACTTCTTTTCTTTCTTCTTCGCTGCCCCTTGGTTGACACGAATTCGTTATATATATATATACATATTATGCGTGTTTTTAAATTTGTTTATTTTTTTTTTCTTCAATTTCGAATTCGTTTCGACCAACGCAATGGAAATAGGTGTGTTTCATCGAGGTGAAAAGAAAGAAGATTAAAAATACGTTTTTAGTACATAGGTGTATATATATATATATACATAGGGATTATATATCAGGGATAACCGTATATTTAGCAAAAAGTTTAGAGAAAAAATACTTGGTGCTACGCAAGCGAATTACTGGGAAAAACGATACATGGGTTACCATATTTGGCTACGTGAAAGAGAGAAGATATTATAAATTATTAGAAACTCCCATCCTCTTCGAATTCTTTCGTTCCCTGTTTGACTGATTGAAAGAAAAAAAGAGGGGATGTTTATAAAAAAATGATAACTCGTCGGTGTCCAAGAAAGAATCGCTACGTAAAAATTTACGCGACACTGGCTTCTTTCCTCTGACGAAGGGGTTTTCCTTTTCATATTTTACCCCTTGATATACTTGGTAATTATAAAGTGCAATTTACCCGCGCGATCCTTTCGACTTGTTGACATTTAAAACGTGGAACGGAAATGCTCGCCTCGATGGAAGTTTTATCGAATCCGAAAGGAAAACGAGAGATTAAAAAATAACTGTGCTGCTTTCGCTTCAATATCTTTAATATCTTTAACTTTCGTTGTTCCATAAAATGAAATACAAAATTACAAGAGTCACGAAGGGATAAAATTCGATCGAATTCCATCGAGTTTCCAACCTTCTGGACAGTCGAGGAATAATTGGAAAAACTTCTCGGTCATCCGACGAAAAAAAGTCAATCTCCGTGAAATGAGAAAAATTGGGAAGAAAGGAGAAGTAGGTTTCGAAAGTGAGTTTAGAAAACTCGCAAGAATTCGTTCTCCTGCGGCTGCGGCCTGGCATTCACACGTCGGTTATTACCGGTCGAATGAGAGCAGCGAATGAATAACACGTTAGAAATTTCAGCCGAATATCGAGCTGAAATTATTCGATCGTTACAATCGTGACTTTCGCGTGGTTTCGAACAGATGGAATTCCTCGCTTAATTTTAAAACGTTGCCAGAATTTTTTGTTAATAATCGTTAAAGGATAATTTATTTTATAACGACTAACCGTTTGTTTTGAAAAATATCGAACGCGATATTCTCAACGCTCTATAGACGAAAGGTCGTCCAGGACGAATTCGTGGAATGAATACGATTTTTTTCCACCGCGTGGATCCAGTTACAAAGGGAGGGGAGCGAAGAACAAGAGGCGCGACAGGCATTACGCCCGTACCCTAAGTGGCGGCCACGTGAATTCCACGAGTGGGTATATCCGAAGAGAGCCGAGACAATGGCCGAGTTCGGGACAAAAGCGACGGAAAACGCGCACGCGATACGCGCCTGTAAACGAGTTCACGTGCTTTCTCTGTACTTCTTTTCAAACATGGATCCACGTTCTCTCGAATATTCTCTCCGATTTCTTCCTCTCGTTCGAATAGAAGGTAGTAACGATAGATATATAGAGAGAGAGAGAGAGAAAGAGAGAAATTTTCCGATTATTCGTCATCGTGGTGATCATTACGTGGTCGATCAAGGACGATGGAGCAAGGGACAACGCTGGAAGAATATGCGATCCGGTAGACGGAACGACAAAAAGATAAAACGTATCGAGTGACAAACGGTTGGTATGCGGGGAACGTGTACATATACGTGCAATCTATCTACGTGGCGGCTACTCAGCAATGGGAAACTCGACCAGCTCTCTCTCTTTCTTCGGTTAAAGCAGGAAAACGCTGATATCTAGGCTAGCCGGTGGCTGCTTTTATATATAAATACGGATTATACTGTTAAGAAGGGAACACACAACAATACTTGTGTCGATTCGATGGGGCACTTCCGGGGAACGACTCAATTCAAATCCATTTTCGTTTCGCGACTTTTTCTTTTTCCAAAAATAATTAATCGGAAAAATTGTTTTTTTTTTTTTTTTAAGTAAAGAATAAAAGTGGATCTGTTTTCCCTTTAAAAATAAATAAATAATATACGTAAAGCAAAGTTTATCCGCATCGTACGAGAATTCGAAGAAAGCAATGGAGCTCGTTTCGCAGAATGGAGACGAAGAGGCTTTTATCCCAGCCAGGAATACGTTCCACGAAGTACCCCGTCGTCGTTCGAGAGAGATTGAAAAGCTGGGACAGACCTAATCGCGTTGCGCCTCTTCAGCACTCGAACTCTCTTCGGCCGTCTTCTTCTTCTAAGGAATTCGCTAAAACCGTCCCATCTTGCTCTACGATTCCGCTCCGACACTTCCGATCTAACAGCGTCTACTGAAAAGCTAGACGACTCCATTTCCCGATATATTTAAGAGCCGATCGAGCAAGCTTCACAAAAGCTAAATTGCAAGAATTCCACAGGGAGCCTGAACCGTACCTGGCGAAGGTGGAACGGCCAGGTAACGCCGCTTTAGCCCGTTAGAGGACAAGGCTTTTCCAATCTATTATGCAACTCTCTCCGTGTTTAGGCGAGTACGAGAAATTCCGAGAAACCGAGACAGTCTTAAGTGTTAACCGAGTTTTGAAAACTCGTAGAATTATGGTCAATATTTCGTGGATACCGTTATTCCTTAACGACCGCTTTGGCAAACACCTCATACTCGTATTTCCACGGTAATGATCCACGCCACGAACGGACATTATCGTGTAACAATCTTTTATGATGTTAGTTTTGGATAAAATGCACTTATTGAATTTACGCATGTGTCCGGATGACGTTCGAAATGATCGTGGACACGTGGAGTAGCAGGATGCCTCGTAGACATACCTTTTTAACTTCCGGCAAACGGTAACGTCCGTGAAAGGAGAGAGGGAAGGGGAAAGGAAGGATTCTCAGGAGACAAAAACGGCAAAACCTCGGTTTTCCTCGAATCGATTTCCATACAAAGAACTCAACGATCCGTCGTAGGGAGCAAAATCGCTTCAAAAACGCTCACGGTCGTGAACGCGTTTCGATAAAAGCGGCAACTTGCATCGCCGTAACGTCGAAATAAGAAAAAGCGCGTGTATATGTACGTGTGTATATAATGTGTATATATGTATGTATGCGCACACGACGACGATAGCTGCGTAGAAGAGAGTGGAGAGAAAGACAACGCGCGAACGTCGGTAGTTGGAACACCTACCAGTGTAGCGTTTTCAGGATTCTCATGGCGTGGCTTCTCGACAATTCGTCCTTCGTTCAAACCTCATGGACGGACGAGCAGCTCTCGCAGCTAGCGCTCGGTGTGCGACCAACCAACGAACGAGCTAAGAATCTCAATCGCTCGCTATATCTTCATTTTCCTCTCCTTCTATCTCCTCTTCCCTCATCCCTCATCCCTCCACTCTCATCTCCTCTTCTTCTTCTTCCTCCTCTTCTTCTTCTTCTTCTTCTCCTACGCGATCCTTCCTCCTGTATCACCTCCCTGTTCCCGCCCTTTCGTACATTCCCACCGCCCTCGGATCGCACCACACGCACAAATATTCCACCTCGTAGATCGGTTTCCCCGCTCCCCTCCACATCGACCCACACCGACCACTTTTCCTCCGGTCACGCACCGTATTACACGCAATCGACGATCCGCGGAAAGATTTGCGACTCACACTCGTATATACGCGCGATCGAGAAACGAGAAGTTCGTCCACTTCGAAGGAATGGATGGGTCGCGTTCGTATCACTGAACGGACGCCGCCGCGTCCATGCTCCCTCTTGGGTTTAACGGGAGAAACGAGAGAACGGAAGAAGAAGAAACAGGCGAAGAAAGAGAGAAGGAGAGGAAAGAAGCGCGAGAAGCGCAGACTCGATGCTGGCCTGCCAAGGTGTATGCACCTTTCGAAGGCTGCGAGGAACGAGGAAAGAGAAGAAGAAGGAAGAGGAGGAGGAAAAGGAGGAGGAGGAGGAGGAGGAGTGCACTATATCGTACGGAGAACGCTCGTACCGGTTTTGGCCCGCCGTTGGACAGGTATTCCCGACTCCGTTAACCGCCTTAATTGCGCCCTGCTCATATCACCCGAGGGGGAAAACCGAAACGCTTTTCGTTTTACCCTCTCCTCTCTCCTACGTGTTCCCTCCCTTCGATCGAACAACTCTCGATCGGCACGCGGTGCAAAAGATCGCCAGTCGCGTCTCGAGATCCTCTCCGCTTTCACCAAACACGCCTCCTCTTTTCTCTTTCTCCTTTTCGCGACCAACAAAAGTGGTCGCTTTATATTCCAACAATTTTCTCTTCGCTTCGTGTATCTTCGATGATCGAGAATCGATGACGGAGGAGGAGGAGGAGTTAACAACCACCACCACCACCACTACCACTACTTCTCACTGTCTCGAAGTGTTGCACTACGAAATGGTTTCCTTTCGAACTAAACTCTCTTTCTTTCTCTCTACCCGCTCTCTACACTTTTTTTTTCCGCACTTTCCAACTTCCAAATTAATAGAATTGGTCGATCGGTGGTGTAACGTAAGCAATATAGAAACAGTATAAAAGCATAGAAGAACACACGAGGAACGCTGGCATCCCTCCAGCTTCGAACTGACGTGAGTTTGTTGGCTTCGCTTTACTCCGGCCGAGGCAAGCCGGTGTCCCCTTCTCTCGATCTTTCTTTCCCTTTCCCCCACTCCACCCCCTCTCACTGTTTCTCGTACCCTCTTCCTCATTTGTGGCGTTTCTCTTCTTCTCTTTCCTTCCCCGCCTCCCTTTGACCACTTTACCTGTCCCTCAACGTCACCTCTCTTTCCCGCTCACCGCGCCTTTGGTCACCACCACTTTTCAGCTGCGCGTTCTCCTACCTTACCTCCCTCCAAGGGAACTGCCTCTTTCATACCCCTCCACGCTTCGTTCGCTCTCTTTCCTCTACTTGGTCGTGCTCGACTATTCCTTTCTCTC